TGTTTGTGCTGGTACCGTGGCAGGTTCAGGTCTGCCTGACTGCTGACTCCCAAAGCTTTTCATATAGTTGATAATCAGTGTGGTGCATAGTTTGTGGTCTTTAAGATTTTTGACATCGCTGGCGGATTGACGTCTTTTCCTGGGGGTTGTTTGTTCACTCATTTTTTAACTTTTCTTATGCAATTCAGCTTGTTCAACTTCTGTACTAAATGCATGACCCAGGTAATACATGGGCAAGGAGTTTTTTGACTCCTTAAAACAACAATATTATCGTAGATGATGCATATCGCACACCCCTAACGGAAGTCTAACACGTACAATTTTCTAAATGTTGATTAAATATGTATCTGACACCTTGAAACAGCAACCCTAGCCTTCTCAGTTTGACCCATCTCATTTTTTATGAGCTACTTCATCCAAATACTGAGGGTCCTGATTCAAAACTATTAATCTTGAAAAGCTCAAATTATTGATAAGATATTAAGGAAATTAAGTAAAGGTCAGATCAGCCAGGGAGAAGATGAGTTGCTCTGTGAAGGTGATGTTTTTTTGACCTGAGAAAGACTCACCAACTTCCAGAGAGCACACACAAGTTACCCATCAGGTTATCCCATGTGATTAATAATTATTGGTGGCAGTTGAACGACCTGCCGCGCCCATTTTTGTCAGTTAAGCTTAACGATGAAAGTAAAGTCATGATTTTCATTCTCTTTTATTCTCCTGCTGCAGGACAGGACACAGTTTGTCTTTAACAGTACAGATGTTTGAAATGTTTCGGGTTCCTTCCCCGGGAGCGATTAGTCTAAAGTAATTAGATTCCTGTAATCCTCTGTGATGTTCAGGTGGGCTTAGTGACGACTGATATAAAGCCCTGTTTGTGGGAACTGCTGTGCTGTGTTTTACTGCAGGGAGAGGTGGATTATGTTGTTTAGTGTTGACTTGTGTTATAAGCATTCAGCTCTGACACAGAATCACAGTAGCTGAAGTTTAAATTGGTGTTGAATGAGGGCTGCAGACAAAGTGATGATATTACACTGAGACATTAGAAATGTGTTGCTACTTCACCCACTTATCTCTGGGTGTATAGGTTTGTCGATCAGTCACCAATTCCAGACTGAAATATCAGAATCGGCTTTATTGCTGAGTAGGTTTACACATGTTTGAAATTTTAGTGTGTGTGTGTGTGTGTCTCTCAAAATACCATTTTAAATTTAAAATGATCATACTGTTTTTCCCAGTACCTAATAGTGTAACTAATTACTTTTCCAAAACAGTAATATTATTAGTTACTTATCCTGTTGTTCATATCAGCTGCTTTTCCACAGCTGTAAGTAGCTGCTGCCATTATTGTGTTACAATCTAAGATGCAAAGAACATTGTCATCTATTGTAAACTCTGTGCGACCTGCGAAAAGCTTTCAACTGCGAACAACTCCACATCTGATTTATTGAAGCATCTGCTAAAGCAGCACAGCAGCGTTAAACTTAAAGAATGAAACTCCGTTTGCTACTGCCTCTTATGCTTGGACTCGTCCGGAGAGAGTGGCGTTAACGTAATGTTTTGTCACTGCTCTTATAAATAGGCTACATGTGTAGAGAAACAGCTTTTAAATAGTTCAGAAGTCGGGGTTTACTTGCTTTATTTTTTTATTTCAGAAACATTAGGCCTATATGCTTTGTAAAAACCACTCCCTGCTGCTGTTATGAATATTATACTAGTTATAAAGTCGGGAGAGACTGCTTTGTTTGGGGCTGAAGGGGGGTGGTAGTAAACGCGATCCATCCATCCATCGTCAACCGCTTCTATAGATTTTCTCAGTATGAGAGTGAGGACGCTGGAGTGTGTCGCTGCTTCACAAATCGCCGTTTTTCACAAAACTTGAGTCACTAAGCTTTTTTGAGTTTAGTGACCAGACACTAGGATAAGGTGTGTATGTAAATATCTGTATTGCCAACTGTTGCTCGGCACAACTGCGGCTCTGTAGCCTAATGTTACTCACCCATGCCGGTGTTCTGACGATCTATTCTGCCTTTTCGAAAAATGCTACCGTAGCACAAATCGAGTCTATCGAGTTGCTCTGCCCTATCGGAAAATGCTACCTTATGTGTTCCCTTTTCCAATCCCATAAAGGTATACCTCTCACAGTATTATGGCATCTTCTGTTTTTTGATTATAACATCATTTCAGGGGTAGCGTATTCTGATAGACTAATAATGATTTAATCATATTTTATGTTACTGACGGTCAGTCACTGTCTCGGCTGCATTTCCCAACAGCAAGGTTGCACAGATTTATGGGCGTGGAAACAAACCACGCTTGTGGGTCATACACATGCGCAGAACCCCTAAGTAGCACATCATGATAGGTAGCATAAATTGACAGAATCTGGGATTATCTTTTCTGGTACCACTGACTGGATAACTCTGCCACGAAACCTGGATTATCGACTATTCTGCCTCATCTTCACTGCAACGCTGTTGATGTGGTTGAACGTTGGATGTATTCTCTCCGGGCCCCTGTCTTCGGTAGCTAAGCTAGCTGGTGCTTCCTCGTACCATCATGTTGCTAATTAAATACTCCTCCCTGGATCTCCTGAACCTCTTCTGTCACATCATACCAAATTGTCTTGATACCATCAAATCTCTCAAACTCCTGTGTCGCCCCCGCAATGTACATAGGGGCTCCCAACGTAAGTTTGTTTACATGGACCACCTAGTGTTCGGTTGGACAGACGCTCTGTTGCAGTGAGATGATGTCATCACAACAAACCACACGTGTGTTCTGTCAATCTGAGGCCCCTGGTCTGTGTTGATGTTGCTCCTACTACACTGCATGCCTCAGCACCTAACAAGACTGCAATGTTCATGTTATTGAACACTCGCTCCCTAAATAATAAAGCACTACTCATACATGACATTGTTACTGACAAGAAAATGGCTTGGCAAAATCGGCTAGATTTTATGGCACTCAAACAAGCCACCCTACAAGGCTATGTGCACATACAGAAGCCTCGATACACCAAGCTGACATCCCAGTGAAAAAACTTCCAGTGCCTAACATCACCTCATTTGAGTGTATTCGTTTCACATTGGCTGGGTCTGCACAGCTCCAAGTGGTCCTTGTTTATCACCCCCCAAAAACCTCCACCATCTTCATGGCCGAGCTACTCCTCTCCGTGTGCTCCATCCACACTCCTGCTCGGGGACTTCAATATCTGTGTAGACTCTTAACAGCTGTGCCTTTTGCTGCTGAATTCCTGTCTCTATTGGACTGCCTCAATATCATTCAGCACGTCAAAGATCCCACTCACACCAAAGGTCACACACTGGATCTGGTGTGCTCCACTGGTGCTACTCCCTCCCAGCTGCAATGCATCGACCTAGCAAAATCCTGGAAAGAGCAGTTGCCGCCCAACTTCATCAACGTCATCTCCCTACCCTAAGAAGACCTTGGTGTCATTTTGGACTCCACCCTTTCCTTCCAGTCACATGTCAAACTCCTCCTTACCTAATCTGCTTTCTACCACCTCAAAAACATCTCCAGACTTCGACCATCACTCTCAGACTCTGTGGCAGAGTCTCTCATCCATGCCTTCATCACCTCCTGCTTACTGACTAATGTAATGGTGTCCTGTATGGGGTACCCAGCAAGGTCCTGGACAGGCTACAATATGTCCAGAACTCGGCTGCCAGGGTTCTCTCTCACACTAGGTCGTGGCAGAACATCACCCCAATCCTCACTCAGCTTCACTGGCTCCCAGTCAAGTTCTGCATCACCTACAAAATCTTACTCCTCACCTATAAAACACACACACACACACACACACACACACACACACACACACACACACACACACACACACACACACACACACACACACACACACACCCTGCGGTCCACCGTCAAGGGCCTGCTCTCTGTCTCCCACACCAGACTGCGGGCTTTTGGGGACAGAGCCTTCAGCGTCACAGCCCCCACCCTCTGGAACTCTATCCCCACAGAGATCCGAAATGCTTCCTCTCTGGACACCTTCAAAAAACTCCTAAAAACCCACCTCTTCAAAAAGGCATTCAACCCTGAATGACTTTTTATTGCTCTGTCTCTGCAATTATGTGTAAAGCGCTCTTGGGTCTCGTGAAAGGCACTATATAAATAAAAGTTGTTGTTGTTATTATTTAATCGATGCGTCGTTTAAGAAGTACTTTTGCTTGGCAGTGGTGCCCCCCCCAGGTGTGCACGTTTATAGGTGATAGATTTTTATTGGTCCTTTTGGAAATTCATAGTGTGTCATACAGCAAACATCAGACCAACAACCAGATAGCTGCTTTACAAACACAAACATCATTCGAGTACAAGTTATTCTAAAGGCTCGTGCAGTTTTCTTCAGCTTGAAATAATCGCATACTTTGGACACTTTCTTCTTGTTCCCTCGCTATTTTCCTCTCTCTTCCTCCACAGCGGCATCATAATCACGATGTGATCACAGCGTAAGCGCGATGTGCGACAGTAATAAATGTCTGTGCGAAACAGTGGTACTATATAGTTGTATGGATGAAACGAAGCCTCGATGCAAAGTATTTGTGTCGATGCATTGTGTAGTTTGTCTCGCAATAATAAACAAAATACTACAGTATTCGAACAGAGTAACCAGAATATTCAAGCAGAGAATATTGCACATTAGCATAAAAACAGATGATAAAGTAATTTGTTTCTGTTGTTGGAGTTTAAAATTGATAGACAGAATAGAAACTTGTTGTCATTCAGCTCCAGGCTGCTGCCGCAGAGCAGCTCAGTGTCTCCGGCCTCACACTGTGATCGTGCAGCTCGTCTCTATAGTAAACTTGTTGAAGTGAACGGAAGTTAACTGAAAGATTTCAGCTAACTGGAGCCGTCTGCTCCTCGGACCCCCTCCACAGATAAATGTCCTCGAACTCGGTGAAGAAGAATTTGTTCGTGCGTGTCTGGTCTGATTCACTAAAGTTTTTCTCTCTGTGTTGCAGCTTTCCGAGAGACACCCCTCCAGTGAAGATGAGACCATGGTCCTGGTACTAGCCCCCAGAAAAGCCAGCGAACTCCCTGTTAACGAAGTAGTGTGTATCCTGCAGGTACGGTGTTTTAAAACTTATGATTAAGAGGATATTTAAAGGTACTCGACACAAATTCTGGGAAAGGCTGTACTGATGTGAGAACAAGTAGGTTTTCAATTTTGACTTAAAAATATCCACTGAACGTGCTTCCCTAACACATAGTGGAAGGTCATTCCATAAATCGGGAGCAGGGTTATTGTACGGAGGTTTGACCAAGAGACCAGCATTTAGAGAGCCAGTGAAGAGAGGCCAAATTAAGCCTTTATAGGTACATATAACTGTGTGTCATCAGCGTAGCAATGGAAATTAATAATGTATTTGTGGATGAGAGAGAGAGAGAGAGAGAGAGAGATGGATATAATTTTGATTTCTGTTGTATCTTGAGCTGCTGTAACAAGTACATTTTCCCCGTCGTAGGATCAACAAAATCTTAAACAAAACATGTATATAGATGGCAGAAGTAAAATGGTAACCGTTTTGAAGTGTTCAAGTACAGGCAAGCAATACAAAAGATTAAAATAATAAACTAATGAATTAAAGAACACTGTGCCCCCACACACCATAACACATTTAATGAAATTCAACAGTTAAAATATATTCTATTTCAAAGCTAAGCTGAGAAGCCTTAGCCTGTCCTTGGTGAAGTAGGTAGTGTTTTAAGCTTTGACTTGAAACTGGTCAGAGTCAGGGCTTGTCTTATATCTGAAAAAATATGTATATGTAGTTCCAAAAAAACACGAGCTTGATCCCTGCAACAGCCTGCTTGCTCCACTAGATTTGATGTGCAGTAAGTCTGTAGCAGGAACTGAGCATCACCTGTAAAACAACAACCAAACTATTTTCCTTTTAGAAAGTTTGTGTTGCGATCTTAAAGTCGTCCTGTGTTTTGTTGGTGCTGACAGGCGGACCTGCAGTTGGGTTTGACCCAGGACGAGGTGAGCCGGAGGAGAGCGTACCACGGCTGGAACGAGTTTGACATCGGTGAAGAGGAGCCACTATGGAAGAAATACATTTTACAGGTGACAAATCCATCACATTATAATGGAGTCTTGCACAGGAATGTGCCTTTAAGTGTTGGCAGTGTGTAGACAAAGCCACCATAGTGTTGCTGCACGTCAATCCATCCATCGTCAACCACTTATTCTGCGTACAGGGTCACGGGGGGCTGGAGCCAATCCCAGTTTACATCGGGCGAAAGGCAGGGTACACCCCTGACACGTCGCCAGTCCAGGTGTGGCTGCACGTGTGGCCCAAAATCTTTCACAGTTTGCCAAGTTTATTTGTTTGGTTTTTACAGCATGTAAAGCTGAACGTCTGACTGTAAACTGTGTGGTCTCGCTGCTGTAGGCTAATCTGACAGTCCATGTTTTTAACGCTGCTGACGTATGAGACGGCAGCGGCCAGAATGCAGCTGCAGGATAAAGCCAATATCCTATTTTTATCTTCTGCCTGTAACATGTCTTCAGGCACATCATGTTCCAGAGTGTCATTGTTTTGTCACGAGGAACAGTACTTCAACTCAGGCAGCAAAACATCTACAGAACACCATGCCAAGCTCAAACATGTTTCACACGTGGAGACCTGCAATGCTGCTTTTGTTTTTGTGCTTGTAGAAAATTAGGTGGATAAATGGTTAATAACAGGACAGTTACAGAAGACACGACACAAAAATAAAACTGATTTAACAGGGTTGCGATATGAACCGCACCACGGCTCAAAAAACGAGTGGTGAACCGAACTGTGGATTTGGTGTATCGTTACACCCCTAGTATTAAACTTTGACTCTTTTAAAAGCTCCTGGACGAAAACATTGAGAAGATCCTCTCCTCATATATTAGAGAAAGTGACCAATGGACAGTTGAACAGCTGAACATGGCAGTCTGTCTCCATCAGATTTGAGAGGTTAAGTAATGGAAGCAGCCTGAGGGAGTTTGGCTGCTGGTCTGTTTTGTCCACATGAACTCAAGGACAGAAGCTGCTGCTGCTGTTGAGCCAGAGGAACAAGGGATGGGAGGAGGGAGGAGAGGCCTCTGTGAGCAGCGACAACACATACGTTAAATTCAGAAAGGCAACAGGAAAGGAAGTGAGGATGAGACGGAAGATGGGAGAGTGAAGGCAAGAAGAAGATGTGTTGGATGGTTTTTATCTCCTTTCACACACAAAATCCTTAATTTCTGCATGAACTCGTGTCTTGACTAATCAGCCACAATCTGTCAGGTTTCCTGAAACTTTTCACATTTGACCGGACAGGCCTGAAATGTGAGGAGAATCACACAGAGTTCGTTCATTATTTACTTCCTGTCAGTAAATAAAGGCATTTAAAGTGTCTCACAGAAAAAATCACACACAGCTGATGTTTTCAAGCTCTTCACCAGAAACCTGAGTGATGTTTGGAGCACAAGTTCTTGTACATCATTTGTTCAGTAAGTTTGTTTCAAGTTTGTTTTAATCCCCACATTGATATTTTGCCATTTCTTTTAAGAAGTTATGTCATATCAGCCAGTCTCTTAGGACTGTTTTAATTGTGGGGTTTGGCTGAGTTGCTTCTTTAATACCGTAAAACTTCAATTAATAGCAGAGTCCCAAATAGCCGCCCGCCCCGTATACTGGCCTGGTGTGGAAACACATTTTGAAACTCAGGTCTTCATTAAACGCCTGGTCTGGTTTTTATAGAAGTTCTTTGGATGTATAAAACCTCTTAAACCCCCGCAGGGTCACCCGCTTTAGCTGCTTCTAAGCTGATTCGACCATTAATACAAATATTAATGTTTAAATGTATAATCAATATGTCAGTACGGACATGCTACATATCATTAGATGGGTTAGATTCTCCAAAATTCGATTGTTCAGTTCATACAACGGAAAGTGCATAAGCCGTCTGTTGGAGCTAAATCAAATGAATGACGTGTATTTAATAATTTATATACAAGTAATATTCTGTTTGATATAAACTGTTTTGTCTATTTCAGTTTTGTGCGAAAATAATTAAAGGCCGGTCCCATATGATTTTAGCAAATAAAAGCCTGGGCTATTAATCAAAGTTTTTTTGTAAACACTAGTGCAGTGCCTGTTCACAGGGGCCGATGTGACGCCTCCCTGCAGCATATCTCCGAAACAACACGACAATGGCGGAGATACTGCTAGATATTCAGCGCTTCCATAGAACTTCATAAATCTCTTCCTACGTTTCAACACATTCGTTTCTAACATATGATCGTGATCACGCAGGTTTGATATAGTCTGTTTCACTGCCACATCAGAGCATATATGCCCCGTCCTGGCGAGCATTACCCCGCCCTCACTGTTGTAAAGTGGAGCGGCATAAACCCCAAACCTGAGCAAGCCACTCCGCTCTGTTCTGTTCTCCAGTATATTTATTCATTCTGAATGTTCAAATTGTACCAAACGTGACTCTCCCTTGTTTCCACAGCAACACATCCGCCACGTGTGAAGTCGATTGGAAGAACTGTTCCTGACATAATTAAAATAGAGACAGTCACACAGAGATTCCTGCCTTTTACTAAAGAGATGAAACAGATGACATTCACTCTTTTAAGACTCCCAGTTTTCGAACTACTGTTTCTGTCTATGAATGAATCAGTCTGTAAATGATGAATAAAACATATTCTGTTTTAAAAAGATACAGAGGTAAGGGGAAATACAGTATTGATAATCACTTGGGGTTCTGTTGATGTGTATAAATATTGCTGTTTGTGTAAATATATGTATGTGAATATAGTTATATTTGGATATGTATTTTCTTTGATTTTTATAGATCGATAGATATAGGTAGGTAGATATATCTAGATAGAGATATAGATAGATTTATTATTTTGTAGTTTTATTAATTGTGGTATTTAGAGTATACAGGAGCACATAAGTTTTACTTTTTCCTACTCCTTTTTGCACATGTAAATGTGCTTAAGTAATGGAAATTATGGAGTTTTATTTTGTTTATCTGTTTTGTTACCATCATTAATTTTTCTCAATAAAAATCTCTCTCTCTATCCAACATGTGTGGAAACCGTTGTCACTTTTCAGAAAATATAGTTACAGGTGTCCCCAGTTTAACTCCCATACATTATATTGTAGACGGTAAGATCCAGCAGATTTGTGGATTAAACCGTGAAGAGGGAAGTTCTTGCTACTGCTGCTGCAGTCATGTTCTTGATGTGGAAACCAGGTCATTTTGATGCTTGAACTGAAAATAGAACTGGAGTCCGCTTCACCCAATGAGCTCCGCCTTTTCACTGTGGATGACTGACACTTGTTGTACTTCTATCTTTGTGAGGATCTGGACAAAATGTTCTGTGTGTGTGTGTGTGTGTGTGTCACAGGGATGCACCGAATGTTTGGCAACCAAAATCAATCGGCCAAAAACAGCAACAAAAGCATTTTTCGGTGTTTGGCCTAATATGTCAAAAGACCGAATAAATTTTACCGGACAATTGACCCTTCGCTAAGACACGCTGGCCTATCACAGCGCAGTATAGGACTCGCTCTAACTGAGGTCTGACACTTTTATGGCTATGCTCCATTCACTCTAATGCAAAAAGAGTCGTTTTTCTAGCTTTCTTCTACCGTATTTTTCCGAGATATGGACAAACGCTGTTCCTGGGGCACTTGTAGTAGTTACAGCAGCTACCCTGAGAGGTTAAAAGGAGAATACGATTCTTTTTCCAAAACCCAGTTTGAGTCAGTTTGACAGCTTGAATACAACTTTCAAATGTAAAATGCAATTGCAAAACTGTTTGCTGCTTTCTGAGATTGCGACGCTTTTTCCAACAAATTTGACAATATTTCTCCGGGGAGTGCAGTAATAGACAGTGGCAACGCCAACAGTTTGGTCAGACTTAGCAACAGTAACTAAGGGGGGTGGGGCTTAGCAAAGGGTCAGTTACGTGTTACATGTCAGCAGTGTGAAAGCATATGTCTGACTGTAGCTGATTTCTTAGAAAAGGCAACAAATGGTCTGACCCCGCTTTGAGTGTCACTCGTTTGGGAGAAGACAATTAAGCTAGCCGCACCTACATTTGGAGTGCACATGTATTCAAGCCTTTATAGTAAATCCACTGAAACATACTAGAGCGAGCTGACAGGCAGGTTAGCGACTCCTTTTATTATTTAATTTATGCAATAGTAAAAATGGAAAAATAAATGGAAAAATAATTTAAAACCTTGTTCGGTATTCAGGAAAGTTTTTCATTATATTTGGGTTTGGCTTTGGCCAAGAATTTTCATTTCGGTGCATCCCTAGTATAACACAAAGATTCACACAGTTTACATAAAACAGTGGCTCTGCATTACAAAGACAATAAGTTACTTTCCAAGGAAGTTTAAATCAGGGGCAGCTGGACTTTGTTGAAGATGCATTTCATCCAAAAGGCTTCTTCAGTTCTGACTGACTGGCATGGAGTCCCAGCTGTTTAACCTCTTTGGGGTCGCTATCAAGGTGATTGGCTCGTTAGTGCTCCTGGCTGTTGGAAGCCAAATGTGAGTGCTTGTTCAGGCCCCCTGGAATAGACGGAAGAACAGCATTGTAGGTGGGGGTTAAGTGGTGTCTCGGCCCTCTTCACACGTTCAGAGATGGTTTATCCATTCTGGTGTAAATGGCTTCTCTTTCAAACAATCTGTCCTCCCTGAACAAAATATGTACATTTTTGTCATTGAGAGAGTGTCCTTTAAGCTTCAGATGTAAGTAAACTGCTAAGCCTTGACCTGAGGAGACCTGTTGAGCCATGCGTTTGTGTAGTGGTTGTTTAGTTTCTCCAACATACAGGTCTGTGCATTCCTCACTACATTGGACTGCATACACTAGATTGCTTTTCTTGTTTGGGTGTGCGGTCTTTGGGGTGGGCCAGTATCTTTCTTAACATGTTCTTGGAATGTAGTGTTTGTTGAAGATCCTTCGGAGTTTCACTGATAACCCAACCTCTTTCTGTGTCTCTCCCTCTCTGCAGTTCAAAGATCCCCTCATCCTGTTGCTGTTGGCGTCGGCCGTCATCAGCGTTCTCATGCGCCAGTTTGATGACGCTATCAGCATCACTGTGGTATGTTACACCTCACACTACAGCACACTTCACTTGTTCGTTTCTCCTGTTATCTGAGAAAACCCCCCATAGACCTGAGGTTCTTAGATTGTTATTAAAAGAAAAATCAGCGTATTGTGGTATTTATGGCAGCGTCGGCAGCGGATGAAAGTAGAGACTGTAACGTGCAAGGAAACTCGCTGCAGGTGTCTGCCTGTGAGTCTGGCAAATTAGAGATTATATAAACTAATTTTATTTCTTCTTTTTGAATCCCTGTGGGGAAAATGTTGTTGCAGTAGTGAATAATTGCATTGATGTGCAGGATAAGAGAACAACGGAGGAAAAGGCAAACATTAAAGTAAATGTTATATCAGAATATACAAACAAAGATAAAAGTCAAGCAGTGTTCATTACATCCTTAATATAAGTTGTTGGACAGAACAAACTGTTCTTAGAGACTCCCCAGTAGTGGCGCTAAAAAAAATTTGTCCTGATGGTGGCGCTAGAGAAAAGGCCATATCCTGTATAAAAGAAGTGGATGTAGCCGCCGTGACGTCACCCGTTGGTTTGTGAAATGCCATGTTGAAGCCTACAGTTTGGCATTTTGGCCGTCGCCATTTTGCTTTTTGGAGACAATTTGCCAAAATTAGAGCAAGATTATCTGCTAAATAGAATTAAGACCAAGAATAATAATAGGAGAGAGAAAGTCTTTTAATGTTAATTTAATTAATGGAGAATGAATTATTATCAGGACATTTCTTGGAGTCACTCGCTGCGTTATATGAGATCTTCTGTGCAACGTTAAACTTTATTCTGATGGCAGTTTCCTAGAGGAAAAGTTAGGAGGGTGTCCAAAGTCATTAGGAGGCAAGATTAACAGTCTCTGGACTGAACTGTTGGACCAAATTACATCTGCGTTTGGAAGAAAAACTGCATTAAACATAGTGTTCTGCTTTGGTGGCGCTGTGTTTACACAGCTACAGGCTGGCAGATGAAGACCGGTTTACAATATGTGTACTCAGTAATATGGTCCGATGAAGGTGAATAGCGCGGTTATTCAGTTTACATTACAGAGTCCCATGCCAACGCCTAACGCACACACCCTAAATCTCAACAATGGGTCATGCGGACTTGACTGTCATGCTTGTTGGCAGAGTTCACACCCCAATAAAAAATCAACATAGTTATATGAATGGAAAGTTGTATGAATGAAAGTTAAATGACAAGATAAGGAGAAGCAAAAGATTTTTAGGCCCAAGAAGAGCCTTCGGTAGGGATGGTCTGTTTTGTTTTACAACGTTGAGTCAAAGTAGATTTAACATGGTTTTTTTTTTGTTTTTTTTTACACTTATCAACCTTTTAATCTCAAAGTAAAAACAGATATTTACAAATACAAAATACATTTTTGCATAAATAATCACCCCCTCCAAGTTAGTGTTCAGTAGATTCACTTCGGTATTTTTCAACCTATTTTCCCACGTTTTTGTATCTATTTAATTAATTAGGACTACTTTTTTAAAAAAAAATGGTCCAGTATTGAGCGAGCACGCTGCAGTCGGCAACAGTGAAGACTGCAACATACCATAAAACTACAATTAATAGCCGAGTCCCAAATGGCCGCCTACGCAGTTACTGGCCTGGTGTGGGAACACATTTTGAAAAATAAACACAGGTCTCCAGTAACCGCCTGGTCTGGTTTTTATAGAAGTTCTTTGGATGTATAAAACCTCTTAAACCCGGCGGGGTCACCTGTCATGTGAAGTCCATCACTCTCTGTCTGCTAACTTCTCTCACCCTGCACCGTGTTGTTGTTATTGTGATGTGCTACATCAAATGAATGATGTGTATTTGATATATTGGATAAGTTTTATACAAGTAATAGAAGTAGTTTTATGCAAAAGGAATTAAAGGCCTGTCCCACCTGTACACCTCTCCCAAATAAAGGCAGGGTAAATTCAGTGATTTTAGCAAATAAAAGCCTGGGCTATTATCCAAAGTTTTACGGTAATGTGGGTAATACGGTTTTTGCTGCTGAAAGGCTCAGACTGCTACTGTACAAATGTCTGACAACATTAGAGACAGAGACAGACATTTGTTTAAAGAGTAAGATCCTTTTTGTTTAACCAGAAACAGTTGCTATAACAATATGGGCAAATCAACTAGACTCCATTGATAAAAACGGACTACTGCGTTTTGGTTTTAAAACGGAGAGTTTTTGCTACGTTTGCACCTCCCATCTAGACTAAAACGGCGAAAACGAAGACCTAAAACGGAGAAGTTTGAAAAGGATGCAACCCCGTTTTTCGCTTCAAAACTCCGGGTAGCATTTTAGTGCAGACGGTCAAAAACAGAGGACTTTAGAAACGATGAGGCAGATGGTCTCGTTTGGTTCTCTGATTGGGTCTAATAAGTCATGCAAAGCAGAAACACAATGCTACTGACAGAGTTTTAGTATTTTTATTAAAATATTTTGAACCGTGCAAATAACACTAACCGCCTACACTTGTACTGTGCATGTCGCCTTTTTTACTTTGCGACGACTCGCAGTCTGTTTTCCACCACCACAGCCCATTCAGTAACAGTCCCAGCTCGTTATTGGTCCATGCAAAATAAAATCTGGTGTGGTTCTTCATCTGTTAGGGGTGGGAATCACCAGAGGCCCCACGATACGATATTATCACGATATTTATGTTGCGATTCGATTTTATTGAGATATATTGCAATTTATTACCTTTTTCCAACTTCCAATTAGGTCCCTAAAGTCAAACTTTGTCAACATCTGTTTATCTAAAAAGATACATATCTCTTGTTTTTTCATATCACTTTTTCAGTCCTCTACATGGTCCTGTTAAGTTTTCTAGTGGACTAAAAAAGCAATAGATTTTATTATTCTAGTACCAAAAAGTTAAAACTCCCATCTGCAATTTATATAATAAAATATCGATACTTGGCGTCCGTGTATTGATACAGTATTGCCATAGCAAATATCACGATACTATGCTGTATCGATTTTTTCCCCCGCCCCTATCATCTGTAGTACTTTACTCTTTCACCAAATTTTCTGTAACTACGGAGTAGACCAGCTGCTGTGGACGAAGATCGTAGTCATTTTAAAACTCCGTTTTTAAACTAAAACGGAGTAGTTTGTCAGTTTGTTAGTTTTTTTGTGTTGTTGTGTGCCTTTGTTGTTTTTGTTAGTTTAGGGAGTGTGGTGGCTTTGACAAGACCTGTAAGGATTACGATACAGCCCTGTCTTGCTGCTGCAGACTGCAGCGCACTCACTCAATACTGGTCCCAATTAGTCACACAGACAAAAAACATGGGAAAATAAGGTCCAAGTCACAAAGTACTGAGGTTACTCGTTAAGTCTGTGGATAGGTCTCTATTAGCTTTGAGTAAAAAGTCGTAATAGAATGAGAATAACGTCTAAACATACATAGAAAAAAGTCTTTAATAACACAGGTTTTAATACTTTACTATAGTCAGCAGTTGAGAGCAGTCTGTTGTCGTTAACACCTCAACTGCATTGAATCAGATGTAACTCGAACTTGATGTAACTTGAAGGTTAACCAGCTGCCTCTGTGTCGTTGTTTTATTATTTTACAGGCCATCATCATAGTAGTGACCGTTGCCTTCGTCCAGGTGAGTCCAGTTTGAGCGTGTTATTGTTTCAGTCTCTCTGCTAACACATGTCTCTGTTCATTTTTAAACAAACTTCCATAAATATTAAAGAGTTTGCAGCCTCAAACGATGAACAGATGTTTAAAATGTGAATCCTAGAGTGGTCTGCTGCAGTGTGTGTGGGTGGAATATACTTCTGCATGTAGATTCATGAATCTTGCATAGCTCCAGTTCTTTGCTTGTCCTCTTGTGTGTAGGAGTACCGCTCAGAGAAGTCTCTAGAAGAGCTCGGGAAGCTGGTTCCTCCAGAATGTCACTGGTGAGAGTTTAATCCATCCTCCTCTTCTTCTTCTGTGTTAATGTGATTCTGTCTGGGTCAACAGGCAGAGTCGGGAAGCAGCACTGCCGCAGTGACTGCTTCACTTCCTAATACTACTCGCATTCTGCTTGGCTGTTTTATATTCACTCATTTGGCAGATGCTTTTATCCGAAGTGACTTATATTTAAGGAACAACATAGAAGCACCAGTAAAGTGAGAGATGTCAGAAAGTGAGAGTGATAACAGATACAAGTAAGAGCTAATGGCACATACGGCATCAATGGGATAAATACCTAGGAGAGGAAGTAAGAGTGCAATCAATACAAGAGAACTGTACAGAGATGGAAGAAAAGGAACAGGAAGTACCTCAGTTGTTTCTCTTGAATGTTAATTTCTGAAGTAGTTGAATGATGGGTTCCATTTAACTCTAAAGTTGTAGCTAGAAATGAAATCACACCCGAGCTACAGATTGTAGCAGAAAACAAGATTGACCCCTCTGGCTGTTGTGAGGATTACCAGCTGATAACAAGGTATTGCGCTGTATTTTGCACATACAAATGCCGTAGCAACATGTCCAAATAAGACAGAAGTGGGTTGGTGAGGTTCTTCCAAATTTCCGTGTCGGAAATCTGACTTAAGGGGGCGTTCTCGTCGGAAAGTCCGATTTCCCATGTCAAATGGAGCGCACCATCACCATGTATCACTCATGCACGAAACATTGTTCAGTAGAGCCCCAACTACTGTCTTATAAAATAATGACATCCTATTTTGTTTGTACAACATACAAGAAGATGACGGACTGATTTACATGCAATACAAAACAGAGGAAAGCAGCGAAAAATGATCTGTGCCACAAATTGTTTGTTTTTATTTGATAGGTGACTTAAACTGATTTACTAAATGTTCAATTTAATTTCAAAACTGTTTGAATGGACTGTGTAACACTATAGCACTGGTTGGCAATAAGCGGCCTGCGGGCCAGAATTAATCTGCCGACAATAGTGTAAAAAAAAAAAATAGCACTTTCCGTGTTCGGCCTAATAAGTCCAAAAGACTTGATTAAATTTTACAATTACATTGACATGTCGGCAGTGTGGAAGCATTTTAAAGTGTCCGAGAAAGACGCAAAAATGGCGGTTTGCAGACTCTGTTCTGCTGAATTGTCTCCCAGCACATCCACTCCATCTGTGACTGACGTCTTAGAAAAGAACAGCTTTGAGTGTTTCTGTGAGAAGGCGATTAAGCTAGCCGCACCTACATTTGGAGTGCACACATGTTCAAGCCTTTATGGTAAGTCCACTGAAACGGCCCAGAGCAAGCTGACAGGCAGGTTAGAGACTTTATCGTGTCAGTTTGAGTGTTGCAGTGTGAGAGTCCTACCTGAAGAGAGGCTGTGAATTCTTCATGTTACGCCGTACGAGAACCACATACAACATTATTTATCAAACTGGGTCGGACTTGGTGAATTTAGTGCGAGGATATACATGTGACAACGTCTGGTTTTCAAAATAAGGCGTCTGTACAGGATGGAAATAAGATTAATCGGATTATATTCACAGAAAGTATAAAACATATTAAATGTGTCCATTAAAAGTAAATGGACACATGTGGTTTACTTTACTGGACCCTCTTGGGCCCCGGACCCCCCAGCGTGTTGTGTATCTGCTCTATAAAATGTAGAAACCTGCTGATTCCCTCTTCTGAGCCTCGAGTTCATCCACAGTTTGATTTTCTTCTTTTTGTTATTCTGTGCAAAACACAGCACACACAAGGTCAACCAGCTGACAGCGACAGTCTGCCTCCATGTTTGTTTCTGTCTTAAGTCACTTTTGATCACGCGAGATTTTGTGAGATCCCAAGTCCCTGGAACCGCCACTCTGAAACCCTTTAGTATAAATGCAGAGTGTGTGGTCCTTAGTCTGGACTGACCCGTCTGGTGTGTGCGTTCTTAAGAAAAAACTATTAAATATTGTTTGATCCTGTCGTTATGTCTGTGGTATGTCACGTTTTTAAAATTGGTTAAGATTTTAAAATCCTCTAGTGTGCACCAGGCATTTGGCACCAAAATCTAAACGGATTTCAGCTAATAATTAAACCCTACAGTACTGTACATCTAGCCAGCATTTCATTAGAACGACATTGCCTTAATTTTCCTTCTGCAACGATCTAAAAGATGAAAAATAGTTGTAATAATAAGGGATCAAATCTATCGGAGTTTATTCCCTCACTGTCTGGAGAAATGTAACGTACGTCACCAAAAAATGTGAAGCATCAGACCGGTCTGAAAAAACATTATAATAATAGTTTATCAATTCCCTTTGACTCCGTTCTTCACAAATGACCTAATATTAAGTCAACTTTTAAAGTAAGACACTAATATAAATGGAGCCGGATTTTCTCACACACATCCATCCGGCTCAGAGGAAGAAAATATTCCTTCAAACAAACTTCTCGGGCCTCGATTTACACTTCAAATAACAGCAGACGGACGTAACAGCTGCCCCTTCACACACACTCACACACACTCACACACACACACACACACACACACACACACACCTGTGCAGCACTTGTAAGCCGAGAAGGTCTCGGGAGCAGCTCGTCGCTCAGCCTTCCCTCCATCTCTCTCTTCCTCTGCCCAGTTTTGAAACTTTTCTTGAAATAGCTGATTTTGTCCCCATCACTTTTTTTTTTTTTTTAAATCATCTGTTAAAAATGTTCTGAAATATAGCTTGCATCAAGAGATATTGACTAACAAATGAAAGGTTTATTTGCACAATAAGAAAACTTGCAATGCAAATATTGAGAAAACAAATAAAAGTAACTTAAGCTGATTTAAAAAAAGCTGACTATAAAATGAGCCAAAAACGTGCCGCACCAGTCAGTAACTTTAACAACGTCTTGATACGGTTTCTTTTTGGCCAAGTTTTCCGTTCTCTCCCTGTGAACATGACAAAAGAGGAGAGAAGACTAAATCCTGCCTGCATGTGTGCTGACTCAGCAGGGATGATATTACAGGAGAAAAGTTGATCTACAGGAGAAACGGATCTGAAAGCAGCACAGAATGACCAGAAAGTTCACTTATTCCGGCACATTACAGCTGCGCCACGGTTTTGATGCGTCCTCAGCCCGGCGTCAAAGTCCACTGGAAGCGTCTCAGAAGCATTTCAGCAGCAGCATTTGTGCAGCCAGCCCCACGTTATTGACTTATTAATTTGTCCGTTTCTGTGACCTTGTTTCGTTCCGTCAACTTCAGGCTGCATTTCCCACAGGGAGCATTTCAGAATCGGAGCCTTATTTTGCTGACATGTTTAGATTTTGTTGATTTGGTAATAAGTGCTTTTGTGCTTCTATGTAGGCTATGTAGATAAATGATTTCTTTCTGTGTCCGTTTCAACCGAGTTTATTGTTGATTTACGATCGGGAGTCTCCACAGGGTGTTCCTATTCTCTGCAGAGCGGAGAGCCAGACTACAATGGCCGCAATTAGCTCTGGCAACGCGCCGCAGCCGATGGACTTTTGGCGTTAGATTCTATTAGAGGGTTACAGTTTGAATTGTCACCTCCCACCTGAATTTTGTGTTTCCCTATTTATTTAAATAAACATTTCCACAATAAATTTGTGCAGAACATTTCTCCAGAATGCAGGAAATTTACTCAAATTTTTGCAGAACCCCCACTGATATATTTCAGCATTGAGTATTTCTTCAAAATAGTCTTAAAATACCGTCTTGTCTTGTTCTTGTGACCCCAACATTGTGCTGCGTCACACCTCTAATATGTCTCCACCTCTTTTAAGCACAAATTTACGCCTTTGCTGTTGTACGTATCAATACACCAACTCCTTCTCCTTTAAATCAAAAAAAAGTCTTTCTTACATGTCTCATCTACAGTGCCCAATATTGTTTGAGCTTTTTCTGTTGTTTAGTTAAGTTTCTTCTTTTGTTCCTTTTTTCTTGTGCTTTGTCTTGTCTGTTGTGTTAGATTTATATTTAATTCAGTTGTCTTTCCGCTGGTATTTTTCTTGGGGTTTTCTTCTGTGAAATGTCAGTTCATGTTGTTTTTTGCCCTGGATGTTTATTTGACACAAGTAAATAAAGATAAATGTTTGAATATTCAAATCCTCTCTCAGTGTCAGGGATGGGAACCTGGAGCACCTGCTGGCCAGAGAGCTGGTTCCTGGAGACACCGTCTGTCTGTCTGTGGGAGAGAGAGTCCCGGCAGATCTCCGCCTCTTCGAGGTGCACAGCAACACACAGAAATACCCACATGTAAACACACGAATGTTTTAACATAAACACAAAACCCATTGTTAGTTCATGTTTCCACTGGGCCTCTTCTTTTATTTATCCAGTGCAGCTTCGCTGAGCGTGAATATATATTTTTCCAGGAACACACTGTTTACACTCACATAGTGGCACACGTGATGCCACCTGGACAACTGCTCAGCTCAGCCACAGACTTGAGGTTTATTTTACAGGTCACATTTCCTAGAAAGAACTGATATGTAGCTGGAAAGTCATTAGCAAGTTCTTGGAAAAGTCTTTAATTAAGCCACAAGTTTAGCTGGTACTGTGAAAGTGAAATGTGGCATCAGGTAAACTTTTAACTCAACACGTAAGGAATTCTTACAGTAAAAAACAGTAAAGCGAAAAGACATTTCTTAATTTACAGACTTGGTCAAGTCCATTTGCCATTGTTTATTGAATCCTCTGTGTCTTGTCTCCACCCTCTTAGTCGACCGACTTGTGTGTGGATGAGTCCAGTCTGACGGGCGAGACGACCCCCTCCTCCAAGTCCACCCTCCACCAGCAAGCATCCAATGGCGACATCTCCTCCCTCAGCAACATTGCCTTCATGGGGACGCTGGTGCGCTGCGGCAGAGCCAAGGTACCAGCAGGATGATCCAGTTTCCTATTTCTTTAAATGTACAGTATCTCACTAAAGTGAGTACACCCCTCACAGTTTTGTAAATGTTTGAAATTATCTTTTCATGTGACAACACTGAAGAAATGACACTTTGCTACAATATAAAGTAGTGAGTGTACAGCTTGTATAACAGTGTAAATTTGCTGTCCCCTCAAAATAACACATCACACAGCCATTAATGTCTAAACCGCTGGCAACAACAGTGAGGACACCCCTAAGTGAAAATGTCCAAATCGGGCCCAATTAGCCATTTTCCCTTTCCATGGTGTCAGGTGTGTTAAATTTGATGTTATAACTCTCATACTCGCTCTTACTGGTCACTGGAAGTTCAACATGGCACTTCATGGTAAAGAACTCTCTGAGGATCTGAAAAAAAAATGGTTGTTCTACATAAAGATAATTAAGTCAAGAAAGTTTGCCATAAAATGTCAAAGTATAAGACTGAAAATATATAATTACAAAGACCACAAACCCAAAAGTTGCATACTGTATGTGATGAAGACGATGACCAGGAGTCGTTGGATTAAACACATCAGGTGACATGCATCTGTTCGTGGAACATAGCTAAGTTACCTAGCTAATAGCAAGCAAGCAAAGAATGTTAGCGCTAACATGTTGGTGACTACACTCACCTAAAGGATTATTAGGAACACCTGTTCAATTTGTCATTAATGCAATTATCTAATCAACCAATCACATGGCAGTTGCTTCAATGCATTTAGGGGTGTGGTCCTGGTCAAGACAATCTCCTGAACTCCAAACTGAATGTCAGAATGGGAAAGAAAGGTGATTTAAGCCATTTTGAGCGTGGCATGGTTGTTGGTGCCAGACGGGCCGGTCTGAGTATTTCACAATCTGCTCAGTTACTGGGATTTTCACGCACAACCATTTCTGGGGTTTACAAAGAATGGTGTGAAAAGGGAAAAACATCCAGTATGCGGCAGTCCTGTGGGCGAAAATGCCTTGTTGATGCTAGAGGTAAGAGGAGAATGGGCCGACCGATTCAAGCTGATAGAAGAGCAACTTTGACTGAAATAACCACTCGTTACAACTGAGGTATGCAGCAAAGCATTTGTGAAGCCACAACACGCACAACCTTGAGGCGGATGGGCTACAACAGCAGAAGACCCCACCGGGTACCACTCATCTCCACTACAAATAGGAAAAAGAGGCTACAATTTGCAAGAGCTCACCAAAATTGGACAGTTGAAGACTGGAAAAATGTTGCCTGGTCTGATGAGTCTCGATTTCTGTTGAGACATTCAGATGGTAGAGTCAGAATTTGGCGTAAACAGAATGAGAACATGGATCCATCACGCCTTGTTACCACTGTGCAGGCTGGTGGTGGTGGAGTAATGGTGTGGGGGATGTTTTCTTGGCACACTTTAGGCCCCTTAGTGCCAATTGGGCATGGTTTAAATGCCACGGCCTACCTGAGCATTGTTTCTGACCATGTCCATCCCTTTATGGCCACCATGTACCCATCCTCTGATGGCTACTTCCAGCAGGATAATGCACCATGTCACAAAGCTCCAATCATTTCAAATTGGTTTCTTGAACATGACAATGAGTTCACTGTACTAAAATGGCCCCCACAGTCACCAGATCTCAACCCAATAGAGCATCTTTGGGATGTGGTGGAACGGGAGCTTCGTGCCCTGGATGTGCATCCCACAAATCTCCATCAACTGCAAGATGCTATCCTATCAATATGGGCCAACATTTCTAAAGAATACTTTCAGCACCTTGTTGAATCAATGCCACGTAGAATTAAGGCAGTTCTGAAGGCGAAAGGGGGTCAAACACAGTATTAGTATGGTGTTCCTAATAATCCTTTACGTGAGTATATATTGTGCAAGACGAGAGATGAAACTTTGGAATTGTAGTTGAATCATTAATCAGTGTCCTCCCAGGACTTGGCGGGCCTAACTCTAAACCTGCATATTTAAACCAGCTGATTCTTTCATGCAGCTGACCGGGATGCAACAGCCTGTGTCTCTGTCTGACGTCCTCCATGTGTTTCTGTCATTCTCACCGTATTTCCTTTATGTTGGACCACAATACTGCACGTTCTGCAGAACAGTATCCCCGCTCTGGTAAAGAAGATCTGGATCCTGGTCTTCTCAGACCTTTGCTTTTATATTTTGTAGGTAAATGTGAGACGTTGGTATCACACCGGTCTGCGTCTTCTAAACAAGGAAGTGAGTTTGCTGACGTGTGACAAAATTTTGTGGGAAACGGAGATGATAGGTCAGATTAGCAGAGAAGTTGTGGTGATTGGTCAAAATTGCAAGTTGCGCTGAATTCACAGGGATTTGTTGAATTTGTGTTAATAGTTGCGACATTGTGAAATCCTGGAGTGACTGAATAAGATAAATAAATAAGATGATGAATAAAAGTGCCAAACAAAACAGCTTGAATGAGAATTGAATGAGAACCCTTGGAAGAGGATGGGTAGGCTATTGACTGCTCAAAAAGTCTGACAGCTGTGGGGACAAAGGATCGTCCTGCAGTGAAGCAAGATGAGGCGTTCACTGCCCCACTTCAACACATTGCTCAGTGAGTCCAGCATCCTGCGGAGCGCCGAGCCTGGCTGAACAATTAATCCAACTTTTATCGAAATGGCAATATTTCCTTCTGTAATTTTTAAATTCGCAGGAGGAGCAATATTTATGAAAGCTGGAAAGTGTGGCAGAATAACATTTTAAAATAGATTATGGTCGTGCTGCAGAGATGTCGTGGCCTACAAGTCATATTTTCTAGCACTGCCCTTCTAGGTACCCCAATGGTTAGTTTAGCATTTACCTAATAATGTTTTTATTGATTGATATTAATATTTCTCTTTTTTGTGTCTTATATTTTTCTTTATCTTTTAATTTATTTCTCATTTTTATTTTCTTAGTTTATCTTTACCGAACATCTTCACTGCAGACTCTTACTACTGTATTTACATGGTTATGCTTGAATTTCAACACATGTCAAGCACCTTCTCGTGTTGTGTTTGCAGGAGGCTCTACACAAATAAAGTCTGATTGATTCTACAGACTTAAAACAAATTTGGTACAAATCACAGCAAAAATCACCTTTGAGTATGTATTTCTGAAAATGGTCGCTCTAATATCGCAAAGGCAATATCATTAAAAATAAATCGCAGTTAGATATATTTTGTCCAAATCGTTTTGCCCTAACCAGCTTGTCCACACCTTGTGTCTCTGGCTGTTAGCAGTAACAGAAAGTTAATGTTGAGAGGCTCAGGTTATTTGAGCACTTAATTTCAATAAGAAGCTACGCAGGTGTACTACTTATTTGTTGTTTGTTTGGTTTTATTCTGGTAAAAATAACATACACAGACTGTAACACGCTTACACCGATCAGCCATAACATTATGACCAGTGACAGGTGAGGTGAATAACAGATTCTCTGGTTACCATGTTACCTGTCAGTGGGTGGGGTCTATCAGGCAGCAGGTGAACATTGTGCCCTCATAGTTGATGTGTTAGAAACAGGAAAAATGGGCAGCGTGAGGAATTGAGCAGTCAGTACCCATCAAAAGTGGACCAAGGAAGGAAAAGCCGTGAACTGGCAACAGGGTCATGGACGGCCAAGGCTCATTGATGCATGTGGGGAGCAAAGGCTGGCCCGTGTGGTCTGATCCAACAGACGAGCTACTGTAGGTCAAACTTCTGAAACAGTTGATGCTGGTTCTGATAGAAAGGTGTTAGAACACAGAGTGGAGTCCAGATCTCCACGGGTCAGGGCTTTTTTGGCCAGCAGGTGGTCATAATGTTATGGCTGATGGACAAACAAAGAAGAATAAGCAGCAGAAAACCAAAAACGGAAGACAAATTCAGTCCGACGTGTGGCAGCTGGAGACACCAAAATAAAATGAATCTAGAAAAAATAAAAATCATAAATGTATGTGATCTGTTTGTGTGGTGTTCCTCAGGGCATCGTCATCGGAACCGGAGAGAACTCAGAGTTTGGGGAGGTGTTCAAAATGATGCAAGCAGAAGAGGTACGTTATCCTAATTATTATTATTTTATTTTATTTTTTTAAATACCAACAAGCTGTTTAATGTTATTGTCCACCCAGATCTACAGCTGTTACAGCAACACACACAGTATAATTGTTTCCAAAATAAACCGCCACCTCCCTTCACAAAATCCCAACACTCGTGTTTACATTCGAACAAGTAGTGTTAACAGACTGCACTTGGCTTTCTCCCGTAGTCTGGTTCCTTTTTAAATGTCCAGTTACCCACAATCAAGAAACCTGATTTCTCCTGGAGAGCCATGGTTACACGTGACCAGGTTTTCTGATCAGCTGTTCAGGCGTGCATGTTGCATCACAGACCTCGGATGGATAATGGATTTAACAGCAGAAGAGAGATGAAATTAGAGGTATTCACATGTAGGGAATCATCCTTGTACTCTAAGAATTAAATTCAGAGTCTGACTGAAATTGACAAACAAAAGAGCTTCTTGATGTTAGAGTAAGTTGGTTTCCACCAGCTCAGTGTTTGTAAAAACGTCAGAGACGAGGCTGCATCCTTACAGGCTCTCTTCAAAGCCACCAGACTCCTTGACAAAAATACAGAGTTTATCTCTTTGGTCTACCGCTGCCTGGATTATGTGACTTTTCTTTTGTTCAGTAACACAAACAAACTCCCTTTTTCTGCGAGGTAAAATTACATTTTTTATCAATGGAGTCTGGTGTTTTTGATGAGAGCGACAGTATTTCCCTCCCTGAGAGAGAGACACACACAGAGGCAGGAAGCAGTGTGTTGTATCACCATTACAGTTAACACAAGTAGAGCATTGTTCCAAAATAAGGTGCGATGGGAGAGAAATCTGATGATTGACGAATGTAGATTTTCACTGACCGGGTTATAGCCATGCACAAAAACACATCTGATATTCTCCGTAACCTATATGTCTGAGTGTGTAAATGTATTGATTAAAGCCAGTGCTTCAGCCTGGTTTCTGATGTATTGAATCTTGACCATAGACTTTATAAAGAAGTGGACGCGACTTCCACGCTCTAACGTCATCTGCTGGTTTGTGGACTGCAGTTTTAAAGCCCCCAGTTTGGCATTTTGTTTTTTTGAAACCAGACGTGACCATCTTTGGACGAGAGGTTGGAGCTAGCTAGCTTGGTTAGCTGGATGCATCTGTAATTTACATTAACTATTAGCAGGGATGCTAATTTTGGCTAGCGACAAACTTAAAGCAAAATGTGCTTACCTGAAAAATGAACAGCCGACTCCAACTAAGCTTTTTCAGTGATGCTGGTTGAATGTACACAGAGCAGCAGATACAGGTCTCCTCTATCCTGATTGACAGGTCACCATGGTAGCGACTTGTCAATCACCTCGTAGCCCCGCTCTAAAGCCTCCCCTGCTTTCTGGTCTATGTTCCTCTAAGTGGGACCATAATTTACTAAATGAACATCATGCTGTGTTGAAGAAGACTTGAAACTAGCGACTGAGACCATAAACTCATCAGGAAAGTGTTTACTGAGGTAATAAATCAGCAGAAGTAGAAACAGTTTCTCATAGACTCTATACAATCACACTTCTTTCTGCAGCAAGTCGGGTCGCCCCCTGCTGGCCGTTAGACAGAATGTAGGTGTAAGACTCTTCAGCACTGGCTTCGCTTTTCAGACCCGGAGGTTCCTGCTTGGTCGAGGCTGAAATATGAAGTATGGAAATAGACTTTTTATTTAAACCTGCAGTTTTCATAATACACATCACTATCGGTTTGCCACCGCAGGAATGTCGCCTCAGATTTAAAAACTGTACTGCGAATACAGAGATTCGTGAACGCGTTTTACTTGAATGTAATGGTTTATTTATATGTAAAAGTAATCAATCTTTAACTCCACACATGGAAAGTGATGCCCAGCAATGAGCCATATTTAAAATTTCCCTCACCTGAGACACAGTTTGCACCTACTCAGACCAAAATGTTCAAGTCAGCAATTTTGTGTTTCTTGCAGCTTTTAATTTAGTTCACTTGCATAAGTGCAGGTACACATTTAAATGGACAAAAAAATGAAATCCAGATGTATTTTAAGCAGAAGCTTGTGACACTTTTCTAGAAGTGTGAACATTTAATCTGTTTGGTTAATGTGTTGTTTCACTGGCTCGTGGCTTCATCACCTCCATAGATGGATGCATCGTCAGTCATGAAAACCTTTTTTTGAGGTAAACAATCTGCTTCCTGCTTGTTTTTGTTTCAGGCTCCTAAAACGCCGCTACAGAAGAGCATGGACCTGCTGGGGAAGCAGCTCTCGCTCTACTCCTTCGGCATCATAGGTTTGTTGGTTTGTTTTTCAGCCTTCATCTTTGGCCTCTCCTCGTTGTGAGCGCATGTGTTCAGTCTTCACTGTGTTTTCTGCGCTGTGTTTCAGGGGTCATCATGCTGGTGGGCTGGCTGCAGGGGAAGAGGATTATGGACATGTTCACCATTGGAGTCAGGTACAGCTGCTACGCTGAATCAGCTTACTGATGTTTGCTTTCTCCGTCTCTGAAAGCTGAAGTGTGGATCTGCTGCTGCTGCACAGACTGCCTGTATGTTTGTCTGTGTTTGGTAAATGATTAAACCCTGGCAGCAGCTTCGGCAGCTAGCAGCCTTGTTCACTTCTGTTATCAGATAACAGCCTCACTGGAAAGACTTACATGGAACCAAGCCATAAATGATGATATTCACTTCACCTCTGAGGGTCAGATGTCCACATGTCTGTGAATTCAGTACAGAGTTGGAGTCCGGACGTGGCTTTCACATCTACCTCATTTGGTCCAAACATTCAGACTTTTCAGTTGGATCCGGTCCTAAATTACAGGCGTGAAACGTCCTTGGACCTAGGATCAAACTGAACCATGGTTCGGATTGTTTCTATTGTGAAAGCATTTTGTTTGGGATGGTTCGGACTTTCAGACTATTTACAGGAAGTTCGGTGGTTCCCTTGTAAAAAGGGATTCAAAGAATAACCGTAGTAACGATATGCATCTGTTCATCCCTCATTCATTCATTCTTCTCAAAGCTTCCCGTTGAACTATTTACAAACCAATCAATGTCCGCATAGATGATGACGACAGGACACAGGCATGTCATGTAAAATTCTTTAGTGCACTCGCATAACTGCAGCGTGAAATCAAAGCAAAACTAACCTAATGTATCAAAACATAGAGGGAAACAGCTAGCCTGGTTCTGTTGTAGCATGTCTACTTATGTTTAAACTTATCAGAATTAATACAAAATTATGAATTTTAATATTCCGAGAATATTAATTCATAAATCTCTTGCGGGGCACCACCCGAGATTCCGTTCGCCCACGTTCTCGGGATTCCCTGGGTATGGTTAATAATTATATTCAATTCAATTTTATTTATAAAGCGCCAAATCACAACAACAGTTATCTCACAGTGCTTTTCATAAAAGAGCAGGTCTAGACCATACTCTATGATGCTATTTACAGAAGCCCAACAATTCCCACCAAGAGCAAGCACTAAACGACAGAGGCAAGGAAAAACTTCCTTTAAGAGGCAGAAACCTCGAGCAGAACCATGGCTCAGGGTGGGCGGCCATCTGGGGAGAGAGAATATACACACACAGAGATACAGTAGGTACAGTAAAGGTGATGTTGCTATAGACTAAATGAAAAATGGTATAGATATGTATAGTAGTGTTAATCATAACAATCGTAATGTTAATGATTATAATAACAATAATAACAATAGGACTAGTAACAATAGTTCTTGTAGCAGAGGGTATCGAGCAGGAACACTGGGGCAGCAGGTGACCCGCAACCACTGATCCAGACTCCACAGCTCCAGAAACGCCTGCAGGAAGTGATAGGAGGAGAGGGGAGAGGGACGAGAAAGCACAAGACTACCGGAAAGGGGAGAAGTTGTGTTAGTAACATGCAATAATGGGATGAGGTTGCATACAGAGGGAGAGAAAGTAGAGGAGAGAGGAGCTCAGTGCATCATGGGAAATCCCCCGGCAGTCTAGGCCTATAGCAGCATAACTAAGGGATGGTTCAGGACTAACCTGAGCCAGCCCTAACTATAAGCTTTATCAAAGAGGAAAGTCTTAAGCCTACTCTTAAATGTGGAGATGGTGTCTGCCTCCTGAACCCAAACTGGAACCTGGTTCCACAGGAGAGGAGCTTGATAGCTGAACGCTCTGGCTCCCATTCTACTTTTGGAGACTCTAGGAACCACAAGTAACCCTGCATTCTGGGAGCGCAGTGCTCTGATGGGGTAGTAAGGTACTATGAGCTCTTTAAGATATGGTGCCTGACCATTAAGAGCTTTGTAGTTAAGAAGAATGATTTTAAATTCTATTCTGGATTTTACTGGAAGCCAATGCAAAGAAGCTAAGACAGGAGAAATATGATCTCTTTTCCTGGTTCCTGTCAGAACACGTGCTGCAGCATTCTGGATCAGCTGTCTTAATGGACTTTTTCGAGCAGCCTGATAATAAGGAATTGCAGTAATCCAGCCTAGAAGTAACAAATGCATGGACTAGTTTTTCTGCATCATTTTTAGACAGGATGTTCTTGATTTTCACAATATTACGTAGTTGAAAAAAGGTGGTCCTTGAAATTTGCTTAATGTGAGACTTAAACGACATGTCCTGATCAAAGATAACTCCAAGATTCCTCACAGTGGTGCTGGAGGCCAGGGCGATCCCATCAAGGGAAACTATATCTTTAGATAATGCGTCACGGAGGTGCTTAGGCCCCAGAACAATAACTTCAGTTTTATCTGAGTTTAACATTAGAAAATTACAGGTCATCCAGGTTTTAACATCCTGAAGGCACATTTGAAGTTTAGCTAACTGATGAGTTTCATCTGGTTTGATCGATATATATAACTGAGTATCATCTGCATAACAATGAAAGTTTATGGAATATTTCCTGATAATATTGCCTAAAGGAAGCATATATAAAGTGAAGAGGATTGGTCCGAGGACAGATCCTTGAGGAACTCCATGACTAACTTTGGCATGCATGGATGACTCATCGTTAACATGTACAAACTGAAATCGATCTGATAAATAGGACTTAAACCAGCTTAGAGCGGTTCCTTTAATGCCAATGAAATGTTCAAGTCTCTGCAATAGGATCTGATGGTCAATGGTATCGAGTGAAGCACTAAGATCTAATAAAACAGAGGCAAGTCTGTTGTCTGATGCAATGAGGAGGTCATTAGTCATTTTCACCAGTGCTGTCTCTGTGCTATGATGAACTGGAAAGAGGGCAGGAAACCATAAACTTTTCAGTCAGGATTTACTGCCCTCTTTCCAAAAGAGTTTTGATGGGCTGTTTGTAATCTCTGGTTAGTGTTTCTTTGTCATTTTAACAGTCAGGCACCGAGCGTTATCTGGCTCTCAGAGAGAGAGTGGGAAGGAATTTTGAGTCTCCAAATTATTTGATATAAAATGCACAAATCCACACTGTATGTTCACAACACTGTCTAAAAGTAAAAAAGCAGCTCCTCCTCTTAGGCTGTGTCTGATTGATCATGTCACTTCTCTTGCTACTGAGGACTGCTCTGTTCTGTACCATGGGGGGGGGACGTTGAGGTTCTGTGCTGCTGCTCTCTGCCTCTGGCTTTCCACACAGTCACATGGAAGGGCAGGGAGATCCCAGAACAGAGCCAAACAGAACTAACTGCAGAGCAAATATCAGTTTCTTTGATGAATTAAAGCTACATCCACGCTACTACGTTTTTGTTTTAAAACCTCATTTCCGCCTCCCGTCCAGACTAAAACGGCGAAGTTTGAAAAAGCTGCTGGTTTTAAACTCCGGGTTAGCATTTTAGTGCAGACAGGTGAAAACCGAGGATTTTAAAAACGATGATGCACGATGCTACTGACAGAGTTAAGTTTTGGTGTTTTTATTTAAATATTTTATACACATGTCGCCGTATTTAGTTTGCAACGACTCCCACTCTGTTTCCCGTCGCCACAGTGTCTATGTACTCCCTATTTTCCAAAATGTCATAGGAAAGGGCGAATTTGCTTCATTACAGGGAACTAGATGTGCTTTACAGTAAAATACTCACAGTAACACGTAAAATGAAATTAACAGAAGAAATAACACTGACTAACACCCACCCTACAAAACACACCTAATAACTAATGTTACAGCCCGGCTGAAGAGGAGGACGAAGAGGGGAGGACAGCACAAGATCGATTTAAGAAAATATAAATGAACCAATGGAGATGTATTGGATGTAAATCAGTAACATGGGTAGTGTTTGCATGTGTGTTCAGTGAAGTACAGTGAACAAAGAGTGTCAACACAAGAAAGACCTAACCCAAAAAGCAAACCATGACGCCCAGAGAGAGAGAGAGAGAGAGAGACTGATTCCACCAGCTAATCACAAGTCTGAAGAAGTTCTCAGTTTACTTTTAAATGTGGACTAAGTTTGGGTGCCGCTTAAATTTTAATGATTGAATTTCAGTTCTGGTCCCTTCATCACAGATCTAGTCAGCGCTCAGTGACCTTCATCCTCTTCCTCCTCGCTCATCTTCCCCTTCATGGCTAAACTTAAAGGAGTCTCTGTCCTAAAGGGCCGTCTCTGGGGACTCTAATTTTGTAGCCATCATTGGTTTCCCTTCAGTATAAAAGGTGTTTTGTACCTGAGACGTTGCTACTGTTAGTGTTAGCTGTAGCTGGGAGAGCGCGACACGTTGAACACGGTGAAGCGTTCCTTCAGATTCACGCCGTGTTGAAGTAAAAGCTTCGTCATGTTCGAGCTGCTTACTGCCTCGCTCCAAACCTCCTTACTGCAGCTGGTGCATTTTGTTGCGTTCTCTGTTTTAGTGAAGCTAAGCCAAACTTTGGAGCGTTTGCTGCGGTCCGCCATGGTCCAGGACTGGAAACAGAAGGACTCTCTTCTTCATGCTTTGTTCACATAACAAATGAGGTGACGTTAGGTCGGCGTAGCAGCTCCTGGCAGATAAGAGACACTTTGATGGAGTGTAAAATGCTCACTGCAGTTCAGTCAGGAGCTGAAATATGCAGGAAGTTTGGAACAAAGGAGCAGAATCCAAACGCACGGGTCTTTAACAAATCCACTGTTCTCGGAAATTTGGTACCTGTTCCAACTTGGTTCCACCGGGTCTTGATACCCAACCCTAATGTGGATGTAGTTGTGACAGATCTCAGGTATGCAGCTTGTGGGTACAGTTGGAGAAGCAGCACCTGACAGCCTAAGAGGTTAGGTGGAGAAATTGTGATTTATTTGTAACCATAAATTGAATAGGTGTGTGAACGTTGTCTTTATTTCTGATCTCCTCTCCTTCAGTCTGGCGGTAGCTGCCATCCCAGAGGGTTTACCCATCGTGGTGACAGTCACGCTGGCTCTCGGTGTGATGCGCATGGTGAAGAAAAGGGCCATCGTCAAGAAGCTTCCCATTGTAGAAACTCTGGGTAGGTTACTTACAACATAGCAATTTTAACTTAATTTTAGTTTACTGATAAAATTGATCACAGCTCTGATTGAACCTGTAGCTCTGACGTTTCCGGTTTTCTCTCTCAAGACCAAAAGATCTTAGTTTGACCACAAAAGCAGAACGCACCAATTTCTAACCAAGTTTCTGGTTTAAAGCCCCTTTTTTTTGAACAGAAATTAACTTGAAGAATTCCCCAGAACCTTAACATGCAAAAACCCTAAATTAAAGGTGTTTCTGATCCTTTTTGGGGCGATTTCATAACACCTGCGGAAGCAAAATATGGGTTTAAATACACCAAAATCCAATTAAGTAATTATAAAAATGCCTACAAAAAAAAATCAGACAATGTTTGAGTTAATATGTAAATGTACTTGGATGTTATTTGCCAGCTTTTTGATGTACTTCCAGTTAACAGGTAACATTCCTCTTGTTGTTTTTTCCGTCAGGCTGCTGTAACGTGATCTGTTCAGACAAAACGGGAACTCTTACCAAGAACGAGATGACCGTCACTCAGCTGTACACGTCAGATGGACTCCACGCAGAGGTCTGAACGTCCCTCCTCCATCACTAATCATCACTCATCCCAGCAAATTAAAATTATATTTATAGGACCTCTTGATCATGAACTGCAGTTCATTTATTCATTCTTGATGTCTGAAACTACAGTTATCGCTATATCGTCTCCATATTTTTAACAATAGCAATTCTAAGGTAACTCAGAGAAACTTTTTGGAAAGTGAATGAAATGAAGAAATGATGAGGGGAAACGATCGGATGCGAGCAAATGCCAAGGTCGATAAAAACTGAAGCACATCTGAGGAGTTAAAGGGTGTGAGGATACACTCAGCTCACGAAACGATATTTTTAACACTGTTAGAAATTTTCAATGATGAAATACATGACTGAAAAAATCTTTTATTCTACTGGAAGTCACAAAGTGTAAAGCAATGCAGGGTGCATTTTGAAATGTTGCTTTAAATATTATACGTGTCGCCATTTATTGTTTCCACCTGGTTGATTGATTGATCACCCTCACACTCAGTCATGCTGATATCGTGGGACATCTTTTCACCTAGACCAGAAATATAGTCGCCTTCGGGAGGGAAGTTAAACTCACTGTGGTCATTAAAGATGCTAGGCCCTTGTCGCAAAGAGTAGGGAGCTCCCTGGTGTCCTGGCAAAATTCCCAACCTGGCTTTCTCCATCTGGCCATCTAATCATCACCAGTGTAACTGGCTCTATGGTTCCCTCCCTCTCAACCTCAAGCTGATGTGTTGTGAGCGTTCCGGTGCAAATGGCTGCCGTGTATCGGTGGTGTTTTAGATGAGTCCCCCTCCCCCTGAAGCGGTTTGAGTATCTATACTGAACACAATTATAATGCAAAGCTTTTGTTTTTGCCCCCATTCATTATGAGCTGAACTCAAAGATCTAAGACTTTCTCTATTTACACAAAAAGCTTATTTCTCTCAAATATTGTTCACAGATCTGTCAAAATCTGTTAGTGAGCACTTCTCCTTTGCCGAGATAATCCATCCACCTCCCAGGTGTGGCATATCAAGATGCTGGTCAGACAGCATGGGTATTGCACAGGTGTGCCTTTGGCTGGCCACAATAAAAGGCCACTCCAGAATGTGCAGTTTCACTGTATTGGGAAGGGGTCCGGAAACCAGTCAATATCTGGTGTGACCACCATTTGCTTCATGCAGTGCAGCACATCTGCTTCGCATAGAGTTGATCAAGTTGTTGATTGTGGCCTGTGGAATGCTGGTCCACTCCTCTTTAAAGGAAACTAAGTTGCAGTCTGGTGGAGACCACAATGAGGACGACGAGCATGCAGATGAGCTTCCCTGAGATGGTCCCTGACAGTTTGTGCAGAAATTCTTTGGTTATGCAAACCGATTGTTGTAGCAGCTGTCCGGGTGGCTGGTCTCAGATGATCTTGGAGGTGGAGATGCTGGATGTGGAGGTCCTGGGCTGGTGTGGTTACACGTAGTCTGCGGTTGTGCGGCCGGTTGTTGTACTGCCAAACACCTTTGGAGACGGCTTATGGTGGAGAAATGAACATTCAATTCACGGGAAACAGCTCCGGTGGACATTCCTGCAGTCAGCATGCCAACTGCACGCTCACTTAAAACCTGAGACATCTGTGGCATAGTGCTGTGTGATGGAACTGCACATTTTCAAGTGGCCTTCTATTGTGGCCAGCCTAAGGCACACCTGTGCAATACCCATGCTGTCTGAACAGCATCTTGATATGCCACACCTGGGAGGTGGATGGATTATCTCGGCAAAGGAGAAGTGCTCACTAACACAGATTTGTGAACAATATTTGAGGGAAATAGGCCTTTTGTGTACATGGATAAAGTGTAAGATCTTTGAGTTCCGCTCATGATGAATGAGGTAAAAAAAAAAAAAAGGGTTGCGTTTTATAATTTTGTTCAGTGTAAAATAAAGCGCTATATAAATGTAATGCATTTTTAATATTTTAATATTGCTAGATCTCATGCCACATTTACTGTAATACACAGTGACGTGTGACCTGTTGGTTTGTGGACTACCGTTGTGAAGCCTTAAGTTTTTTGCAACCAGGCACTGAAAGTGACTAGCTGGGATGCTAATTTTGGCTAGCGACAAAACGTACTTACCAGATAAAATGACCAGCCGACTCCTAATGGTTAAATGTACACAGAGCAGAGGATACGAGTCGCCTCTATCCTGATTGACAGGTTGCGACCTGTCAGTCACCTTGTAGCCCTGCCCTGAAGCCTCCCCTGCTTTCTGGTCTATGTTCCTCTAAATGGGACCATAATTTACTAAATGAACATCATGCTGTGTTGAAGAAGACTTGAAATCAGCGACTGAGACCATAAACTCATTAGGAAAGTGTTTACTGAGGGAATAAATAGCTGAGAAGTAGAAACATTTTCTCATAGACTTTTTTACAATCACACTTCTTTCTGCAGCCGGTGGAGTCTCCCCCTGCTGGATGCTAGAGAGAACGCCGGTTTAAGGCTCTTCAGCACTGGCTTCACTGTTCAGACCCGGAGGTTCCTGCTTGGTCACAGCCCTTGTGTTAAAGTCAATGTGTGTCAGCTGACTTTTTGGCTCCTGGCACCAGTTTATTGATTAGGACTCTGTCGGTTCTGTCAGTTTGATTCCTTGAATCTGCGTATGTACATGTACTCAGATCGAAAGACTGTCCTTTTCAGTTTAGTAAACACATGGCGGGAATACCAAATTTTAAAGATTTCAGGATGCTGTTTAATGTTATAGTCTTGTGGAAAGACTGAAATTAAACCACGGCTGAGAAATGAGATTGCGTCTGCACCTGAGGAAGGTTCGGTCTGTTTCCTGCAGCCCATAGAGAACAGACCGACCCACTTACTTCATCTGGAAATCCCAGCTGCCGTACTGGAAAAAATGGGTCAGGTGACTGAGGACCGGGAGACCTCGTCTGGTTTTAACTTCATGGCTCCTTAATGGCACAATAATACACCCTGTAATGTTGGGTCGTTTATCAGACAAAATCAGTGTTTTACCGATTCATATACAAAGAAAATGGCAGGGAACATACCTGTAACATGATATTTCAATACATGACGCCTGTTCTGTCTTTTATATGTGAAAAGAAATCACTTCTAAAATCCTCTGGGATGTTATTACTAACAGAGGGAATTGTCTTGTTTGAAGATATATTTTACCTTTTTCTTTCGTGTTCTTTACCTGTGACGTTGTCTCGCAGGTGACGGGCGTTGGCTACAACAGAGCAGGAGAGGTTTTACTGGACGGGGAGATCATCCACGGCTTTTCCTGCCAGTCAGTCAGCAAGATCGTGGAGGTGAGTCAGCATATCCAGGCTTTATTGGACAAAATGTCTGAAAATTATTAACATTTACAATAAATTTACACACAGAATCCTACCACATGAGAGTAGTTTGTGTTCTGTCAGATTGTACAAACTAAAAATACAGAACAAAACATGATTTGGTACCAGATGCACATTTTTAATAAAGGGAAAGCTCCCTGCTGTAGGAGGAGAGATGTTAATTGACGAATGTGTGTGTGTTTGATGCCAGGTTGGCTGTGTGTGTAACGACTCCGTCATCAGGAATCACTCTCTGCTGGGACGACCGACGGAGGGAGCGCTCATTGCCCTCGCCATGAAGGTAAAACCACACAAAGCACTAGGGGTGGGACTCATGAGGGACACAACTCGATTACGATTCAGAGAGCTGCGACATGATTATAAAACAAGTATAATTAACAAATAAGTATCTATTTTCATTTTTCTTTTCTCTGTGATTTCTTAATAATTACAAAACATTTCACATGCACTTCAAAAACCAATAGAAATGTCTTTTGTTTACATCCCTGATTTTATTTTACTAACCTCAGCTCCTGCATTGTCACCCACGCGCACCCGTTCTCTTCATGCAAACAGGCGTCCCTCACACATCCCTCAACTGTACTGGGCACGCTTCCAATGACCTCGCAAGCCCTCCCACTTCTGACACAATACGCAGCGAAGGGCTGCACCCTACCTGGATTCAAACACGGGTCTACAGGGTGCCAAACATGCAACTTTGACCGCAACGCCACAGTCCATGCACATACTTATGGTCATTCCTTTAGCAGCGGCGGTGAGCCGAATACAGGGGGGACACTGGTCTCCGTTATGGACACGCTACAGACTGCATGGGCGCTGCACTTCTGAGGGTTCCGCCTTTTGTCTTCCGTTAACATCTTGTTTTCTTTCTTTATGAATCAATTCAGAATCCTTCATGTCCGCTTCGCAATGCATGTAAGGATCAAAATCTTTTCCCCACCCCTACAAAGCACTGAGCTAAGACCCAGTCTTACTATGTCTGGACTCACACTGTACTACTGTTGTTCACCAGGTAACAGAGTTTACAATAAGATAGACTGAAGATTGTGATTGTGATGTCTCAGTTTCACTACAGACAGTAGTGATACGGTGAAATGTAATCGCTGCATCAAAATAATTAGGTTGTTAGGATGTTTCTCTAAATGCTCAGCATTTCCTGCAGCAGGTGGAAGATGCAGCTTTGCATGGAAACATTTGGATTTTTTTTTATTAATTGTATATTCATGTAAAAGTAAAGAAATTAAGACTTTCACTATGTTTTTGTTTTGTTGACAACAATCTCAACTCTACTAGTATAAGATTCAAAATCAACAAAACAAGAGATCGATAAGTGACAACAGATACTAGTAAGAACTGTTTGCACGTACGGCATCTATGGGTTAAATACCTAGGGGAAGAAGGTAGAGTTAATGAAATGCAATCAATACAAGAGAATTGTAAGGAGATAGAAGAAGAAGAAGAAGAAGAATATGTTAGAGGTTATCAGAGGAAGTGTTCTTTGCAAAGTTTTCAGGAGCTTCTTGAAGTTAGAGAGTGACGCCCCTGCTCTGATGGCGTGTGGTAGCTCGTTCCACCATTGTGGTGTCACAGATGAGAACAGGGACTGAGACTGCTTTGTGTGAAGGGATGGGCAGAGCCAGGCAGCGTTCATTGGAGGAGCACAGTGGCCAAGAAGGAACGTAAACTTGTATTATGGAGTTCAGGTAGGTGGTGCAGACCCAGTAGTCACTCTGTATGCAGCATTTGGGACTTGGATTTTATTTTGATTTGATTTGTAATGGAGGGACAGGAGTCCTTTTGGGTTGGATCGAACCATTTGTAGGGGTTTCACTGCACAAGCTGAAAGACCCACCTGGAGGGCATTGCAATAGTCGAGGCGAGAGACAACGTTGGCTTGTATCAGAAGCTGGGTGAGGTATTGAGTAAGGTAGGGCCTGAGACAGCAGCTACATGGTCTGAGAAGGACAGCTAGGCGTGACTTATCACACCCAAGTTTCTCACCGCCCTGGTTGGACTGATAAAACCATCACAGCTACATGTTTAACCTTAACCTGATCCTAACGCTTTAACAACGTCTTAACCCTCAAAAACGTCTCTTTTTTCTTTTTCGGTGGATTCAGTTAAACACAAACACTCAAACAATTTTCTTAGTCGCAGCAGAGAGCTTCCTCTCTCTGTCACTGCAAAGTCTGGTCAAAGCCAACAGTGTCCACCACGTTGCATCATCTCATACAGAAGCAAAGTGAAACGATGAATCTGTGCCTGAAGGGACGAAGACGGATCCAGAACAAACGTTCTCTTTTCAATTCATTTCTTGCAGCTCGAGGCAGAACGCCCGTCCTCCGCCTACCCTTTACTGGTGCAACTGGGAGATGAGTCATATAGCTTCTGCATGACATTAAGCACACTGATAATTTTTTTTATTTTTATATTGTGATTGTTGTGGATGGATCAGTGTCGCTCAGGGGATGAGCGATCTCGTCTGTGCGTCACATTTTCAGATTTAAATGTGCCAAACTGGTTCTCTTCTGTGTGAAGTGATTATTGGGAGCTCAGTGTGGGTCAGCCAGCGTCACTGAGACACTGAGTCACTGAGACATCAGAAGAACAGAATATTTTTTTTAAACATCATTTTAATCACTTTAACAATAAATGTCATCATTTATTGTTTATTTTTAATTAATTTTATATTTTTAAGTATGGATCATGTTTGTTTCTACTGTGTAGCACTTTATAACTGGGTTTTTAAAAGTGCTATACACATAAATAAATAAAAAATTTCTTTAGTGCAATAGCAATAACAACAATAATGTGTTATAGATGTAGTGCTCTACCAAACTGTTGAGATGGTCCTTCATGGCAAATGCATTTAAATACAAATTTGTTTTATAAATCATCAAATAAAATGCTTAATATAAATAATAAAATAAAATAATTTTATATATAATGCTTAATATAAAATAAATAAACCTGTAATGTTATAATGCTAGTAATATGTTAGTATGCAAACATATATATTTCTATTTAGTCTAGATATTTAATATATTTATCTCAGAATTGGTGAAAAATAATACTGATGTTTGTAAATTTATTATCTTATCTTTAAGGACAACTCAACCTTTCAGTAGAGCATGTTTTTAAACATTTAAATAAGTCGTGTTTATGAAATTATTTCACCATACATGTACAAGGTACAAGGTTGTTTATTAGTCATTATACAGCATAAGGCTGCATAACAAAACTAAATTTATAGTTCTTTCACGCTACACACATACTCTTTAATTAAGTGTTTTACCATATTAACATTTATTAACCATATTAAAATATTGTAACATAAAATAAAACAATACAGTTATTTATATACATATATATCCATAGTTTTCAGTCATGTGACATGCACGGTGACCTGGAGGGCTAAACAACAGACCAAGATATCTGCTCACACCGGACTCGCTCAAAACATCACAAAAGCACTTAGTTTATTTGGATCACCTCTCAACTCAAGAAAAGATAGATATGGACACAGACTGCAAGTGTTGGGCACTTAAGATCCATATACATCACCCGCTGCTGTATTTCCGTCGTTAAAAACTGCCAGGTCCCTGCCGCCACTCGACTTTGGTAATGTTTACTTTTACCTTGTAGGGAATCCCTCACCTAACACAGCTCAGGCTTGTCTCCTCCTCGATTAGTGCATCTGAAAGCACAACTATCATCCAGCATTTTGGCAACGCAAAAGTAACAAACTCAAAGTAACAGGGCACCACTTGCTTCCTGGTTGGCAGGCAGTACATAAAACGTATTTTTTTGTCCTCCAAGAGAGCGTTTTCCTTGGAATGTGACGTCATGTGAAAACTAGGATATTCCACATTGCATTTTTGGAATTTGCATCTGGGGTGAATGTAAACAAAATTAAAGTTTCATCTTCCTAATAAACAGTCTGTGTTTTACATCGATGATGCTTGGTGCTCAAACGCAGTCAAGACGGACTCTGTTTCCCAAATGTCCACCTCCGCTCATCCTACCGGAGCCTTGCGCTGACAGCTCAGACCACCATGGACCACCTGCCGAGTGTGTGTGTGTGTGTGTGTGAATGTTGATGGGGCAGGTCTCTGTAAAGATGTGGGCACGACAGACTCAGAATTCCGTATTCTGGTCGACATGAGTCCCATTTTGTCCAGACCAGCTCTTTAGGAGCAGAATTAAGTCCAACTTGGGCCAGCATGGCTCCTCTCCCGGTTCTCTTTCCTCTCCTATGAGCGATCACTGCACCCGCTGAGGTGCCTGGTCCGGTTGTTTGGGCACGGTGGATCGTGGTCGGCTGTTCTTTAATCCAAAAACCCCGTCTTCATCTTCCAATGACTTATGATGATTTATGTCAGAGGTATCTGATAAAAAATAAGTGTATAGCGATTTATAATATAACATATTAACATATAAGATATGTAATGGGATAACAACAAATGTTTAATTTGAACAACAATGAACCAAATAGTCCATTTTTATTACCTTTACAATAAAGTGACAACTCAACAGTTTGGTAGAGCATGGTTTTAGAACACTATTTGAACCTTGTAAATCTTATTTTTGTTGGTTTAAGTTACATAACTTTGGAACTATAATATCTTGACAAAAATATGCTTACCTTTACAGAGCCCCTCAGTGTCCTATAAGATGATGATTTTTTTCATTTTGTTCACACAAGATAATAACTTGTGTGCACAAGAAAATGTTTGATGGATAATAACCAAACACTGATAATTATCTTGTGCGTACGGAGTATACCAGATGTTGCACAACTCTGGAGCAACTATGGTTTTGATCGTCATGCTCAGAGACACAGTGGTGGATGTTTCGCAGTGGGAATCGAACCGGGGTCTCCCACACCTAAAGCATGTGTCTCATCTGATGCATCGCTAGCCCCATTCATTTCTGTCTGATCAGCAGCTCGACTGTCTGATCCAGCCATGCTTTTGTTTTTCCAGATGGGGCTCGAGGGCCTGCAGCAGGAGTATGTCCGTCTGGAGGAGCATCCCTTCAGCTCGGAGCAGAAGTGGATGGCAGTTCGCTGTGTTCACCGCACCCAGCAGGTCAGCATGTTCTCCACCTATGCTCAGTTTATTAGGAGATGCTTTCTGCCGCCTCCACATGATGAGCTGTCTGTGCTGCGCTGAGTTAGTCAGCACTAATATGGTGTTTATTCAAGAACTCTTTAATTCATGCTTAATAAAAGATGTTTAAACAAGATTAAGATTAAATCTTTTGAAACTCCAGTGTTTTTTACTTTCTCAGTCAGCTGTAATGTGCTCAAGGTTCAGAGTCGTTACTCTCAGGATCAAATATGGTTTATTGGTCCCCCAACGGAAAATACTCACTCTGCAATGTCAAGGTATTAAGGAGTAGAAATTAGCTAAGTATAAAATACAGATGCTGGTCATATAATTAGAATATCATCAAAAAGTTTATTTATTTTAGTAATTCCATTCTAAAAGTGAAACTTGTATATGTATGTATACATTCATTCCACACAGACTGATATATTTCAAGTGTTCATTCCTTTTAATTTTGATGATTATAACTGGCAACTAATGAAAACCCCAAAATCAGTATCTCAGAAAATTAGAATATTGTGAAAAGGTTCAATATTGAAGACACCTGGTGCCACACTCTAATCAGCTAATTAACTCAAAACACCTGCAAAGGCCTTTAAATGGTCTCTCAGTCTAGTTCTGTAGGCTACACAATCATGGGGAAGACTGCTGACTTGACAGCTGTCCAAAAGACGACCATTGACACCTTGCACAAGGAGGACAAGACACAAAAGGTCATTGCTAAAGAGGCTGGCTGTTCACAGAGCTCTGTGTCCAAGCACATTAATAGAGAGGCAAAGGGAAGGAAAAGATGTGGTAGAAAAAAGTGTCCAAGCAATAGTGATAACCACACCCTGGAGAGGATTGTGAAACAAAACCCATTCAAAAATGTGGGGGAGATTCACAAAGAGTGGACTGCAGCTGGAGTCAGTGCTTCAAGAACCACCACGCACAGACGTATGCAAGACATGGGTTTCAGCTGTCGCATTCCTTGCGTCAAGCCACTCCTGAACAAGACACAGCGTCAGGCGAGAGCCTGGGCTAAAGACAAAATGGACTACTGCTGAGAGGTCCAAAGTTATGTTCTCTGATGAAAGTAAATTTTGCATTTACTTAGGAAATCAAGGTCCCAGAGTCTGGAGGAAGAGAGGAGAGGCACAGGATCCACGTTGCTTGAAGTCCAGTGTAAAGTTTCCACAGTCAGTGATGGTTTGGGGTGCCATGTCATCTGCTTGTGTTGGTCCACTGTGTTTTCTGAGGTCCAAGGTCAACGCAGCCGTCTACCAGGAAGTTTTAGAGCACTTCATGCTTCCTGCTGCTGACCAACTTTATGGAGATGCAGATTTCATTTTCCAGCAGGACTTGGCACCTGCACACAGTGCCAAAGCTACCAGCATCTGGTTTAAGGACCATGGTATCCCTGTCCTTAATTGGCCAGCAAACTCGCCTGACCTTAACCTTATAGAAAATCTATGGGTTATTGTGAAGAGGAAGATGCGATACGCCAGACCCAACAATGCAGAAGAGCTGAAGGCCACTATCAGAGCAACCTGGGCTCTCATAACACCTGAGCAGTGCCACAGACTGATCGACGCCATGCCGCGTTGCTGCAGTAATTCAGACAAAACTAAGTATTGAGTGCTGTACATGCTCATACTTTTCATGATCATACTTTTCAGTTGGCCAACATTTCTCAAAATCCTTTTTTTTTTATTGGTCTTAAGTAATATTCAAATTTTCGGGTATACTGAATTTGGGATTTTCATTAGTTGTCAGTTTTAATCATCACAATTAAATGAAATAAACATTTGAAATATATCAGTCTGTGTGTAATGAATTAATATAATATCCAAGTTTCACTTTTTGAATGGAATTACTGAAATAAATCAACTTTTTGATGATATTCTAATTATATGACCAGCACCTGTACTTACAAAGTAGTGACTTGATTTAATTGGAAAATACTGAAATTGATTGTCATAAGATAAATAACAACGCAAAAGTGCATATTACAGCATTACATGGCAACTTTTGAATGCTTTGTGGCCTTTACAAGAAATAAAAATATTTATTGTACTCACATACTTTAAAGAAATCTGTTTTAACTAGAACTTCTAATCTGTTGTGTATTTGATGTTATTTTAAAACTAAGATGATTCAACTTGAGGTTGGATAAGGATAAAGACATGCTACAGGGTTTCCACATACATGTAACTGCAATTATAAATACCACCATGAGTGATTTTCCTGTATTTGTTCCTAAAATGTGTTTTATTGTTAATTTTTAACTATTTAGCTTAAATACATGACATAAAAAACATAATATTCCATATTGTCAGGTGTGGCATTTTACTCCTTTATTGCATGTTGTCCACAGTAAAATAATTTAAAAATAAAACAGAATTTTTAAATAGATTTGTATTTTAAGTAATAAAAGAATCTTAAAAAAAATCAGTGCATAAAAACCCAAGTAAAAGTCTTGCTTTCAAAACTTTACCTAAGAAAAAGTACAAAAGTATTGTATGTAGTGGAGTTAAAAGTATAACTTTTCCCTCTTAATTGTAGTGGAGTAGTAGTATAAAGTCCAAAACTGTACTTACTATTAGAGAACAAAACTGCAAATAAACACACTGATGGCAATGAACAGAACTGATCTGTAGTTGAATACATGGATGAAGAAAACAAATTAAGCTGTCAAAGGAAAAATTCTCCTTGAAAAGTAAGAATGTGAGCCTTGTTATACATGTCCTCCTCCCCCCAGGATAAGCCTGGAGTTTACTTCATGAAGGGCGCTTACGAGAAGGTGATTCGCCTCTGCAGCTCCTACAACAGCAGAGGAAGCACACTTCCTCTGAACCACCAACAGAGGGAGTTGTACCAGCAGCAGATCAGCTACATGGGCAGTGCTGGACTGAGAGGTAAATACACTCAGTTACTGTATTATTGTAAGCTTATTGCGTAGCTTTAACACACGAATACCCTTAAAAACATGAATCTGTCTCCTTTTTAGTTTTGGCGTTTGCGTCCGGTCCTGAGATGGGGAACCTAACCTTTCTGGGTCTGGTGGGCATCATCGACCCACCCAGGGCCGGGGTCAAAGACGCCGTGGCCACGCTCATCAACTCCGGAGTCGCCGTCAAGATGATCACTGGAGACTCCCAGGAGACCTCCGTGTCCATAGGTCAGAGGGAGGAACGGGCCTGCGTACACATTAACTCTGATTTTATCAACCAGGTTCTGAAAAGGCTTCAACGGGCAGAGTGGAGGAGGGACCTTTAGGAACAGATCAGATACAGAAATCGCCAAAACTTGTAACTCCATTTAAACTTACCTGGACAAAAGAAAACTCATCATGCGAACGATAAGGCTACGTTTCCCCAGCAGGCCTTAATACAACATTTTATTTATAGAACATGTTACAAAGGTCTTTTTCAAGATAACAAAACACACAAAAAAACCAATAACACGATAAAAGCAAGGAAATTCTCAAAATTGAAACACAGTAACAAGAAAAGGGGGAAAAAATACTTTTGCGGACACGGAGGCCACAGAGTTTGCTAACCCTCCCTTTTTCTTCGCCCTCTCCCTATTTCCTCCCGGGGTCACGACAAATGATAAATGACTGTCTGTAACTACACTGTCAAATATGCACAAACACCAAAACCCTCACTTTAAAAAAAGCCTAAATACATGTATCTTGGGCTTTTAAGAGTCAACATGTACTGTAAAACCTCTATTAATAGCCCAGGCTTCGATCACACAAAACAGGCTTTTAATTCCTTTCACAAAAAAATGGGAAATATGCTACAATCAAACTGTTTATTTAAACATTTATGAATATTGTTTAAAAATTAGACTAAATGGGTAAATTAACGATACAAATTATTAATTTGATCTAGGCCAATCTCAAAAACAGAGAGAGAGACTGACTGATCTTAGCGAATAATATTTTGATGCTCATCGTTTCAGTTAATGAACTACTATGAAAATGAATAAAGTAATTGAATTGTGGAGAATCTAACTGATCTAACGATGTGTAGCATGTCCATATTGACAAAAGTTTAAACATTTATATGTGTGATCTAAGCAGCTTAGCTCAAGCAGGTGACCGGGTGGGCTTTAAAAGGTTTTATGTACAGTATCTCACTAAAGTGAGTACACCCCTCACAGTTTTGTAAATGTTTGAAATTATCTTTTCATGTGACAACACTGAAGAAATGACACTTTGCTACAATATAAAGTAGTACAGCTTGTATAACACATCACACAGCTGTTAATGTCTAAACCACTGGCAACAACAGTGAGGACACCCCTAAGTGAAAATGTCCTAATCGGGCCAAAGTGTCTATATTTTGTGTGGCCACCATTATTTTCCAGCACTGCCTTAACCCTCTTGGATATGGAGTTCACCAGAGCTTCACAGGTTGCCACTGGAGTCCTCTTCCACTCCTCCATGACGACATCACGGAGCTGGTGGATGTTAGAGACTTTGCGCTCCTCCACCTTCCGTTTGAGGACGCCCCACAGATGCTCAGTAGGGTTCAGGTCTGGAAACATGCTTGACCTCACCCTCGACCTTTACCCTCAGCTTCTTTAGCGAGGCAGGGGTCGTCTTGGAGGTGGGTTTGGGTTCGTTATCATGTTGGAATACTGCCTTGCGGCCCAGTCTCCGCAGGGAGGGGATCATGCTCTGCTTCAGTATGTCACAGTACATGTTGGCAGTCATGGTTCCCTTGATGACCTGTAGCTCCCCAGTGCCGGCAGCACTCGTGCAGCCCCAGACCATCTCTTTGCCACGAGATGTTGAACTTCCAGTGACCAGTATGAGGAAGTGTGAGAGCGAACACCAAATTTAACACTCCTGCTCCCCATTCACACCTGAGACCTTGCAACAAGTCACATGACACCGGGGTTGGAAAATGGCTAATTGGTGCCCATTTGTATATTTTCACTTAGGGATGTACTGCCAGGGTGGCTATGGGGTCTTTAAAAGTCTTAAAGGGTAATAAATCCATTTTGTGAAAATTAAGGCCATTAAAAAGTATTAGTCTTAATCGCCATTTAACAAGGTATTAAATTTTGTAGATATTTTTGTCGATGTGAAAATCCTTTTTGCCCTAAGAGTTTGTATGGTAAAAATGTGGGTGAACATATTTATTTATTTATATTGCATAGCCAGAAACACTTCATAGGCAGGACATAACTTTAGCGGCTGTGCGATTCTTCTGTGTAACGTTAGGCGCAGGGATCTACCATGTGAGAGTTTCACTGTCATCCGGCCCTAAAAGTAGATCCGTGCGAACCGGAAAACTGCACAACCGACCATAACTTTCCACCACGCTGGACCCCCAATGCTAATCATTCAAAGCATAGTCGGACTGAGCTCTGTGGCCGCTTAAACAGCCTCCTTACTCAAAAACAAGATGTGCTGTCAGCAGGTGAAACAGTAAGACAGAAGACAACAGGGAAATGTAAGCATCGTTTGGATTTGGCTAACGAAGGCTGTCTATTTAGCTAAATCAGTGCCTTTTATTGAAACACATTTAACTGTTCGTAAAGCCGATGTGCTCGTCAATGTCACTTTTCATGAACGGATCAATCACAGCCTGAATGGAGTGGGACATTAAAAAAAGTAATCGTTCTGCCTAAATAGTTATGATTATTAACGCATTAGTAGGCTACTTACAATTAAAGTTAGACTATCTGCTACCATGTAGAGCATTTTTCTTAGTTAATGAATAAAAAAACACCCCAAAATGAAACGGTTTCAACTGCAATTATTATTATTATAATAGTGGTAAGCTATATACAGTACTATTATATGAAATTCTAATGAATATAGAAACATAATATAAATAATATATTAATATCAAACTAACAGTTTACTATTATTATTATTAACAATATAGTTTTAATGTTATAATATTATGCTAACACACTCATTTATACTAGCTCCTCCTCCAGGTTGCACAGCAGACAGATGTAGGTTTAGAGCCAGAATGCTATTGTGCTAATATGTGCTGCTTCTAGCCACCTCCTCCCGAGAGCAACATGTTAATCTTGTTCTATTAGATGTTATATGTTTTACTAAAGTTATTGTTATAAAAATTTACATAAAACCCTTTTAATGGTGTGTTTCTGACTTAACCGGTTACAGCTCAAAGTGGTACGGCAGTCTTAAAATATGTTTTTAAAAGTATTGAATTTTATTTCAGGATTCCTGTATATACCCTGTACTCCCTTTTTTGCCAGCAGTTTAGACATTAATGGCTGTGTGATGTGTTATTTTGAGGGGAAAGCAAATTTTACACTGCTATACAAGCTGTACTCTCACTACTTGACAAAAATGTGAGATACTGTATATCCAGAGAACTTCTGTATAAATCAGACCAGGCTTCTAATTGAGACCTGCATTTATTTGTCAAAATGTGTTCCCTAAAAGGGACAGGCCTCTAACTGGGACGCTGCTTTTTATTCTTTTACGTTACAGTAATTTAACTGAAAGAATCAATGAATGGTATTTTGTGTTTGCTCATATGAACCATTTTTCCTTCTTTCTCCGTTTGTCTGCAGCCAGTCGTTTGGGCCTGTTCTCTAAAGGCTCTCAAAGTTTGTCTGGAGAGGAGGTGGATCACCTTGACCTGCAGCAGCTTTCAGAAATGGTCCCCAGGGTGAGAACAACACACACAAGTCACATTTCCATCAATATTTTTTGAAGTATCACATCGGAAAAGATTGATGGAAACGGCAAAAAACACATCCTCAATTTCGCAAAAAAATAACGCTGCGTCTTCTGTCTCTACAGATAGCTGTGTTTTATCGAGCCAGCCCCAGACACAAGCTGAAGATCGTCAAGGTGAGCAAGGATCAATAACACTGTAGAGAGTGTTTGATCCATTCAGGGAGTGGAGACTCTAATTGTCTGGGGATCTAAATGGATCACAAAAAATGTTTGTTTGTCCTTTTAAATATAAAATCCGTGTTGAAGTCGTGAACTGTTTCAGAGACAAACTGCTGCACTGATCAGTCAATAAATAGTTTAGGCTGCAGTCTTTATACATATTCAGTATGGACTGAGCTTGCTGTAGAACAAAGTTTGGTAAGAGCACACAGTGATGGAAGAAGATTTTATTACAATCATTTTACCCCAACTGAAGTTAGTGGAGGACTAAACAGGAAGTTGGCAAGCAAAGGTCACAATGGTGTGGCTACGGTGATGATTCGAAGCAGAAGTATGAATTGGACTTTAGTTTGAACTCCAACCTCCTCAAATGTTTTCAGCTCATCAGGTTCTTCATTTTAGGAAACACAAATTCTTACACAAGTGTTATATTTACATTATTTGTTTGGTTTTACGCTGTGCACTTAAGCAAAACTCAAACTTAACACTCAAGGGGAAAATAGTGCTTTTTAGCTAAATGAAAACGGTAGGATTGTCAAAGTCTTACTGTTGAAAATTTTACCTCTTCTAAAAGTATTGTCAGTCAATCAAACCGCAAGCTCTGAATGCTCCTCATTTATTAGTCAGAATATTAAAGTTAAAGTCACTCCTCTCTGCAGTCCCTCCAGAACATCGGCGCTGTCGTAGCCATGACGGGCGATGGGGTGAATGACGCCGTGGCGCTGAAGGCTGCAGACATCGGCGTGGCGATGGGCCAGGCAGGCACAGATGTCTGCAAGGAGGCAGCCGACATGATTCTGGTGGACGATGACTTCCAAACCATCTTGTGAGTGAACGACGCCAGCACTCTTTGACCCTTGCGGTAAAAGTTTTAAGGCGCCTTAAAAACTAATGTTTTGTTCTCCATTTCCAGGTCAGCCATCGAGGAAGGAAAAGGAATTTACAACAACATTAAAAACTTTGTCCGCTTCCAGCTAAGCACGTGAGTGAAAAGAAACTGTAACAGAGTCCAAGTGTTACAGACCTACAGCTAATTTTATACCACGTGGACTCGCATATAAGGTGTATGTGTTTGTCTACAGTCATTTAATAAAGATTTCCCTAATTTGTGAATATTGTGAAGTGTTGCTCCTGGCTGGTGGCGTCCTCAGTGCTTTCAAGAGATTAAATATAGAGAGCCTAAGTCCCTCACTTCCACTTTCGCCCTCTAGGACCTCATTTCGGGAAAAATGTTTAGTAGTCAATGGCGAGAGACAGCTAATGTTTAGATGCTGTTTGAATTGTGTCCTGAAACACATGATGTTTGTCAGTTTAAATGTTTATTTGTGTTCAATGAACTACATCTCTTGTCTCGCACATTGTACATCGCCAACATGTTAGCGCTGTAATGCTAAGCTAACATTCATTGCTTGCTACTAGCTGGGTAGCTTAGCTATGTTCCACGCATAGATGTTTCTCACCTGATGTGTTTTATTCAACGATTCCTGGTTCTTTCATCACATCATCTATACATGGAAGCTCTTCAACATTGGCTTCAGTGGCATTGGCTTCAGTCATTGAGAGAAACAGTTATGACTTTTGTGTTTGTGGTTTTTGTAATTATGTATTTTCACAATTTTACATTTCAACAATAAAAAAAAAAAAAAACTTTCTTGACTTAAATTATCTTTTAAACTGACAAACATCATCGAATCAAACAGGATCTCAACATTAGATGTCTCTCGCCGTTGATTACCAGACAGATATTTTCTGAAATAAGGGCCCATGGCGGTCTATCGGAGGGAGAGAGGCTTAGGCTCTCTATGAAGGCCCACTCCTCCCTTCGACGTGCATAAATAGCTTCATACCAGCCTGACACTCCCTCCCTCCCCCTGCTGGCCTGCAGGAGTATTGCAGCTCTGACGCTCATCTCTTTGGCAACGCTGATGAACTTCCCCAACCCGCTGAATGCCATGCAGATCCTGTGGATCAACATTATCATGGACGGACCTCCCGCTCAGAGGTACAGGGGTGTCATGGAAGCTGTAGTGTAAAGGCACTGCAGCCACAATGGGTGTTTTCAGGCTGATTCCAGTAGACTCTGTATATTTAGATGTGTCTCCTTTTAGCCATTATTTCTTTAGCAAAGTTGAATTCCTGGCAGTGTACAGAGGACTTTAAAACAACATTTAGACCTTAATGTTGGGGGTAAAAAACACTATGGATTTCCTAATGTCTTACTTATTATATGGCAAATAGAGACAGTTTTGAGACGATACTTTTAATCAAGTTTAGTTGAGTTCATAAGCAGTTGTTGAGTTCCAGAAGAACGAATAGTATAGATTTATTTTCAGTTTCTTTAGAGGAGGTTGGGTTTCTACAATTCAGGCGCTGGTTTATGTACATTTGCTATTTTAAACATTTTTAATAGTGAAATCAAAATACATTGTGGAACTTTTTTAACTTTCTGCAAATTAACTGCACTTTAATTCTTTGTCAGTGGGTCGGGAGTGCCTTGTTTGTGACAGTGTTTTGTTTTTTAGTTTGGGCGTGGAGCCTGTGGACCGCGATGTGATCAGGAAGCCTCCTCGTAATGTGAGTGACAGCATCATCACCCGCAGTCTGCTTGTCAAAATCCTGGTGTCAGCGTTCATCATTGTCTGCGGAACGCTGTTTGTCTTCTGGAGAGAGGTTGGTCACTTTTCTGTTTGATGGGCTCAGCGTTTCATTCCTTTGGGTTTCTTCTTGTGTTTTTCTCTCTCGTGATGTTAAAACGGATTGAAGGGAAATCCTTACAGAAGCTAAGTAAGCTGTGGTATACGCTTATTATATCCCAGTTCAGGGGCGTTGTCCTGGCAACTCTCTTAACTGTGATATAATAAGCGTATACCACAGCCTGAAGTGAGCTATTGCTTTTATAAAACGGTTACCAAGTATGGCAAAAAGAAACAGACGGACTACAATTTGACTTTATTTCATCAACAGACATTTCTTTTTGAATGCAAAAAGTAGTTCCACCAGGCTGCCGGTAGCATGATGGTTGCTAAGCAACATACATCAAAGGCTAGAATTATTAGAAATATTTATTTCTATCTATTTGCACGTTGCCATTTGTTGTGCAGCCACTAAAAAAACTGTCCAGCGCCAGTAGATTGACTTTGGTAACTTGAACTTATATGATAATATGCTTGCTACTGTGTGCCGTCTGCCAGCAGTGCGTAAAATATTAACTAATAATCTATGATGGCCTTTTTCAGTCTATTGAAACTTAAACTTTGTTGCAATATTGCAGACATCAGGGGCAAGTAGTGGGCTGCTGTGTGTTTTCATGTGTGAGAGGGGGAAATGATAAGCACGGAGCTCGCTCTCCCTCTCATATATATTATTTATTTATTTATCTCTGCCTTTAAAATGCGATCTGATCGCATTTTAGGTGTAAATGTGGCGTAAACCCCCACGAAACTCGGATTACAACTCGAACCCTGTTTGTTGTGGAGTGATACAGATCTGTGCGAAGGAATTCAATGTCATACCTGTTATACACGCTTATTATATCACTACAATGAACCAATCAGATTGCTTGATTTGAGCTACCCATTTTATAATGACAAATAAACAACCTAAATATAATAGAAGTGTGATTTAGAATAGATAGAAGTGATTTAAAATACTTAAAAACTTGTTTATATTCTTTCAATTTCATATTTAGGAAAATCTTTGTATTATATAGGTTTTTGTTCATTGTTGTTGTGCATTTAGTCTGCAAAACAAATTCCTTGTATCTGTAAAAACAACTTGGCAATAAATCCGATTCTGATTAATCACTTATTGTCAGAGAACCATGATCTTTTCCTAAACCTAACCAAGTAGTTTTGGTGCCTAAACTTAACCAAATTGCGACGTTTCACAACGTTAACCACTAGTTTTATTTTAAAAGTTTTTAAAAGTCTTGACCGAGCGCACAGGGATGATTAGGCCTCAGAGAAAATATACTTATATACTAACTTATGTTGCTGCCGTACTTCACCAAGTATAAACACAAATGCATTCGTGTTTGATGTACAAGAAAATGCAGAAGGAAAAGTTAAATTTTTAGAATCAAAACTTGGTAAAGCTACAGAATCAGACTTTGTTTACCAAGGAGTTTGTTTTGGTGCCAGAACATCAAAATAAAGAAATAAGATGGAAATAAAATAGAAGGATTAGATGAGAGAGATAACTGAAAAGATTAGTAAAACAAGTGTCAATATTTGTGTTTTGGCCTCCAGTTGCAGGACAACATGATCACTCCTCGAGACACCACCATGACCTTCACCTGCTTTGTCTTTTTCGACATGTTCAACGCTCTGAGCTCTCGTTCACAGGTAAACACACCTCAGACACACCTGAGGGCACTTAGTTTAATAAAAAGTGCTCTCTTGAGCTTTCTTTTCCCTCCTGATAAACTGTTTGTGTAGCAGAAATGTGCATTGTTAGTTTTGCAAAAATCACAAACCTTTTTATTTTAGACTGATTGCATGTTCTCACCCTAATACTTGTTGTTTTACGACTTTTATGCTAAATTAAAAGCTAAGTGACGACATTGATCAGCCTGTGAGTGTTTGATCTGTACCTGACTGCCCCTCGCTGCTTCTCAGACTCGTATGGTCCACGAGATGGGTCTGTGCAGTAACAAGACTTTCTGCTACGCCGTCCTGGCCTCCATCATGGGACAGCTCCTCGTCATCTACTTCCCTCCTCTGCAGAGCGTCTTCCAGACAGAGAGCCTCAGCATCTTTGGTGAGAACAAAGTCTTTAAAGACACGAGGAGCCGCAGGTGGATTTTTTAAAACCTTACAGAAAAACCACGTGGCACATGTATTGCACATGGGAATCATGGGGTTTTGGTGGCGCAGCAGCGATCAGCTGATCTTAATGACGGAGCCTGCGGCTGCTTTAGGTGTAATCTGTTTGATCGGCTGGACTTGCAGCCTCTCTTTACTCTGTTTCTGAGTCTTTAGTGTAGTTTACAGACTCTTACTCGTTTTATACTTGTGACTGTCGTTTTTGAAGGTTTGTGACTCACCACTAAAGGAAAAAGCACTCTGAGATCTTTCAACTCAACAAAATAATTTTCCGTTGTTTATTTTCAACAAACGTATCAAAAATTACCTTAAATTTGTTTCCTACCACTTATTTGGTCAATAAACTATTTCACTCCTCTCTCATTCAAATATAAAAAAAATTGCAAGCTGTAGTCTTTCCCCATGTAATACTACCCCTGGGGATGACCTAATTAGGATGAGGAGGATCTGATACAATTTCCCAATACCTTTTATGTAACAGTTATTTGAAACAAAAAAATAGATAACAACAATAATAATAATAGGCTACCAATCAACTACTATGGCTTCAGCAGGTAGCATTTTATGCAATGTATTGAATGAAATAATGGAGCAGTGGATAAGACACATGCCTTTGGTGTGAGAGACCCGGGTTCAAATCCACTGTGAGACACCAAGGTTTCCCTGAGCAAGGCACTTAACCCCTAATTGCTCCAGAGGTGTGCGACCTCTGGCATATATAACAATTGTAATTCGCTTTGGATAAAAGGGTCAGATAAATGTAAAGTGTATAAGTACTCAATTGGTATCAGTATCACTTTAAGGGTACTGGTATCAGCGTCCACGTTTATTCCGCATTCCAACTTAAGAACACATGAACACACACTGAAGTCGGAAAAACTACTTAACAACTCGGGGAAATGGGGCCCATCCGAGGAGCACCTGAATGCACCGTGAGCCGCTGGTTGCAATTCACAACCCTCACCACTAGATGCCACTACAACTTACACACTGAACCTTTAATTGTGGTAAAACAAAGTGGCTGTTTAATGAAGTCTTTTGTTGCACATGTAGCATCATAGCTGAGTTAGCTTTGTGTTCTGATCTTCCTCCTGCAGACCTGCTGTTCCTAGTGACCCTCACCTCCTCTGTGTGCATGGTGTCCGAGATCATTAAGATGGTGGAGAGGTGGAGGGAAGCTAAAAAGAGCCCGCCCTCCGACTTCTTCCACGAGGTATGACACACCCCCACGCCGCTGGCCCCGCCATGCTGAATGGCCGAAGGACTCTGAGCCTTGGAGGAGGAGGAGGAAGAAGAAGAGGAGGACAGTGATGGGTTTTAGGATATCAGAACTGATGGCACTGACTATATAAGACTGACAAGACTTGAGGGATTTTCCTGGGAGGGAGGAGAAATTCTGGTCTGGGACTGGAGCTTCAGCCTCAGGTTGCAGTGACGGAGGGAGGTGAGTTAGCAGACTGGACTTTAATTGAACTGGGAAGACATGATGGCTGCTGGGAGATCTGATCCAATAAACGGCTTTAATACCGATCCACAGCAGCGGTTCAGCTCATGACCCCCCCCCCCCCCCCCGACCGTAGCTTTTGGGGGAAACTGATTTAAACATTGTCGGCGTGAACCCAGCTCCAGTCTGCTCCTCTTCATTTAGGACGTTAACCCTGTGAAGATTCAAGGCTGTGTGCAATTCTTTGTGTTCTTCCTTCTTTTTCAATCTTATCCTTTTTAGAAGGTGTTGACCACTATTCTTTCTTTTAGCGGTCGAAGGCGGTGACTTCACGCACGACCACGACTTTGTTTTGATTCCTCTACAGATGGGTTTACAGGACATGGTGGAGGTGTAACGGTACAAAGTTTTTATCACAGCAGGGAACAGAAAATATAACATTTTTTGTTCTAATTTCAGCTGGAAATTAAGACACTGAAGCATTTCCATATTTCCTAGAAAACTTAAGGCAATATGTCCGTGTTGCTGTACATTAAATACAGAACTGTATTCATGTAAAGGAACATAACAGTGCACTTTATTGCATATAAATCTTTAATTGTGTGTTTTCTACTGTGAAAGTCTGTGGCTGCCAATATTAAAATCAAAATGTCATCTTCCATTTATGTCCATAGATTTTCAAATTACATTTTTTAATGGACATTTTCATAATAGGAATAAGGTTTGTCATGTGATTATGGAAACGGTCTGTGTTCTGCAAATGAGGGTGCATATAATAGAGGTAGATAGAATAGAAATTTTACCTGACGAAGGGATGAGGACTGAGACAGTTAATTAAAAGTGCATTTATTTAAAAATCAGGATGTAAATCTTTAAATCCAGTTTACATTATAAATTTATATTTAAATCTGATTATTATTATAGATTGAAAAATTAGTCACTTTAAAATGATTTTATTCAGTTTTTGTTATGTTAGTAATTATGCTTTTCAACAATGAAAATGAAAGTTGGATTTTTTTCGTGTGTGTCACAACTGGAAAATTAGATTTTGTAGAAATGTATTTGTATCAGGATTCAACACCTTGTTTAAGTGATTTGATTTTAGTGTTGGCAGCCATACACTTCCATACACAGACACTGACATGAAACACTTTGGTGGTTTTTGTAGGACGGGATAATATCTATATGTACATTTGCTTATTTTTTTGGATTACTTTGAAACTTTAACTTTCTTTCCTTGAGAATTTTTTCTTCAAACAAATTAAGTTCTGAAATTTAACAGTTAGAGGAACTCCTAAATAAAATGGTGTCATTTTTAATTGAATCAGGAACTGTCGGATCAGACAATAATTAAAATCAGAGAATAATTACAACAAGATTATTAATCTGACCAGACTTCTGACTGACCATGTTTTTGTCTTTTGTCCCAACAGCTTCTCATCCCAGGGCGTCAGATATTGGTATTTGATGCACAAGGTACCCTTTAGAGTCCTTGTGAGATGCCTTTTTAATATGTGGTGTGTGTTGACATAAGTAAAGTACGTAATGGCGGATGGGTTACTTTAAAGTGCAGGACATTGACGGGTACCTTGTGCAACAAATAGCTTTCTATATTTGTGTCTATAGTGTCTATATTTGATGCCCTGGGATGAGACCGGGCTGTTTGTCCAGTCCAGCTTAACCAAATACTACTGCCATAACAAGCACAGGTGTTAATTAACAAAATATTTGGTGCACTAACGGTTTAGGAGGCGTAATCGTACCATTGCACCTCCACTACACGGGCTTGTTTCTGGGATCCGCATGTTATGTTTCACGCTTCTTTCTACGTACAATGGTTTATTTAAATTAAAACGGAAATCTGGTTTCTGTTGAGCAGCTATCGTATTTAAGCTCCATCACGCTCGCCACCTCGTCTGTGGCGGCGAACGACTCTTCCTCTGGCCACAAACCGGCTGCTGTCTGCAGATTAGGAACTTTATTTTTCCTGCAAAACAGCAGAGGTGGAACATCCTGACGCTAAAATGTGGAATTAGGCCTCAAAAACTCGCCAACACAACTGACACGGTTGCTTTCAGGGTACACAGAAACTTTAGTAACAATGCTTTCTCATCCTGTGCCTTAGAGAAGTCATTGATAATTTTAATTATCTCCACTCCTTTAGTGGACGGAAGCCCTTTACTGATGCATGGCTTTTCTGTTTAATCAGTTTTAAATTATTTTTTTTTTAAAAGAACAATCATATGAAATATTAACTTATTTTCCATTTATAGTTGATATATAGAGAAGCCAGGGTGCTTTCTGGGAAATGTAGTCCACATGACTTTTAATATGTAGTTATTGTTGTTTTTTTGTTTGTTTCTTCCAAAAGGCACATTTTCACAGGTGTTTGCTAAATGAACAGTAAGAAAGGAGGGAAGAAAATACCTTCACCCTGCTGCTGTTTCCTAAAATTTAAATCTTGTTTTATTTTATACAGTTCACATTACTGATAGATGTTCACTGCAGCAGAGTTCAGGTGTTCTTTTGCTTTTCATCCGGGATTTTGGTTTATAACACGATTTGTTTTTTTTGTTTGTTGTTTTTTTTTGCTGATGTTGGCAAAAAGCTTTTAATTTCTGAAATGAGAAAATGACCAGAAAAGGGGGGGGGACATATTAAAGGAAAATTACTGTTTTTACAACCTGAGTCTTATTTTTGTAGTTTCTTTCATCATTCCTGTTGGTTCTGATAAGACTTCTGAACTGACATCTCTAACTGTGCATTCAGACCAAAAGCATGTCAAATTTCACAAATAAGGCAAGTAAACACAACCCAGTTTACTATAGCGGTATGAACCCAAAATAAACATTTTGCTGTGATTTAATTGTAATAAAATAGATCAAAAAGATGCAGAATTCACTACAAAATGACACCGATTTGTTTTACATATGAATTGTCATGTCTGTCTTTTAAAATGCATGTTTTTTAAATGGAGTTTTGATCGATCAGTCCTGTGTTCTGCTAACTTGTTCACAGTACAATGATAGCTGGAGCTTACCAGGTAGTTCAACTTCCTAGCTTAGTCTTCTCCAAGCAATGTCCACTTTTGGTTTTTAATTAACTATGAAGTAGTAGCACAGAGCTGTGTGTCCACTGAAGCTAGTGGAAGTCCGAAACACACGGTGGCATGCTGCTGAGAAGTGCCACTGAAGATAAATAAATATTTTAAATTCCAAAAACTACTAGTAAAAAGTTTAATAAAAGCAGTTAACTCCATCACGTCCTATGCTCGCCTCGCTTTTGGTGTGAAAGTACCATTACTATTACTGGATATAACGTACAGCATAATATCTCACTGGACTCAGCAACAAGAATATTCAGATAGAAGTATTCAGTAAGCACTATTGTATAAGAAATTATTTAAAAAAAGACTAATTTAATGAGTCTTAGAAAGAAATGTGAGCAGACAGGTTTGAAACAAACCAAAGTTTAGTTTTGGTGAGCATTATTTGTACAGCACATTTTCATACACCAGGGCAGATCAATGTACTCAACAGTAGAGCTGCGATGACTAATCAGTTACTTGTAAACTATTAAATTAAATCGATTGATTAATTAATTTAATAAAAACTTAATTTGATGATCGATTCATTGTTTTGAGTCTTTTTTTTTTTTTTTTAGAAAAAAAAAGACTAAATTTGAATAAAAATGTGAATGTTTTCTGGTTTCTTTGCTCCTCTTTGACAGGAAACACTGATCCACATTTTGTTTCATCGTTTTGACATTTTATGGACTAGACAACTAATCGATTAAATCGTGAAAATTATCAACAGGTTAATCAGTAATAATAAGTAAAAGATTTAGAGTTGTAAATGGTGCGAAAGTACAGGCCAAGGGATTAAAAAAATGTAGTGCATTTTTAAAATCAAGTGGGGGGAAAAAAACACATTTAGATGCACAATTTAATTCAATTTTGACATTTTTTTTAACTAAATACTGAGTTAAAAAGTTTTCAGCCTGTCTAACTGCTTCTGTTTCTTCTTGTTATTGGGCCCCAGATCAAATTTTAAGCCATAAAGAAGCTGAAAACTCAGGTTGTACTAAACTCAGCAAAACCGATGTTTCTCCCGCTGTGATTAACTTAACGATCACATGACCATCCATCCATCTCTATCACTTGTTTTTGAGGTCTCTTTCCCGTTCTCCCTATGGCCAGATGTGATTGAAAACCTTCAGTTCATGTTTCCTGTTATTGATCCAGATGTTCTGTTGCTTTCTTTGTGAACTTGTACATTTACTCTGTAAAATAAGAGAAGGTTCATCTCTTGTTTTAACAACATTCATGTGCACTTGTTATATAAATTGTGCTTTTCTATTATCTTCTGTGTGTCGGGGGCCAAATGTACGGAAGACGATTAGGGTTAGGATTTTTTTCATTTTTTCTCCACTTTATTGACTCTTCAAAATAACAAACTGGCATCTCTGTAATGTTACATAAACCTAACATTTAACTAAATCTAAGCAGCAAACAACTTAAAAATAGATGAATACAAATAAAATAAACTAAGAATTTTAATTGAATTGAAAATACAAAATCAAAATACAATGTAAGTAACTCAGAGTCTGAAGGCACCATTCTTTTCCAGTGTTTTATTGACCGGAAAAAATTTCAAATCACTAATAAATGATGTAAAACTTCAAAAAAAAAAATCTATACTTTACGAATATAAAATGTAGCTATAATGAAAATATTGTTACACAACAACTCAGTATCTTTGTTTTCCGTAAAACAACCAAACTCCATTATGGTAATAAAACCAGGGTTTACAATCTTTGTACCTAACAATCATATATTCTGTAAACAAATAATTTAACAACATTAAAGCTGTAGAAAAGATGTCCCTGAGAATAAAAAATTAATTACATGGGTAGATATCATTAATTGTTTTGAAATGAACCTCTTTAATTTTAGGAAACAAAGGATATGATCAAAATCTTTCTTTTCACAGGAAGTGGAGAAAATTTTTTTTCATCATCAATCATCTCAATGTTATCACCTTTACTAAGTAAATAATTATACTTATCAAGTATAGTAGAGAATAGCAGCATTACAGTAGAATATTGTAACAATCCTTTTATAAAATTTGTTAAAGTCAGAATTCTGAATTTAAACTCTGAAATCATAATTATTTGTACATGTGGCACTAATCATCTTCCGTACATTTGTGAGTGGTCTTTTTTTTTTTTTGTTCCAGCGAGGCTGATTGTCTTGAAGGTATCTCGCAAAGCAAATCAAACCCCCCCACCCCCTTAAGACTCTCAATTGCTGTTGTAATTAATGTAATCAATGAAGTCAGTTTTCAAGCATTCCGTGTCTTAAATCTGAGGAAAATATCATTGGGTTTGGTACAAGAAAATTTAAGATGACGACTTTGGGGGGCGGCTGTGGCTCAGGAACCCCCGGCTCCTCCAGTCTGCATGTCAAAGTGTCCTTCGGCAAGATACTGAACCCCAGTTTGCTCACGATGGCTGTGCCATCGGTATGTGATGGATTAGTTTCTTTTGTCTGATGAGCAGTTGGCACCTTGTATGGCAGCCTCTGCAGTGAATGAATGATGGTGAACGGGTGAATGTGACTTGTAGTGTAAAAGCGCTTTGAGTGGTCGAAAGATCAGAAAGGCGCTTTACAAGTACAGTCCAATTACCATTTTGGGGTTTTAGAAAGTGTGGTGGACATTATTCAATAATTTATGAATGAGCGATTTATCTATATAGAAATCAGCAAATGAATCAATAATGAAAATAATCAGTAGTTGCAGCCCTGATCAAAAGCGAAGATACTTGATTTTAAAGTTTTTTTGGGTTTAAATGTGTTACATAAAATTTACATTAATTTATTAAATTTACAAAGTGGTTTTGGGACTGTTTAAATAAAATAAACCAGAAGTAACTGAAGTCAATAAATGTAATCCTAGTCAATTAATCAATAAGTTATTCATTTGAATCGTCATCATCATCGTGTATTTATTTTTAGGTTGTTTGGACAACAAAAATTAAACTAAAGACTCTGTTAATGTTTCCGCAGTCTGGAAAATTAATCAACAACAAATTTGAGAATCAATTACATTTTTGAAGCAAAAATGTCAAACAAGTGCTTCAGCTTATAAAGTGAGGATTTTTAATACTTTTCTTTGTTTTATGTCGTTGTAAACTTGGGGGGGGGGCTTTTGGCGAAAACAAGCACTTTGGAAGTAAACAAACTACAACACAAAGTTGTAACTCTACAGAAGGAACAGCAACATGGATGTTTTTAGAGTGTTAATCCACAAAGAACAATGCTAAATTTCCTTTGTTTTTAACAGTGTAACTAAAGGGAATCAAACCAGCACAACCAGACCAACAAAACACGAAATGGACGGAGGCGTCCACAAATGTCTAGCTATAAAATCTGTCTGACATTTAGAGCTGATATTTGTTTTGTTTTGTTCCTTGAGCAACCATACCCACACATTTACAACAACTAAACTAAAAACAACCAGTTTCATATTTAAAAAGGAGACAACATATTACAGACGTTTTCATACACCTTAGGCCTGAACAATTAATCTAAATTTTGTAAAACGTCAGTAAATACACCATTTTAAATTAAATATTGTTGTGCTGCAGAGATGTCCTGACCTACACATGATATTCTACAGCAGTGGTTCTCAAACTTTTTAACATCATGGACCCCTAATCTGACAAATTAGATCACGGGCCCCCATTTGCTAAGATTTTTGCTTTTAGATGTTTTATTATGGACAGTGTATGAAACCCAGGATCCAAGCAGTCATTGTGTTACTGAAGTGAAGGAATTATAACAAAAATTTTACTTTTCCCCTTTTTGCTGGCGACACCCTGTAACCCTCTCAAGGACCCACCACACTACAGACTTAAGAAAACATTGTTTTATTTTTTTACAACCAGTCCCCTAAAAGGTCACACCATAAATCTAATTGTTTTTAAATGAGAAAAATTATATAAAAATTCTATTTCCCCATATTCCCACAATTTGATATTTTATTCAGCTCTAATAGTTTTTTTTGTTTGTTTGTTTTTAAGTGCATATAAGGTATTTGGGGCAGTAAAATATTTTACACTTGAATATTTAGGAAATATAGATTTATATTAATGTGTATTTTTATTTTTTTTTGTAATTTCTGACAGACTGCAGAGCTTTGTGAAGTGCTGTTTTTAAGCTTCTTTCTCCGTCGTCTCGGCTGTTTTTACTCTCTGCAGAAGTTTTGTCTGTTTTACTGTTTTTCAGCATGTTTAATGTCTGAAAAACCAAATCTCATGTGAGAATTAAACAGAAGCTGCTGAGGTTCAAACTGAGCTGCTGCTGCGAAGACCAGTCACACCACTGACTCGCTCTCTTTATCTTCTGTTTATTTATAGTGTGTGTGTGTGTGTGTGTGGGAGAATGAGAATAAAATGTTTATTAAAATTTTATAAATCTTTTAAATAAACTTTCACTTTGTTTTTATTCGCAACTCATATTCAGAGGCAGTTTGAGTAGCAGAGAAGAGTTTAATCCTTCATTTAAAAAATATAATTTTACACCATAAAACAAGAGATTTCCTTATTTGTATTCCTTCATTCTTACCTCCCATTTAGTTAAAATACACATGTACAAAATAAACACTGACAAATACTGAAACTTTTCATTTTACAAATTTTGTTTGCATTTAAAAAATCGGTCTCTGATTAGCAAAGAAGTTTACAAAATATTAAAACATTTAAAAGTTAAAAGTGCCTGTATAAGTTAAAAAAAAAAAAAAATAGAATTGAGATAAAATCCAAATCTTCTTCAAGCTTCAGTCAGAGAAAATAAGTGTCGGCCCCCAGCAGAGGACAAACAATCAGACCTTTTATACAGAATTTCCCTTCATAGCTACAAACAGAGGGAATATTGATCTGGATTTTAAACTAGTTTGTAAACTACTTTAGATATCGCATATTAGCAAACAGCTAAAAACTTCATAAAGAGACTTGGGCCCCTCCCTTTTCTGTGGACCACCATGGGATCTTACCAATGTTACTGAAGCTAACGTCAAAGAGCTTCCATGTGTAGATGATGTTAAAAGGACCAGGAGTTGTTGGATTAAACACATCAGTTGAGAATCATCTGTGTGTGGAACATAGTTAAGTTAACTGTTTGACGACAAACTGCGACTTTCTTGACTTAAATTATCTTTTAAACTGACAAACATCGTGTGTGTGGTTCAGGACACAATTCAAATGGGATCAAAACATAAGCTGTCTCTCACCGTCAACTACGGTACATATTTTGTTACGAAATACTGTCCCATGGGGCGGAAGGGGAAAGGAGGGACCCTTGTTAGCAAACAGCTACTTTTTTGGGTCAAGTAGCCAAAAATGAATGAAAGCCCCTTTTAACAGGTTACGCTAAAACTGGTAAGATGACAGAATACAAAACAACACATTATGGCAAAAACAGCAGCACCAGTTTGCTTCTGGTCCATAAAGTGGACTTGGAGCTGGACAGCTATCAGAGGAGGTCCTGGCCCCTGCACTCTGCTTTGCGGGCCAGTTCTGGGTTTTTGCACCGGTTGTTTCTCTCCTTCGCTCTGTAACGAGTTTTTATTGACAACAAGTCATCCAGATGTAGATCCAATTGAACTTTGGCCACGCTGCTGATTTCCGTCGGGGTCTCCTCGTCATACTCGTGCAGGAGGAACAGCTGCTGCAGGTTGGTGGTCAGGTCGTCCAGATGCTGCCGCTGTGGCGTTGACGCTACCTTAGGATGAAACTGGTGGACGACTGCCAACATGGACTGATACAGTTTCACACTGGAGGGATCGCTCTTCAGCCTCAGTTTACCTCCAGTCCTCATCCTGTGGACCATCTGGTGGATCAGCGTCCCCTCATATAACCTGAACAACAAGATGGAGATTTAACAGTCAGGGAGACGTCACCTGTATGAGTCACGGTCTTACAGTCACCTGGGAGTCCGTTTAAAAGTCCAGTGTGTAATATTTAGGAGGATCTAAGACGAAGAACAAGTAACTGTAGTTGTCGTAGTCATTGACTGCTTGTCTTTAGCCCCGGCGTTGTTGGCCAGTGTGGCCAGATCCAGCTGATGGATACCAGCCCAAAATATGTTATGAGTGTTTGTCAGTTATTTACCTTCCACGTTTCCTTACCTATGTTACGTTATATTTACATACTTTATATAGAAGAAATGCAAACAGTCAGCCGATGCTTACATAAAGAAACCGTTTTAGGTGCATTACAGCCACCTGCTGGACTGTGGAGTGGAGTGTTGCCCTTATAAATAAATAACCCCATCAAAACCTTCCGATGAAATGACAATATCCTCCACACACTCGTTTGTAAGGCGGCTCATGTATTTGAGCAAGTCGATTTTATTTCATCCAATGCCATCAAAAATGTTTTAACTTCATTCATGGGGGGTTTTGGGTAACTGCATAACTGACAGCGCCAACGGTGTGTGTGTGTAACCATAGTGACAAAACGGTGAAGGAACGCGATCTGTCAGTCAAGAAGATTTTCCAAAACTTTACTCCAGACAGACAAGTGTGGCAGTTTTTAGATTAAGAAGCAAACCAGGCTGTCAGCTGCACACGAGTGTGTGGAGGGTATTGTAATTTCCCTGCAAGGCTTTGATGGCGTCATTTATGAAGAAAACCGTTAAACATCTGAATGCAACCTTGTGGAACTATGTACTGTCTGCGGAGCTGTCTAGTACCGTGAGCAACGTGACTTTGAAGTGAGCGTTGATGTCTAGTAATAATAATAATACATTTCATTTCTATAGCTCAAACACACTTTACAGTAAAACCACAAGTTAGGTACATTTAAAAACAGATAAAAAACAAATAGCAAAAACATGTGGTGCAGAAATACATAAGAGCAAAGGGGCGACCATATAAATAACAAACAGCAGCAGGTGTAATATAACATTATTTGAGGTGAACCATAAAGGATGCTATTGCAGTAGTCAATTCTGGACGTAATGAAGGCTTGTATCAGGGTTTTGGCAGCAGAGAAGGTGAATGATGGGCAGAGATGGGCAATGTTTTTGAGGTGAAATAAGACAGTCCTGGTGACATGATTGATGTGGTGTTCAAAAGTGTAGGTTGCGGATGTGTGGGGATGGAGACAGGGTGGAGTTGTTGATGGAAAGGCTGAAATTGTTGATGTGTTTTGCAGTAGTAAGATAATGATGATTGATTGGATGGAGTACATGCACTCTTAGGTTTTGTTTCAAATTACCTATAAAATACTACAGTTAAAAAATGCCGAACTGTTCCCAAACCAGCCCAAATTTTGTCTAAACTAATTTTGACCTGCACAATCAAAATCAAAACCGGGAACCGCCCAATCTGGCACCACTGCAGGAGGCTTGGGGGCGTGCCCAAGGCTACATCCCCACCCAAATCCTTCACATAAGAAGCAGAATAGTGACAAGCAACAGAGAAAACAGGCTTGTGCTTGATTTCTAAGTGAGGCTAGAGCCCATTGACAAAAATTAAGTAATAGTGGAAGTGATTTATTTATTAATAAGTAATTTCATTGAAAAATTACATGTAGCCCCTTTTAATTAAGTATTTGGTTGTATTTGTCAAAGGTTCAGTGTGCAGGTTTTGGTGGTATCTAGTGGTGAGGGTCACCGCCACTCACTCCTGCCTTTGCAGGCGTGCACAGGAGAAGCTACGGTGCAAAATAATACGTGTGGTCCTCCATTTGTCCAAATTTTACTTCTTACTTACTAACAGACCAGATGACTACTAGGACTACTACTAATACTACTTCGTATGTATTCAACATAGTGACGAAACGCGCTTTGAAGAGCAGTTTGTCCGTTTGGGCTACTGTAGAAACATGGCGACTACCATCTAAGGGGACCTGCAGAGAAGACCTGTTACTATAAGTAACTGAACGAGTATTAATATATTCTGCTGTACAGTGTTGTTGAATTCAGTCATTAAATGTGGTCAGTGCAATGTTTACTCAGTTCCTAAGTCAATGTTCCTTTCCTAACTTTAGATAAGAAAAGTGTATTACAGAAGCATCCTAAGTTTAGGAGAACTGTTAAGCTGTCCTAACTTTACTTTTCCACCAGGTAGTCTTTGCTAACTCTTTAATCCACATGGTTATTAACTGATTCTACCCACGTGTTTGATGACCAAACACTCGTTAGCAGAAGGCTGTAGGCGACGTAACGCCGGATAATGTCATTAGATAAAATAATGTAAAGGCTTGGTGTAACAAAAGGATCCTAATGCAAGTCTTTGGTAGGAGGAGACTGTTAAAGACTAGAAATACATGAAAACATGATGACCTTAGCCCGCAGCCTTTATTATTATTGTTACCGTCATTATTAACTTTGCCCAGATGAGTACCGGCTTCTGCCGGGGTCAGTTAGGGAGCACAGGAGGAGCCACCACCGGGTTCCTCTGACCTTTGGACACAGCAGCTGCCTTTCTCTTCGTATCACTGGTCAGTAGGTTATTTTCTTTTTGATATGTGGCGGTGACTGTGTCCGCTATTTTAGCCCACTCTCTCTCTTTCATCTAACCAGACGAGCGTTACGTGGATTTCCTCCATTTTCAGCTTATTTCATTTAAAAAACGACCAAAAAACAGCGATTAAAAGCCGTTTAGCTCGGCGGGATGAGAAAAGTGGGATCAGTTGCTAGGTAACAGGCAGAAAAGTTGATCACCGATGTTGGATTGAGTATTTAGGATTTTATAACCTGAGATAAGACAGGATTCCTAAAGTTAGCTAGGATTTGCTTCTGTAATACCAAATTGGGTAAAATCCTATCTTAGACTCTTCCTACCTTAACTTAAGACAGAAACTTTCTATAATATGGTCCCAGAGTCTAAACTAAACCTGGAGAAGCAGCGCTGAGTTTTTATGCTCCGTATAACAAACTCCCAGAAAACTGCAGGTCTGCTGAAACTCTCAGCTCTTTTAAATGAAGACTGAAGACTTTTCTTTTTACCTTTAATTAAATCCAATTTAAAGCTGTAGATTAATATCTTACCCTGCACAGTAGCTTTTACTGTCTTTTTTTATTCTGTTTTGATTTTCTATTTAACTATTTAAAAAATTGTATTCCAATCTCTTTTTTGTGTTTCCCTGTGTTGCTTTTGTGTAAAGCACTTTGAATGTCCAATACAAATAATCTTGCCTTGCCTTTAGCATTAGATTGCTGGAAACGAATATATAACAGTCCCTTCAGGATTTCCCAGCCTTTCTTGTGATCGTTGCAGCCTGAAATTCCTGATTTTACGGCAGCTTTTCTGAAAGATTGCGATGAAAGCTGTGATGTTTTGGGGGGGCGTTTTTTTTTTCCTCGATGAAATTGTTGAAATAAGTGAAAACTGCAAAGGTAGGTGTGATTTTTTTTTTTTTTTACTTTAGAATTCTTGTTGATTCATCCATCCATCCCTGCACTCACAGCTGACATTTTTTCAGCTTTGAGTACTTTTAGTTAATTTTTAACATTTACAATGCATTTTTACTGCGTGGTATTAGTACTTTTAGGTAAGTGAAGGACCTGAATACTTCCTCCATCTCTGTTATAATGTGCTGCTTTAAACCTAAAACAAATGTGATTAAATGAAGTTCCAGTACAGTTTGATTCCTGTGGAGACTCACTGAGAGACTTGTGGTTCAGCTAAGGGGAAGCCCAGCAGCTGGTTCAGGTGGATGCTGTTCTTCAGGCAGGCCTGCCACTCGTTAAACGCATGAGCCACGCCCACATCCACCCTTTCCTTAAAGACTTGATTTGTTGTCTGCAGACCTGCAACACACACACATCATTTACAGGTTATACTGCTGTCCTATCACTGTTTTATATGTGTGTTTAATATTATTCCACTATGGTGGCCCCTAAGGACATTACAGGTTAAAAAGCTGAGTTTCACTACCAGTCAGTCAGAACAGAAGCAGTCTCTCGGATAAGACACAAAGCATCTTGAGTATCTTCGAGTATCTACACTTCCAACCCCTAACCTTTAACATGCACTTCCTGTGCTCTTCTTCTATCTCCTTAGATTTGTCTTGATTGTATTGATTGTGCTATTCGTTAACTCTGAAGCCTAGTTCGGGGATGGTACAATGGATAAGACACATGCCTTTGGTGTGAGACCCAGGTTCGAATCCACTGTGTCCCTGAGCAAGACACTTAACCCCTGTAAGTAGCTTTGGATAAAAGCGCCAGCTAAATGAATAAATGTAAACATAGTTCACACTGCACAATTTTTGCCCTGATTTGCCGGTCAGAGAGCTCAGCAACCATCAGGCCGTGATCAGGGGTAAATCAGTGGTCAGTCGTTAAGTGTGAACTACTGAACGACGCATCAAAACGGCTCCCCGACACATCGCTGACACATCACCGACGCCAGCCAGATATCTAGCAAGCCAAATATCTGGATATCTAGCTCAGACAATCCCTGCTACCTGCTTGTGCTAATCCATTCTTTCACTCATATTCTTTGTCTTTATAATTGGCATCTTTATAATAACAAACAACAGCTGTTTTATGTGTGTTTTCATGACAAAACGTGGTTTGGAGACCAGCGCCGGGTGACACGGCTTCTGTCAGCTTGCAGGATGGCAAGTTGTGTAGTGTGAACAGCACGGCGATAGGCCGACACTTGTAGATCTCTTACTATATTGATGTTTATTGATGCTTGTATGTTGTTCCTCAAATGTAAGTTGTTTTAGATAAAGGCATCTGCCAGATGAGTAAATGTAAATCTTGAACCAAGTCCAGTTGCCTTTTGATTTTAACCTTCCTTGGGTAACTGTGACCTGGATGGCTGAGAACCTTCACAGACTCTAATATAGACCAATCAATTACTGAGAAAATAATCTGCAAATGAATCTGTCTGAAAACAGTTGTTATTTGAAGCTGTAATGGAAGTATAGTACTATTATTTGTGTGTGTGAGAGAGACTCAGCTGATCAGTGAAGTAACCCAGATATGAAAGTACCCAAGTGGACCCGGTTAAGGTCAGAAGCATCATGGCGTGTTTGTTCAGTACCTGCTCTGTGCCTCAGTGCGTCTCCGTTGCTGAGTCCCAGCAGCAGAGCCTTCAGCTGACTCTCATCCAGGGGAGGTTGAGCATTCTGCAGCCAGAAGCAGGTGGCGGCCACTGGGAGGCGCAGCTGAGGCGGCAGGTGGCTCAGCGAAGCCTCAGTCACCCCCAGAGCCTCCAGTAACACCTGCAGACGCTGAGAGGGCTCCACCTGGGGGGTAAGGGTTAATATGAAAAATTCAATTTAACTTTGTTCATCTCACACAGGGAGCTTTGAACATAAATAAAACGAAAGCAGACCGCACAAGACATTAAACACAACCCAGTATCTATAGCTGCTTTCACACTGCCTTATTTTCCAGGAGTATTGTGCCAATATGCCAGCTCGCTGCGCTGTATGAAAGGTACGGAGCCAGAAAGAGGGGTCCGATTTGATCCGCCTCTGAGCCAGGAACGCTGTCTGTGTGAAAAGCTGGATCGCTGTGTGAAAGCACACATGGTTGCGGGATTATGCCTGCAAACTTTTGTTTAGTACAGTATGAATTAGCAAATGCAGCGTATTGGCTGATATTCTTTCCACATTTATTGCAGGATCTCTGTATGAAAGCAGCTTTACTCACCATAGTAAGTATTTAAGAAAGATTTGAAGTGAAATTTCAAATTGAAGTGAATTTCTATTTACATTTTTTTTGTTTGTTTATTAAGTGTTTGCCTCAATTTATATTAAAAATATGAAATTAAAGGATTGTTTGTTGGAGAAAAAAATACTGTACTGGCTCTGTTTGACTAAGCTATTGTTTGTTGCATTAGTTTGATATTAATTTGCTTGTAATAGCTACTTTAACTTTGTCTCTGTTAGCTAAGTTTGATACCACCGAATGTGGTGTGCTGTTTGGTCCAAATATCTGAGAATGATCATTTCAGTGTACTGTGTGTAAATGCTCCGTACTTGTATAGTCTTTTTGACCACTCAAAGCGCACACATTCATACACTGAGCCTAAGTGCTCAAACGGAAACTAACATTCACACTCACTCATACACTGGCGGAACAGGGGCAAATTGGGGTTCAGTATCTTGCCCAAGGACACTTCGACACGCAACCAGGGGGGGGCCAGGGATTGAAACGCCGACCTTCCGATTAACGGCCAACCCGCTCTACCTCCTGAGCCACAGCCGCCCTATTGTGTGAGTGTAATGAGTGTTCCTCAGCTCATGGTCCAGTATGTTTTCTGATTAACTGTGTATTGAAATTAAAGTAGTGTCATTAAAGAAAGGAACCTTGGATGATGTGAGCTTAATAAAGTCTCAGTTTTGCAACACATTTGAAAATGGTGGGGGTCATCTCTACTAAATATAATGATGCACTTGCGGTAGTTTGAATGAAAGCTTCACCTTATCCAGCAAGTTGAGCTTCAGACGCTGAGTGACCGGTGTGAAGACAGGTTTGACTTTGATAAATTTCAGCTGGAGGCCGTCCCTGTCTCGCTCCTCCACCTGGAGCGCCCCCCGTCTGCCCAGCAGCAGCCCGTACATCACCTGGCGGAGCGGCCTGGAGATCAGGTTGGAGCTGGGGAAGTCAGCGTGGTCCACGGGGAAGCCGAGGGGCATCCTCTGCAGCAGCAGCACATCCAGCACATCAGGAGTGAGCTGGGCCTGCGTCAGCGGCAGCCGGGCCCAGTCTGGGACGAGACCTGCCACCTCCAGGAGGACAGAACAAAGTGAGCATATTCAGCAGACTTTCATTAAAGTTTCTGCACCAATTTATGGTGAAAATGTTTTTATTTCTGTAAAAAGAAACACAAAATTAAGGTGGCACGTGACATTTCAAAATATATAATAGAATCGGAGTCAGTGCAGCTCTCAGTCATTCTGTGCTGCTTTCAGATCTGTTTCTCCTGTAGATCAAGAAGTTGTTAAAGTTACTGACTGGTGCTGCACGTTTTTGGGTTATTTTATAATCAGTAGCTTTTTTTTAGCCCAAGTTACTTTTTTTGGACAACACACATTTGTTTATTTAAGATTTTAATTGCATTGCATGTTTTCTTAATGTGCAAATAAATCTTTCTCAAGGCATTTTCATTTGTTATTAAACTGCAAGCTATATTAGAGAAGGTTTTTTTAACTGATTAAGCTCTGAAAAAGTTATTTCAGTAAGTGGTGGGGACATGACCCCAATGACACCTGTGGGGCTGCAACTACACTAGAGCTGCAACGATTAATCGATTTCAGTAATTTCTAGTCTAAATTCTCTGATTCCAGCTCATTAAGAGGACCTGTGGTGTATGTAGATATAAATGTCTCATTCTAAGGTAAAAAACATAGCGGTTCATTATGTAAGGTCGTCAGACACCACTAAAAACACAGTTATGGATAATATATATTACATTTCTGTCAATACATACTAAATATTACACACTGAACCTTTAAAATGATTTGAGTAAGAAATTTTAAGAAAGAAAAATCAAAATTCTCTGATTCCAGATAAATGAATGTGAATATTTCCTGTTTTCTTTCCTCCTCTGTTACAGTAATCTTTAGGTAGGATATAAGTATATCTTTAGGTTTGAGGACAAAATAAGACATTTAAGACATCCTTTTGGGCTTTGGGAAACACTGATCGACAACTGTTTTCTGACCAAACAACTAAATGATTAACCAAGGAAATAATCAACAGATTAATCGACTATGGAAATTAGTTACAGCGCTAAGCTAAACATTATTCTCATTATAATTTATTTATTTATGTTTAGTCTGTTAAATTTCATTAAACAGTCCAAATGAGGTCCTGCTAACTGACAGAAAGGATTTAATTACTTTTTCCTCTGCAGGGAATGGAGGCGCTATCCCATGAATGAAGAACCTCTTCAGGGAGCTGGGAGGAATCTTGTACTCCTCTATCCCTACATTCATGCCTTGCAGCACCTCCTCTTTTTTCTTCTTGTTCAGCCCTCCCAGCAGCCCCAGCACCGCCTCCAAGGCCTCCTGAGGCTGCTGGAAGCCCCTCAGCCAGCCGATCAGCCCCTCCAGGTGGTGGCCTGGTGTCCCACTGCTTTCCCGGGAGAACTGAGCCCAGCTGATGGACGATTCCATCTTCTGTAGCTTCACGTAATCATTTCCAGCCAAGGCGGCGAAGATGGGCAGGAGCTGGCGCTGGATGTTGAAGAGCGTACAGAAGCTGGAGGCGTTGTAGCTCTTACAGGGGATGTAGCTCTGCGAGCCACTCTTCTTCACCGCCTGCCACTGGAAATGCGAGATGGGCAGCAGCCCCGCCGGGAGGTCGAAGATGTAGAAGTCGCTGTCGTTGGAGAGAACCGGGCACTCCCACTCGTTGGCCAGGGCGGCAATCTCCTGATCGGCCTCTCCAAAGCACTGAGCCAGCGGGATCTGGAGCCGGGTCAGCGTCTGTTTGAACACCAGCTTGAACATCTGTGGCAGAATGTTCTCCTGCCTGCCGCTGACCATCGCTTGATGGGCTCTCCTGGCTCGGTCCTTGGCTCTTTGGGTCAGAGTTTCAAGTTTTTTGTCCGTTTGGTCGGTGCCTCCATCCATGACCACGTACGGCGTGATCAAACACTCTCTGAGGGCTTTGATGAACTTCTCAATCAGCTCCTCAAAAGCAGCATACTCCCCACCATGATTCTGGTCCAGACCTGACCAATCAAACCAAGGAAACACAATGAACAGATTAAACACCACATTACTGCCTGCTCGTTACATAGGGCCTTTCTAAATCTTTGTTTCTCGTCTGTCCTTGTGAAAAGGCCTTACACAAGTTCGTATTTCACCAAGGGTGGTTAAAATTCCCTGAAGAGTTCTTGACAGCACAGATATCCAAGTATTCATTTCAGCATTAAGGCGTGAAGCAGGAAGTAGCAGAGAAAGAGACTAACAACAGAACTGTTTAAAACAATTTTTAACAAGGAATTCAGCTCTAAGTGCATGTGGGCATCAACACCTGGAGGAGGGGGGTGATCAGGAGGAACAGCCTGCCAGATCTGAACCAAGCGGGAAGCTTCCGGTCTGAGACGTCAATCCAATGCGGAAGTCCCTTAAACCTGCATTCTAATAAACGGCCAGCAGGGGGCGACTCTTCTGGTTGCAAAAAGAAGTCCAGCTCCATTAGAAACAGCTTTTTCAGCAGCGCTAATTAAATGTCCACAGAGCAGAGGATAAGAGTCGCCTCTATCCTGATTGACAGGTCCCCATCGTAGCGATTTGTCAGTCACCTTGTAGCCCTGCCCTGAAGCCTCCTCTGCTTTCTGGTCTATGTTCCTCTAAATGGGACCATAATTTACTAAATGAACATCATGCTGTGTTGAAGAAGACTTGAAATCAGCGACTGAGACCATAAACTCATCAGGAAAGTGTTTACTGAGGGAATAAATCAGCTGAGAAGTAGAAACATTTTCTCATAGACTTCTATGCAATCACACTTCTTTCTGCAGTCGGTGGAGTCGCCCCCTGCTGGCTGCTGGAGCGAACGCACACATCATGTGTATATACTGGATACCTGTTTGCTGTGGAAATGTTGATGATAAAAGTTCAAGTCCAACAGGTTTAACAAATACTTATGATGACACAGCTGATTTTTGTTTACATACTATTGACTACATGCTGGTGGCGTCTAAACAGCCCTGACCCGTCGAGGTCCGGACTCCACTGTGTGTTGTGACACCTTTCTGTCAGAACCAGCATCAATTTCAGCAGTTTGACCTACAGTAGCTCGTCTGTTGGATCAGACCACACGGGCCAGCATTCGCTCCCTACGTGTCTCACTGCTGCCCATGACCCTGTCGCCGGTTCACCTCTTTTCCTTCTTTGGACCACTTCTGATAGGTACTGACGCACTGCTAACTGTTTTAGAGATGTTCAGACCCGGTCACCCATTTTTCCTGCTTCTAGCACATCAACTCTGAGGACACAGTGTTCACCTGCTGCCTGATAGATCCCACCCACTGACAGGTAACATGATAATGAGATGATCAGAGTTATTCACGTCACCTGTCAGTGGTCATAATGTTATGGCTGATCAGTGTTTATATAAACATATTTTAAATACAATATAATAAAATGAAAATATATATGATAACTTACACAGCCTATAAACAGTGTACACGTGTACACCCAGAAAGTATTACAGTAATGACAGTGTAAAGTTCCATGGCAGTTATTTATAGTGGCGTGCTCTGGATTGTGATAAATCCAGATGTGAATTGCAGTTATTTATAAATGGAGGAGAGAGTCCACAGAACATATTAATTACCATAAATATAAGTATTACAATGATAACACTTTACCATAACCATCCCCTCCCCTATTCAACATTTATAAGCACTAAACATTTCATATAATTCTGTAATGTAGTTCTACGCAGCTTTAAGGTCGTTTTAGGTGTTTATTTATGTTCAGTATTTGTCAACTTTTAAGTATTTTTCCATATTATTACTGTGCTGTAATACAGCAGCATCCATGAAAACCCACAGGAGGAGTTATAATTGTTAACAAATACATGTTTAACACATACATCTACTTACTTACTACTAAATTTTACTATTTTATTCAAGTTTATGTACAGTTTATAAAATGCTGGATGGGGGATTAATGATATACATTATTACCAGGCGTGTTTATATAACTGAATATATAAAGATTCATCCTCCACACCAGAATCTGGTCCCTTCAGGCACTTGAGCTGATGAAATGTGATGCATTGTTATCCATCAAACTTCCCAGCAGGTAGGTCAAATACAAGATTAAAAAGCTGCTTATATTTTGATGCAACAGCTTTAAAAATTTCATAACTTCCTGCTTCCTTCTTATCTTAACAATCTCTTAATGCTGCCAACACTTCTGCAAACTGAAACTATGAAACTTGTTGTGTTTTTAAATTAAGGTATTGCTATATTTAAGTAAATAAAGGTCCTTGTTAGATTAATGAAAAGTCAAAATGTATGTCTACTGCATCCAGTTGTTTTGACATTATGGAGATAAGAGGTTTCCACCTGACAACAGCTGTATATCTGATAATCAAATTATAATTTTAATCGAAATATAATAAACTGTATGGACGATGAAAGATGAATAAAGTTAAAAGTAAAGTTTTTTTGACCTGTAGTACTTTTATACTAGTAGTATTTGACAACAGTACTGCAGTCAGAATCCTATAATATGAAGTTTGTCTGTGGTTCCTACCTGATTGGAAGTACAGCTGGTAAATCAGGTTGCAGCCGTCGATCACCAGCCGCCTCTGTCTGAACCGGACGTCCCGGTAGATCTCCCGGTGACTGTCCAGCAACGTAGCCAGGCCTTTAACACCCATCTTCGGTCTGATTCTGTGAGCCGATCCCCTTCACCGCCGACCTTATACCAAGGCTGCTGCTGCTGTTTCTGTTTCCTTAAGTTTCGCTTTCCTGACATCATACCACTTAATCTGCCAACAGGTCGCGTCACCAGACTCCTGCACGATGTCATGCAATTTTTAGAAGAAGCAATCAAGTTCAAGAGAAGAAGGAGAAGAAGGCACACTCAGGTAAAACGTGTTTTATTGTGATACAACTTTCTGTGATGATAGTCAAAGCATTTATGCACCTCCTGTTTATTGTTTGTTGAAGAAAACGAGTGTTGTCATGGAAACTGTGTTGTTTTACCAGAACACATATTTATAAATATAAATACAATGTCTCTCTCTCTCTCTCTCTCTGTCTCTCTCTCTCTCTCTCTCTCCTGGTTTGTAGTTCCCTTCTGATACTAAGAGGATGGTAGCTTATATACAAAAAAACAACAAAAACTAGCCTATATGGGTCACAATACTTACAGATTTTGGTCTTAATTTCCCATTCACTTTACGTCTTGTCATAAATAGTACTAGATGCTTAGATACATAAGGTGTACAAATTTCTCCATGAATCGATTGATTGGTTTGCAAAGATTGTGGATTGTGGCCCCAAAGTGACACCTTCACAACACTTTGTTTTGTCCAAACATATTTTACACTACATTCTAATTATTAAAATAATTAAAAGGAAAGCATCAAATCTTCACAGTTGAACCATGAAATGTTTTTGCATGGAAAAAATGACTTAAACAATCAATATTGTTTATTAAATTTATTAATTAAATCAACTAATGTAGCTAATGTTGGGAAGTTTTATAACAAAACATCATATTCTATAAACTTCTGTAAAAGTACCATATCTCCCTCTGAGATGTGATGAATAGAAGTAAAGTAGCATGAAAAGAAAATACTCAAGTACAGTTACCTCAAATTTGTACTTACAGTACTTGGGAAAATGCACTTAGTTACTGTCCACCACTGTAAAGGACAAAATATGAAATTTAAACTGGGACCATGAAAGACCGGACATTTTCATTCCACAACGTTTTATGATGAAAACAAAGTTTGTAGTCCCTTCATGCTACAAACACAGATCCTAAACTTATATTTGGGCATCAAGCATCATTGACGTCCACCTCCTCATTTCCAGACTGGGCCTTTAGGAGCAGCTCACTATATCAATATTAACTTTATTTATATAGATCACATAAAAAAAACAAGGTTGACCAAGTTGCTTTACAAGGTAAAAGTACAACAATACACAACTATACACACTTTCAACCGATTTGTCAGGTAGGGTGACAACAGGTAATTTGGGATAGCTTATGAAAAGAGTATTTTAATTCATCCCTGAAAAGTCAAATTATTGGGCACATGACATAATTCATGTGTCATCACATGGCAGGGTGTGGTCTGCATCAAACAGGCTAAACAAGTCCAATCAAGCAGCAATTTTGATTCATGCAGGTGTAGCCTACTCTTGCTCACTTTATTTAATCCACGGTTTTATTCTTGATGAATGTGGTCTGTGGCAGAATAGACCCCCCAAAAAACAAAAAACAGATTTATAAATATAATAAATATATTTTTTTTAAATGTTGGTATCTTTCATCATTTTAACATCTTAATCAAAAGTCTAGCCTTTTGAGACAGTCATAACAAATCATAGGCTAATAAAAGTAAAATACCTGGCAAATAACCAAACATTTAAAATAATTTAACCGACATGCTACACAAAGGCAAGTGTACCTGTGTAACAGCCCCCCCAGAGGCTAAAGGTGATTTCCCACTATATTTGGATAAATAATCCACCACTGCATATTAATATATTCTATTATATGTGTAACAAACGCAATAGTAGAAGACATTCAGCAGTGAAGTGGCTGCGGCAGCTTCTGGTTGGAGTTTGGAAAAGGAAAGTGGATCCCAGAGGGGGAATATGAAACTGCAGCTCTGAAAAACCTCAACAAGTCACATGACAGCTGATAACAGATAATGTTTATCACACATTTAGACAACACTGTGAAAGTGCTGTTCAACTGAGAGCTGGAAACCAACTTTAACTGCAGTGTTTACCACAGTGGACACTTCTGTTACAGCTTTAGATGTTTAAATGGTTTACAAATAAAGCCGAATGATTATGACATACCTGTGGAAACCTTAAGAGGCCATACATTAATACATAATGACGTTTATATATATCATATATATTATATGACATTGATGTTTATATAATGAATTAATAAATTTATTATGTCATTATCTCTCTAAAACATGTATCGTTTTCTCGAGAAAATTATCCAGTTATCTCTGAAAAAACACATTTGTTGGAGTGGTGATGGGGCAGTGGATAAGACACATGCCTTTGGTGTGAGAGATCTGTATTCGAATCCACTGGGAGACACCACTGTGTCCCTGAGCGAGACACTTAACCCCTAGTTGCTCCAGAGGCGTGCGACCTCTGACATATATAGCAATTAGTGCTTTCAGTTAAACGCGTTATTAATGGCGTTAACGCAAACCCATTTTAACAGTGTCAATTTATTTATTGCAAGATTAATGTTGTTTTTGGCCTAGCAAACTTTGTAGGCTGCCAATACGATTCTAAATGGAAAGTTTACATTTAAAAAGTTGCCAAATGGTTCCATTGACAAGACCAAAGTGACATGTGTGTTTTGTCGTTGTGAACTGAGCTGGACGTAAAGTGCTTCTCTATATTATTGTAGGTATGTGTCTGAACTTCTGGGAGGAGAGAAGTTTATGTCTTGCTCAGCAGTGCTGCCAGCATTGTGTCATCTGTTGCGAGTGTTGGAGGTCACTGAGGACGACCCAGCTTACATGATTAAGTTCAAGGGAACCTTTGCAGCAGACATGGAGGGTCGCAAGGAGAAGACCAACATCACATGGCTGAGAGTTGCAACAGCACTTGACCCAAGGTCAGACTGCCATGCTTCATTCTTACACTCATCCTCATTCTCAGCATTGTGTTTCTCTGTGTGTTTGTTTTGTTAGGTTGCTTGCTTCATTACTTTGTATTTTTGAATTTAGCATTGCAGAGATAGGGGTACTGTCGCAATTTTGTTATACCTGCACCTGTACTTGTATTAAAGTTGCATTTCATATCATTTCAAGGTTTAAGGACCTCAAGTGTCTGAGCAAACCTGACAGGGCTGAGGTGTGGGGTCCACGCCTTGCTCCTGGAGAGGAAGAGGCCTGCACAGCCGGGTAACCAAATCACGCCTGAGCCTCCTATGAAGAAACCAACTCTCATGCTTGCACACGAGTCTTCGTCTGATGAAGAGGAGGACAGTATTGAGCAATGTCTGGAGCGCTACAAGGCAGAGCCTCTTACTGGCACGGATGACTGTCCCCAGGAATGGTGGTCCACACATGAAGGGGCACACAGTGAAATGGCCCGCCTTGCATGCAAGTACTTAGCAACACTGGCCACATCAGTACCTTGCATGCAAGTACTTAGCAACACTGGCCACATCAGTACCTTCTGAAAGGTTGTTTTCACTGTCTGGGCATGTTGTACAAAAGAAGCGAGCTTCCCTGTTGTCTGAAAATGTCAACAGGCTTGTCTGTTTGAGTAACTGGCTCAAAGCAAAGAAGTAGTAGGCTTACCTTTTATTGGTAACCGACAGTTACTGTTCATTCTTTCTCAAATAAGAGGCTGGGTTGATGAGCCTCTGGTGAATAAAGAGCAGTAGCCTGACTGCTATGTTCAAAGCAAACTTGAGAAAAAGAAAGTATTAAGCCATGGTTTAACTGCACTATAGGCTGCTGAGTCCTAGTTTACCGTACATGTGCACTTTGTAATTGTATTTTGTATTTCCCCGTTTTGATCACTTAGAAAGGGCTGCTGAAGGGGTTTGTGTGACAAAGTATTTTTTCACCCTTCTATTGATGAACAGTGTTACACTGTGTGAAAGATTATTTGCTCCAAGTGTGAATGTTAGTGTGAAATTGAACACTACTACTACTACTAGTATATGCAAATGTTGTTTTCAATAAAAAAAAATTGTACTAAGTAAGCAGATCCACTTTTCCATGTTGATAAAAGCATTAAAATGAAAAAAGAAAATGGGACAAAAAGAAATCAAGGGACATTTAGAATGCAATTAATTGCGAGTTAACTATGACATTAATGCGATCGCGATTAAATATTTTAATCGTTTGACAGCACTAATAGCAATTGTAAGTCGCTTTGGATAAAAGCATCAGCTAAATGAGTAAATGTTCCAAGATAAAACAAAACAAATAAAACGCAATACTAGAACACAGCAGCTTCAGTTCAAAAGGTTTGAGTGTGGAAAAGGAAAGTGAAACCTACGGGAGCCTAGAGGGGGAAATATAAAACTGCACCTCTGATAAACCTCAACACATGACGGCTGATAACAGATAATTTTTATCTTAGCCCTAAGAGGCCATTCATTCATACATTTTATTTCCTCAGCTTTCCCGTGATAACGAGTTAATTTAGTTTGTTTCTCTAGATCTCGAGTTATTTATGGCATTATCTCAAAATAACGTGTTGGGAATGAACAACAAGAAAACGGGATACTTTTCCTGACTTCGCGAGATAACGAAACTTTGTTCTTCCGAGATAATGAGGTAATTAATTTGAGAAAACAAAACAATTTTCTAGTACAGGGGTGAGTTTGCCATCGGGCCAATTTTGTTTTAAGCCATTAGATTAGACAGAAAACAGTCCAAGGATAGTTTAAGACTGGTTTTCAGTGTCAGTTTTGACGCGGGCCGCCTGTTGCTGATCACTGTTCTAGTATCAGTAGAATTAAGTGTTACAGGCAGCAGGTAAATGTAGTCTTGCTAACCGTCTTCTTAGATGACGCGCACTAATTTGTAAATCTGTAACCAGTGTTGGGAAGGTTACTTTGGAAAAGTAGTATGTTACCAATTACAAGTTACCCTATTTAAATAATAGTGTAACTATTTCAAATACTTTTTCAAAGTAATGTAACATTTTACATTTAATTACTTTTTGATTACTTTTCTAAATTTCTATTGAATGTTTTCAACTATTAACCATTTTAAAAGAAAGCTTGGAGGCAGTTTAAGTGGCAGACGGGCGGGACTGCAAATTCAAACATGAGAACCAATCAGAAGCTTCAGAACAGTATCAAACTTTACTAAACAGCTGTGGCTAGAAATGGTAAAGAAGACATTGTGCACATCAAAAACATGCAAAGCAATAAAATTAATATTATTCAACAAATAGCCGAGCTTTTTACAGAAAATATTCAGATGTAACCCCCAATGTGATCATGAACATTTTCATAAGTAACTATGTATTTATTTACACATTTACTATAATGGATTACCATTAATTTTATTTTTTTTATTAAATTACATTTCTAAATTAAATGGAACTTTTTACTCCCCAACACTGACTGTAACAGCAGGGCATAAAGCTTTTTCAGCCCATGTCAGGCCTTGATTAAAAAGGTACTAGACCAGTGGTTGACAACAGGCCAAAACCAATGTTGACAACCAGTCTTGGATTATTTTTGGACTATGTTCTGGCCCACCAATTGCTTAAAAAAAATTGTCCCAATGCCAAACTCAGTTGCCAACCCCTGTACTAGACTATCATTTTGTTTTCTTGAGATCAATTACACAATAATAATAATTACACCATTATCTCAGGAAAACAAAGTTCCATCATATCAAGAAAATTATCCGGTTATCCTGGCAAAAATTTGTTATTTCGAGATAATGCCATAAATAACTCGGGATCTAGAGAAAACAAATTAAATTATATTGTTATTGGGAAAACAGAGCAAATAAAATGTATTTGTTGGGCCCTTTAGGGCTTCCATACATATCATATATAAACTGTGCGTCTGTTCTTTAAATATCTGGCATCATGTTATGTAGAAAAAATATGAACTTGGTTTGTGGTGAGAGTTTTTTAAAAGACCAATAAATCACAATTATGAGATTACAAATATTTTCTGAGTATCAAAAAATATTTGTAATCAAAATAAAAAAGGTCAAATTTCACAATTACCAGATAAATTATAAATTGCGAAATTATGATTTTACATCTCACAATTGTGACTTTAAGCAATAAATAATAATAGCATTGTTACACAAATTCTGACTATCTGATGTATTTTTGTTTTCCTGGTGGCTTCTCTATTCCACACATTAAACGCCTCAGCGTTTGTGTTTGTGCGGTGTCACGTGGTAAACGCGTCTCTCCTCCGGACCGGTTGAAACCGACAGAAAGCTGCAGCAGGTCAAAGATCTGCAGGGCGACGTAAAAACCCTTCACCCAGCAAACAGTGAGCGTCTTTACACACACATTCACGCCCGGTATGTCCTCTTTTTGTGTGCTGAGGACTCGCTGCTTCCTCATGCAGGTCTTCCCCAGCCTGCCCGCCGTCATGCACAGACGCTACAGCCTGGATGTCGCCGCTCCGCTGCTCCGGACGCAGGGCTACGTTGACGGCCGCTGGGTCTCTGCAGCATCGGTGTTCCCCGTCCTGGACCCGGCCACCGGGGAGGAGATAGCCAAGGTGTCAGACTGTGGCCCGGCTGAGGCCAAGCAGGCTGTGGACGCTGCCTACAAGGCGTTTCATTCCTGGAAGCAGTACACTGCTAAGGTAGGCTAAACCGCCACAGTCGGACTCCATTTGAAAAAAACTCAATTTAATGGAAATGTTGCATATCCGTCAGAAAAGGACACACAACACTGCAACACAGGGTATTTAGGAAAGGATAGGAACTAGAATTTAATTCGGTTTAAGTATAATCCACCAGAAAACCCAATATTTAGATAAAATCCAAAGTTTCATTTAGTTTCGTTTTGCCTCCCGCCCCACGCTTTGGGCATAAGATGCATGAACATGGAGTGCTTAAAGCCTTACCAACAACCACGCACGACTTGCCAAGTGTTAGCCATCCTGGTCCTATAAGTTGAAGTGAAGATAGTCTCTCAACTATTCAAGAAATGTGTTGGGTTCTTTCGTAAAACATGAATATTTGCCATTAAACGCGACAGTGTTAAACTGAAATATTTCAATGGAGGGTCATGTGACGGCATTTGCTCTCTGAACGGTGGTGTATTTTGTATCTGAGGCAATCTGATGTTGGGCCTGTTAATAAAGTGGTTTATGAGAGTATTTGAACCTTTTTATTTGATTTTCTGTAATTCAGCATATTATCAGACATGTATTACTCAACACAGTTGATTTTTTTTTTTTATTGATTTCCAAAGTCTAACAGCAACAGTGGTGGAATAGAAAAAGTCCTGCACCCAGAACCAGTACTGAAGTATTAGTATCAAAACATAAAGTACCCAAAGTACTCCTTGTGCAGAAGGGTCCATTTTAAGATAATATATAATTATATTACTTGATTGTGAAAAGTGATGCATTATATGTAATCTAACAGTAATCTAAAATAATACATCATAATTAATTAGTCAGTTATATTTTCTAGTAATGATCTGACTCTAAGTAACTAAAGTTATCAAATATAGTGCAGTAAGAAGTACAATATACAAAAAGTATAAAGTAGCAGAAAATGTAAGAACACAAACTTTACATGAATACATGAAGTCATACTGCTGCTCTAGCTTGTCAGGTTGACCTGTGAGTTTATGGTCAGTGATTACAGTCAGTTATCACACACAGTTATTAAACCTCTTACAGGGTACCTGAAAGAGACGTCATCTATTTCCATATGTTGCTCTAAAACCTGTATGTATGTATGTATGTATGTATGTGTGTATATATATATATATATATATATATATATATATATATATATATATATATATATATATATATATATATATATATATATATATATATATATATATATATATATATATATATATATATACACTGCTCAAAAAAGGGAACACTAAAATAACACATCCTAGATCTGAATGAATGAAATAATCTCATTAAATACTCCTTTCTTTACATAGTTGAATGTGCTGACAACAAAATCACACAAAAATTATCAATGGAAATCAAATGTATCAACCCATGGAGGTCTGGATTTGGAGTCATACTCAAAATCAAAGTGGAAAACCACACTACAGGCCGATCCAACTGTGATGTAATGTCCTCAAAACAAGTCAAAATGAGGCTCAGTAGTGTGTGTGGCCTCCACGTGCCTGTATGACCTCCCTACAACGCCTGGGCATGCTCCTGATGAGGTGGCGGATGGTCTCCTGAGGGATCTCCTCCCAGACCTGGACTAAAGCATCCGCCAACTGCTGGACAGTCTGTGGTGCAACGTGGCGTTGGTGGATGGAGCGAGACATGATGTCCCAGATGTGCTCAATTGGATTCAGGTCTGGGGAACGGGCGGGCCAGTCCATAGCATCAATGCCTTCCTCTTGCAGGAACTGCTGACACACTCCAGCCACATGAGGTCTAGCATTGTCTCGCATTAGGAGGAACCCAGGGCCAACCGCACCAGCATATGGTCTCACAAGGGGTCTGAGGATCTCATCTCGGTACCTAATGGCAGTCAGGCTACCTCTGGCGAGCACATGGAGGGCTGTGCCCCCCCAAAGAAATGCCACCCCACACCATTACTGACCCACCGCCAAACCGGTCATGCTGGAGGATGTTGCAGGCAGCAGAACGTTCTCCACGGCGTCTCCAGACTCTGTCACGTCTGTCACGTGCTCAGTGTGAACCTGCTTTCATCTGTGAAGAGCACAGGGCGCCAGTGGCGAATTTGCCAATCTTGGTGTTCTCTGGCAAATGCCAAACATCCTGCACGGTGTTGGGCTGTAAGCTCAACCCCCACCTGTGGACGTCGGGCCCTCATACCACCCTCATGGAGTCTGTTTCTGACCGTTTGAGCAGACACATGCACATTTGTGGCCTGCTGGAGGTCATTTTGCAGGGCTCTGGCAGCGCTCCTCCTGCTCCTCCTTGCACAAAGGCGGAGGTAGCGGTCCTGCTGCTGGGTTGTTGCCCTCCTACGGCCTCCTCCACGTCTCCTGATGTACTGGCCTGTCTCCTGATAGCGCCTCCATGCTCTGGACGCTACGCTGACAGACACAGCAAACCTTCTTGCCACAGCTCGCATTGATGTGCCATCCTGGATGAGCTGCACTACCTGAGCCACTTGTGTGGGTTGTAGACTCCGTCTCATGCTACCACTAGAGTGAAAGCACCGCCAGCATTCAAAAGTGACCAAAACATCAGCCAGGAAGCATAGGAACTGAGAAGTGGTCTGTGGTCACCACCTGCAGAACCACTCCTTTATTGGGGGTGTCTTGCTAATTGCCTATAATTTCCACCTGTTGTGTATTCCATTTGCACAACAGCATGTGAAACTGATTGTCAATCAGTGTTGCTTCCTAAGTGGACAGTTTGATTTCACAGGAGTGTGATTGACTTGGAGTTACATTGTGTTTAAGTTTTCCCTTTTATTTTTTTGAGCAGTGTATCTATCACCAAAGAGCTGGACAATATGGCCAAAAATGTTATCACTGTAAAAAAAAAATGTAATATCTGTAATTATCAAGATAAATGTAAAATCATTATTTCTTTCAGGTTTAAAGGCTGATTTGTGCTCCTGAGTGAAAGTTGAAGAAACCAGATGGTTAATTGTGTTTTTTGAGGCAGAACATTAAGAACAGTTATGATAATATATTTTTTAACATATGCACGAGTAAAATTAAGTAAAATCTTCGGCCATTCAGTGTTGCCTTGCGTACAGAGATTTCTTCTGATTCTCTGAATCATTTAATGATGTGATGTTCAGTAGGAAATAGGCAGACATTTTGTGGTCGATAACGATATCAGTAAAATTCCACGATTCTCAATACCAGTTTGATACCACGGTAAAAAACAAAAATAAATCTCATGTTGGGGGGTGCTCGAGAGCAATGACATTAAAACGCACTTTTCCATGAGCTCTGCATGAAAATAACAATTTTGTTACATTTTAGCCCCTAAAACAACCCAACAGCTGAATAAAGTGCATCCCTAACATCTTATGTCACAGTAGCTGCTGTCCCTTTTTCTTTTTTCTCTATTTTTTGAGTAACGCCTGCGCCTATGTCAAGCAAACAAAGGCCTAAAACCTCGGGACTCTCCGGTGGTGTTGTCACCCGCAGACACGCTGGCCGTCGCTACCATAATGGAGGCCATCAAAGAACAAACTGTCATGGCAGAAGACACGGTGATACTGTCGACAGACCTGCAGGCGAAGATAGAGAACCTCTCCAAGGAGCTGCGTGGAGAAATAGCCATGGTTGGCTCCGAAACACAGGAAGCTTTGGAGACTGCTAACCAGGAGCTTAAGCTACAGACTACATCATTACGTAGCCTGGAGGACGGCGTTAACCACTACTCCGACCGCCTCGTTGAACTAGAGTCACAACTCTCTGTGCTGTCTTCTCAAGTCAACCAGCTAACATTCAAGACGGAAGATCTAGAGTCAAGGCAACACAAAGATAATTGCTGTATTATCGGTGTGGACGAAAGCCTCCGGGATATTTGCATGGAAAGATCAGTGGCAAAGCTACTGCAAGATTCACTGGGGCTGGAATACACTCCAACACTTGATCATGCTCACAGAAGCCTGCTGCCTAAACCCAAACAGGGGGACCCCCCACAAGCGATCATTGTGAAGTTTCAAGATCATGTTACCTAAGTGCTCCCTCTAGTCAACTGTCTGACTAGCCCATTGCTATACCGCTGCAGAATTGGATCTGTTTTTGTTTGTTTTTCTTTTGAGAGGGAGAAGATTTTTTTTTTTCTGCATAGTAACCTCAATTTTGTGGGGCTAAACATACTCGAAAACTCACCAAACTCTGCAACATAATTCAGGCGCGGTGAAAAATTTGTTTTTTTATGGGTCTCTCACATGGGCGTGGCAAAATCACTCACAAAAAAGCCTTTTGGAGCGATGCCAGTCACCCAACAGGAAGTCAGCCATTTTGGATTTAATGGTCCTTTTTGGCAATTTACACACTTTGTACTTGAACAAACTTCTCCTAGGGAATTAGTCCATTTGACTTCAAATTATCGCTGTGCAGTCTGAACCTATTGACAATTAAAAGTTGCACAAACGGTAAGTTTTCGTTCACGAGCGTGCCTGTGGCATGGCACCGAAAATTGACGATTCACCAAGAAACAGGAAGTTATAACTTCAATATACATGCTCACATCTGTACCAAATTTGATATGGATAATAAGAGTCCTGCTCTGAACACATCCATATGCCAACATTCACTGACAGTCATAGCGCCACCTGCTGGCAACAGGAAATGTCATGTTTTATGCTACAATGGACTACTCCTAGCAGGTTGGCCATATCAACTTCAAAACTGGCAATAGGAAGTGATCTTCCACGAAGCAGCCCCCGTTACCTCAATGTACAAAATGTCTGGGGCACATGTACCATGTCCAGATATACAAAAAAGCCTCTTGGAGCGATGCCCTAAACCCAATAGGAAGTCGGCCGTTTTTAATTTTATGGTCATTTTTGGATTTTTTTTTATACACTGCGTACTTTAACAAACTCTTCCTAGAGAATTGGTCTGACCGACTTCATATTTTCCCTTCCTAATCTAATTCCATTGACGATTAAAAGTTGTAAAAACGGTGAGTTTTTGTGATATCCAAAATCGATGATTCGCCATGAAAGAGGAAGTTGCTGTAACTTCAGTCTACATGCTCACATGTGCAAAAAACTTGACGTGCTTGATAACTGTCCCGCCCCAAACACATCTGCATGCCAATATTCACTTACAGTCGTAGCACCAAGTGCTATGTAGCAACAAAGTGGACACAGGAAGTGATGATTAACACGTTTGTGCAGCGTCCGAAGCGAGTGGCACAGCCGCCCAACACTGCTTGCAGCTTTAATTCTTAAATTGTGACTTCAGTAAAGATGTCAGTCAGTACTATAGTTACTAACCTGTTCACTTAATAAATTGTGAGATGTTCCACCAGGTGTTTTCTTTTAGCATTTCACAACTTTTTGTTGTTGTCTTTTGTTGCCACTAGTCCCTACTTTTTAAAAACATGTTGCTCACATCAAATTCAACATGAGCACATCATTTTCCGTAAAATATAACATTTTTCAGTTTCAATATTTCAAAATTGTCTTAATCACTGTTCATGTGAAGCCAAGTTCAACTTCAAAACATGAACTGTTTGCAAAGAAAAAAGCAATTAAACCAGCTCCAGTGATGGAAAATGTTTTCAGTGTCCGGACTCCTTATGTGATCTGATTGGTTGTCCTGCAGGAGAGGAGTGTCCTGTTAAGGAAATGGTTTGAGCTGATGACGCTGCACAAAGAAGACCTGGCCAAGCTGATCACGTTTGAGAGCGTGAGTATCAAGCAGAGACAAAACGCAAACTCTTGGTGCAAAGTTGGAGGTTTCATAGATTTTAAAAGCTTAATGTATCACATCTTTATAAACGTGTACGCTTGAGGCTGTGCAACGTTTCCAGATACATTTGTTTTGCTGCATAATATTTATATTAATTTCTTCCAGATTGTTCAATAAGTATCCATATGAATCTATTCAAGAGGTTTAGAGGAGAAAATGCTTAATAATAACAACTATAATAAATCTCATGTGGGATGGGCCAGATGTTTGGCATGAAACATAAAAAGTAAACTTTGTGTTCTTTTTTTTTTTTTACAAATGTATGACCCGTAACCAGCGATGCTACCTATCCATTTCCTATCCTAATATCTTGTGAGAGGCGAGTTGTTGCAGGAAGACACCGGTGGAAACGAGGGATGAGAGGAGATGCTAGCGGGACTTTATTTCCTAATGTTACTCCAACACAACAAACTCCTCTATCTATCTCTGACTCACAACAACAACTCACCTCACAAGATTTCAGAGCAAGAACTGTCGGTAGTTAGACGGTAGTTTCCGTTTAAAAACAAAGGCAGTCAGCAGGAGTCCCTGTCTGAAACTGTTGTCTCTTGAGTCTGAACAGATGCTGCTGTTAGTGTGTGAGTGGCTGTAGTTTCATTGTTTGATGCTGTGTGTTGCAGGGGAAACCCATGCGGGAGTCTCTCGGGGAGATTGCGTACTCTGCCTCTTTCTTGGAGTGGTTTTCGGAGGAGGCTCGGCGGGTCTACGGCGACATCGTCCCGTCACCTGCCAAAGACCGTAAGATTTTCCTCCTCAAACAGCCTGTGGGGGTTGCCTCCATCATCACACCGGTGAGCAGCCAATTAGGAGGTTATTTTTAGCCATGCTGTCAACCTGTCCAAAACATTGTTCAGACTGAAATATCTCAACAACTATTGAATGGATTTCCATGAAATTCTGTTTATTCATGTTCTGCAGAGGACAAATCTGTCTGACTTTGGTGATCTTATTTTTTTAATCTAGCGCCATCATCAGGTCAAAGTGTAAATTTGTACTTTAGTTTATTCTCATTAGCCTCAGCAGCACTTTGTGTTTAATGCAAAGCAGAAAATGTTAGCATGCTAGCAAACTAAGCAACAAGCAAACTAGGATGGACAACAATGACTTTCTTGTTGTTGCAAGCATTTAGCTCAAAGCACCACTGTGATGGCCTCACAGAGCTGCTAGCATGGCTGTACACCAAAATGTCCTTTTTCAACGGCGCTGGTTAAACTTTATTTTGGTTTCTATTGGTTATGTGTGGCTCATCCTGCAACACTTGTCTTTGTAAAGAGACAAACTGACAGAATAAAGTTGCTAACCTGCCTGTCAGCTTGCACTGGGCTGTTTCAGTGGATTTACCATAAAGGCTTGAATACGTGTGCACTCCAAATGTAGGTGCGGCTAGCTTAATTGCCTTCTCACAGAAACACTCAAAGCTGTTCTTTTCTAAGACGTCAGTCACAGATGGAGTGGATGTGCTGGGAGACAATTCAGCAGAACAGTATGCAAACGGCCATTTTTACGTCTTTCTCGGAAACTTTAAAATGCTTCCACACTGCCGACATTTCAACGTAATTGTTCAGTAAAATTTATTCGGCCTTTTGACATATTAGGCCGAACACCGAAAGCATTTTTTTACTATTTTCGGCTGATTAATTTCGGTGGCCCAACATTCTGTGCATCCCTAAAGTGAACATCATGCTGTGTTGAAACCAGTGACTGAGACCATAAACTCATTAGGAAAGTGTTCACTGAGGTACAATCCCACTTCTTTCTGCAGCTAGTGGAGTCGCCCTCTGCTGGCTGCTACAGAGAATGCAGGTTTAAGGTGTCAATGAAATAATTAACCGCAGTTGATTAAACGGAGTAAGCAGAATTTGGGCAATGACTTCTTTTATTTTTCTAATTTGCTTCTTAAGCTTGAGAGACAACGAGGAGTGCTGCTTCGTCACGCAGCAGCAGCAGATGCCATGTGTTTGATGAGTGAGATGACAGTAATCTGTTACCACAGTGTAACAAGAATTGATTCCTCACCTTACATTACCGTTATTGATCAGTAGAGTAATGCACTGTCACTTCGACATAAGAACAACATTACACAGAGTTAATTAGATTAGTTGTTAATATAAAACATATTGATAAGCGGAGATTTTAAGTCTGCAACTTGTCATTTGAAAGCGGGAAATGCATTAATCTGGTAACTGCTGTTTTGTCCCACAGTGGAACTTCCCCAGCGCTATGATCACCAGAAAGGTTGGAGCTGCTCTGGCCGCCGGCTGCACGGTGGTGGTCAAACCGGCAGAGGACACGCCGCTGTCGGCGCTCGCTCTGGCTGAGGTCAGGTTTTAATACTCTCTATTTGAACCTCTGTGCTGTTTAGTTTCCAGGTTTTTCTGTAACTTCACCAAGAGTTTGAACATTGTGATGTGGTGTTGTGCAGCTGGCGGAGCAGGCGGGGATCCCGGCAGGGGTCATAAATGTGGTTCCCTGCTCCAGAGAGAAGACGCCGGCAGTCGGGGAGGTTCTCTGCACTGACCCACTGGTGGCCAAAATCTCCTTCACTGGCTCCACTGCCACTGGCAAGGTAAGCTCCTGAGTCCTACCTGCAGCGCCCTCTGCTAGTTGTCTGCGAGAGAGGGTGACTTCATGTTTGATAAACACTGTTTGGTGAACCATTAACGTCCAGTCGCGGACTGTAGCACCTCTCACTAACGCTATATAATATTAAGATTGCAAATTTGTCACACTGTCATAAATGTCTGGAAACATTACTATCGCCACGCCACCTGAGCTGCAGTCTGCAGCCGGACCCTTCTCGACTGGTCTGCGTCAGTGAATGTGCAATAAAATAAATACATGTCAGTGTCAACGTTTTATTGTTAATGAAAACTATGAAAAAACATTATTGTTAACTGAAACAAAAATGAGGCTTTACAAAAAAAAATTACTAACTGTAAAAGTAAAATTACAGAGTAAATGTCTGTTTTTGTCTTTGTCATTTTATTTCACAGGGCCTATATAAGCCTAGTATTTTTGGTGGATATGTAATCCAGTTTCTTAGCTGCCAGTTTATAGTCCATGTCCTTCGCCAGGCATCATGGCGGTGAAAGTTGTGAGAAAGCCACAGAGTCCCAAAGACTAAAACTAATAAACACTAAACTAAAATGAAGAATTATCCACAAAAAAACCTAAACTAGCAAATATCATTCTGAAATGGTCCATTCTGCACAACGAGTACTTTTACTTGTATTTACTTTCAATGTATTTTATTTCTAATACTTTTACTGAAGTAAACTAGAGCGGATAAAGCGATTTTTGAAAACAATCTAATTGCGATTTAATATACAATAACTTTTTAAGCTCTTCTGTATTATTCAAAACAGACAAGCAATAAATCAGTGTACAGTATGACCAACACAATATTAGATAGTTTAAACATACACGGTTCTTTCTTGTAGGCGAGGCCTGTGTTATGATGAAATTAGGTGATGCATGAATTGCATGAATTATTATTCTGAGCAAAGGTGGAGAAGAAATATCAAATTACAGTGGGTACGGAAAGTATTCAGACCCCTTTAAATTTTTCACTCTTTGTTTCATTGCAGCCATTTTCCAAAAATCAAAAAACTTCATTTTATTTCTCAGTAATGTACACTCAGCACCCCATCTTGACAGAAAAAAACAGAAATGTAGAAATTTTTGCAAATTTATTAAAAAAGAAAAACTGAAATATCACATGGTCATAAGTATTAAGACCCTTTGCTCAGTATTTAGTAGAAGCACCCTTTTGATCTAATACAGCCATGAGTCGTTTTGGGAAAGATGCAACAAGTTTTTCACATCTGGATTTGGGTATCCTCTGCCATTCCTCCTTGCAGATCCTCTCCAGTTCTGTCAGGTTGGATGGTAAACGTTGGTGGACAGCCATTTTCAGTTCTCTCCAGAGATGCTCAATTGGGTTTAAGTCAGGGCTCTGGCTGGGCCATTCAAGAACAGCCACGCAGTTGTTGTGAAGCCACTCCTTCGTTATTTTAGCGGTGTGCTTAGGGTCATTGTCTTGTTGGAAGGTAAACCTTCGGCCCAGTCTGAGGTCCAGAGCACTCTGGAAAAGGTTTTCGGCCAGGATATCCCTGTACTTGGCCGCATTCATCTTTCCCTCGATTGCAACCAGTCGTCCTGTCCCTGCAGCTGAAAAACACCCCCACAGCATGATGCTGCCACCACCATGCTTCACTGTTGAGACTGTATTGGACAGGTGATGAGCAGTGCCTGGTGTTCTCCACACATACCGCTTAGAATTAAGGCCAAAAAGTTCTATCTTGGTCTCATCAGACCAGAGGATCTTATTTATCACCATTTTGGAGTCCTTCAGGTGTTTTTTAGCAAACTCCATGCGGGCTTTCATGTGTCTTGCACTGAGGAGAGGCTTCCGTCGGGCCACTCTGCCATAAAGCCCCGACTGGTGGATTGCTGCAGTGATGGTTGACTTACTACAACTTTCTCCCATCTCCCGACTGCATCTCTGGAGCTCAGCCACAGTGACCTTTGGGTTCTTCTTTACCTCTCTCACCAAGGCTCTTCTCCCCCGATAGCTCAGTTTGGCCGGACGGCCAGCTCTAGGAAGGGTTCTGGTCGTCCCAAACGTCTTCCATTTGAGGATTATGGAGGCCACTGTGCTCTTAGGAACCTTAAGTGCAGCAGAAATCTTTTTGTAACCTTGGCCAGATCTGTGCCTTGCCACAATTCTGTCTCTGAGCTCTTCAGGCAGTTCCTTTGACCTCATGATTCTCATTTGCTCTGACATGCACTGTGAGCTGTAAGGTCTTATATAGACAGGTGTGTGGCTTTCCTAATCAAGTCCAATCAGTATAATCAAACACAGCTGGACTCAAATGAAGGTGTAGAACCATCTCAAGGATGATCAGAAGAAATAGACAGCACCTGAGTTAAATATGAGTGTCACGGCAAAGGGTCTGAATACTTATGACCATGTGATATTTCAGTTTTTCCTTTTTAATAAATTTGCAAAAATTTCTACATTTCTGTTTTTTTCTGTCAAGATGGGGTGCTGAGTGTACATTACTGAGAAATAAAATGAAGTTTTTTGATTTTTGGAAAATGGCTGCAATGAAACAAAGAGTGAAAAATTTAAAGGGGTCTGAATACTTTCCGTACCCACTGTATAATATGAGAAAGATAATTTGAGTCAAGTCATAGCATTAAATAATATATGATATAATATCAGGTCGGCCTACAGAGCACAAGAAAAATTAAGTTCACCAGAGTGTGTAAACGCTCAATACAAAACCCACAGTTCAACCACCGATTAATGAGTCTCTCAGTTCAAATCTCCTAGGAGTCCATCTTTCTGTATCACAGTAAGCAAACACAAAATACTCAGTTTTAGGTTCTATTCAAAAGTAAGCAGCACTGGCTGTAACCAGGCAGTAACTCGGGACAGACTACGCCTCTTTTGGACTTGTGAGTTTGGTTTGAAACGCCGTTTCACAGATATTTCCTGAGCTGACTGGTGCCTGTGTGTGATGCAGGCGGCGATCGCCACAATAAGCGTACCTTACCACACATTTTCCTGCCCGTCAAAGCGGCGGATGGCCCGACGATTTCACCCACCACCAAGTTACTCGCGGGTGGTGGCTGCTACTTTCATTCCCTGTGTGACACTAAAGTTTCTGTAGTGTCAGCTTCTGTCAAGCTTAAGGCCGTTGGACAACAAGAAGTCAAGGTACAGCGTAACGTGGAAAGTTGATGCTTCTTCTGCAGAGTGCTTTACTTTTTCGTGACATGTGACCAGAGTATAATCGCAGCTTTTGTGATTAGAAAATCTTGTTTTATCATATTGCGATAATATTGCAAATGCAATTAATCGTTCAGCCCTAAAGTAAACTTTTAAATGCAGGAGTAAGAAGTATTATTACTTTTACATAAGTAAAAGTACTTCTTTCACCACTAACTTCTGCCAGACTGTGAAACTAAAATGCTTTTTGAATGACTTGACTTAAGTCAGGACTGACACTTACTTAAAGAGGTGGTATTCTGCTTTTTAGCTTTTTCCCTCTTCTTTATTGAGTTATACATCTTTTTTGTGCATATACTAGGTTTGCGAAGCGAATGCCCACAGAAAACTCTGCTCTGAACTGCCTGAAAACAGCTTGTTTGTAGTCCAGCCATTTCCCTTAGCTAAACGCGGATCATAACGCTCGCCAAACGACTACTCCGACACGCCCTCAAAAACGCCGGTGGAAAAACAGTGAGCTGCAGCACACAGCTCTCCTCTCCCTTCCAAACACTAGCTACCCTCCAGGCAGTCAGTGGACATAAAGTTGTTCCTGTGATGTAGAGACAGAGTTCAGTTAAAACTTTATGGATGAAAGATACTTTTGTTACAGATTAATAACTCACCACTCTGAAACTCCAGTCTATGTTGCTAAGCTAGTCGGCAACATGTAGCCTACAGCTGAACTGAAGCTGTTTACCAGCTTCTCACGACCCGCCCTTCTCTGCTTCTGATTGGCTAGTAGTCCTTAACTAGGAACTGAGCATGTGCAACTCCCAACAAAGATCATTTAGAGACAAGATGCATCACTCCATAGCTAAAACGAAGCCTTCAACACAGGGTGACAAAAATATGATGTTTTTTGAAAATTAAACCATGTAAACCTGTTCTGGTACAACCCCTAAATAAGATTATGAACCTGAAAATGAGCAGAATAACACCTCCTTTAATATTTACTCTGAAGATGTTTTGCGACTTGTTTTCATTCCCAGAGTTTCTCACCAGCAGGAATACTTTTGTTCATTTTCATAATAATAGGTGACTGTGTAAATGTTGTTGTTATTATTATTCCATCCGTTCAGCAGTTAAATCTCCTCCTCAGGTGCTGCTGAAACTCGCGGCAGACACTGTCAAGAAGGCGTCCATGGAGCTGGGTGGCCATGCCCCCTTCATTGTGTTCGACAGCGCTGATGTTGACAAGGCGGTGGCCGGAGCCATGGCCTCCAAGTTCAGGAACTCTGGACAGGTAATACGAGAGCACAGCGTCGGAGGTGGGACTCTATTCTGTCCTATGGAAACAGCTCAATGGTGCGTGATGAAGCCATATCTTCCGTGTCATGTAAACGGGCACTGTTTGATTGGGTTTAGGCACCAAAAGTACTTCAGGAATACATGTTTTGGGTTAAAAGAAGTACGTTAATCCAGGACATTATCTCAGGGGGCGTGTCACGTAGCCTGCCAGACAGCATAGACAGATAGGACAGCCCATAGAGCAGGTGCACCGAGCCAGTTTAGCACTCCGCTAATTTGAATTGGAGTAAAAAGATTTGCTCATGCTCATTGATAATGCAGCTCTTCTTTAAAAATGTTATGGGACCGAATGGATTAATTCTGATTCAGTGTCATTTCATTTAAGGAAAAAAATAAATAAATAAAGATAGATAGATATCTAGATAGATAGATAGATAGATATATCCACTGTTTTACAGCTGCTTCTCGCCGTTTTATGTTACCGTAAGTGACTTTTTTTTGGACAAATCTACATTTTTTTCCTTTGAATTTGTTATTGTGCAAATGAACCTTTCTCAAAGCATTTTGTTATTTAACATTTCTTGCCTAAAGAACAGACATGGGGAGCAGAAGAAAATTGAATGTTTTGGTCTGCTGTTTTGACACCGAGGTCATGTGGTTATGTTTTCTGTCGTCTTCTTCTTGTAGACGTGCGTGTGTTCGAACCGGTTTCTGGTGCAGAGCGGCATCCACGACCGTTTCGTGGAGAAGCTGAGCCAAGCGATGGACGCCGAGCTCCATCTGGGACATGGCTCAGAGCCCAACACCACCCAGGGGCCGCTCATCAACAGCAGAGCTGCAGAGAAGGTAAACAACAGTACAGATTGGAAAAATGAAGGGTATTTATTATCATTCATATAATGAGGTCACTTATTTTTGTTATTGTTTTGTTTCTATAACGTATGATGGTGTTATTATGTACTGTATTGGTCTGAATATAAGAGAACCCTGATTATAAGATGACCCCCCTTTTTCAAGACTCATTTTTGGAAACCAAAAAGAAGACCAAAACTAGTTTTTATAAAGAAAATAATTTTATTTGAAAATATTTCTAATAAATTCAATTTTATTTGTATAGCGCCAAATCACAAGTTACCTCATAGCGTTTTTCATAAAAGAGCAGGTTTAGACCGTACTCTGTGATGATAAAAACACATTGAATAAAACAACAAGATGGTTGTTTAACATCTGTTAAATAAAATAACATTTTCAATATGTTTTTAAATGAAATGGTCACATTTAAATGACCGCTAAATAATATGTACAGTGTAATTTATTTGTGCCCATTTTATTTAAAAAGAAATCAAAAACGTTATTTTACTCAAAAGATGTTAAAAACAACAGCCTACCATGGCATCATAACTGCTCCTCAGCTGTGGCTGTATATTATCATTTAAAGAGCTAGTTCCTGAAAATAAGAGGTAATTTTTAAGACGCATTTCCAGGGGGAAAAACTGTCTTATACTCGGACCAATACAGTATTTCTGAATTTATTTTCTTGCTTTAAAAGGATTTTATTTACCTGATGTTTGTATATTGTTTGCTTCTGTCTGCTGTGAAACAAATCACCTACCCCCTATTTAAAAAAAAACCCAACTAATTATAGATAGAGATATAGAGAGAGAGAGATATAGAGAGAGAGATATAGAGAGATATATAGATATATCTCTCTATATCTATATCGAGAGAGAGAGAGAGATAGATATATAGATATATCTAGAGAGAGAGATATAGATATATCTATATCTATATCGAGAGAGAGAGAGAGAGATGGATATATAGATATATCTAGAGAGAGAGAGATATAGATATATCTATCTATATCTAGAGAGAGAGAGAGAGATGGATATATAGATATATCTAGAGAGAGAGAGATATAGATATATCTATCTATATCTAGAGAGAGAGAGAGAGGTAGATATATCTAGAGAGAGAGAGAGAGAGATATATATCTAGAGAGAGAGAGAGAGAGATAGATATATCTATATCTAGAGAGAGAGAGAGATAGATATATCTATATCTAGAGAGAGAGAGAGAGGTAGATATATCTAGAGAGAGAGAGAGAGATATATATCTATATCTAGAGAGAGAGAGAGATAGATATATCTATATCTAGAGAGAGAGAGAGAGGTAGATATATCTAGAGAGAGAGAGAGATAGATATATCTATATCTAGAGAGAGAGAGAGAGGTAGATATATCTAGAGAGAGAGAGAGAGATATATATCTAGAGAGAGAGAGAGATAGATATATCTAGAGAGAGAGAGAGAGAGAGATAGATATATCTATATCTAGAGAGAGAGAGAGATAGATATATCTATATCTAGAGAGAGAGAGAGAGAGAGATAGATAGATATATCTCTCTCTCTCTAGAGATCTAGAGATATAGCTAGAGAGAGAGAGAGATATAGATATATCTCTCTAGCGAGATAGATATAGATATATCTAGATCTAGAGATATAGATAGATATATCTATCTATATCGAGAGAGAGAGAGAGATGGATATATAGATATATCTAGAGAGAGAGAGATATAGATATATCTATCTATATCGAGAGAGAGAGAGAGAGAGAGATATCTATCTAGAGAGAGAGAGAGAGAGAGAGAGAGAGAGATAGATAGATATATCTCTCTAGCTATATCGAGAGAGAGAGAGATAGATAGATATATCTCTCTCTCTCTCTAGATATCTCTATATCTCTCTCTCTCTAGCTATATCTCTAGATCTCTAGAGAGAGAGAGAGAGAGAGAGAGAGAGATATCTATCGAGAGAGAGAGAGAGATATCTATCGAGAGAGAGAGAGAGAGAGAGAGTTCAACACCTGACACCTTCTGTCTCCCAGGTGGCCCAGCAGATAGCAGATGCAGTGTCCCGGGGAGCGAAGGTGTTGAAGGGAGGGAAGCGTCTGGACGGCTCCTTCATGGAGCCCACTCTGCTGGCCAACGTCACCACAGAGATGCTCTGCACGAAGGAGGAAACCTTCGGCCCGCTGCTTCCCGTCATCAGGTCGGCACGCCAACAGGAATCAGCTTTACTCGAGTCTCTACAGTGTATTCATGTCACGTGGATTTAACATTCAAACTGAAGTATTACACATGTACATACACTAGGGATATGCCACATATTGTCTATGATGATATCTTAATAGTTGTCGTTAAAGACGACAAACTACCCACTGCACAAAATATCAAAAATATGAAAGGCTCCAGGAAAAACTTAAGAACTCCTAGTACATAGGAACAGATAAAATTGTTTACTCAGACCTATAATGTTTGATGTCAGTAATACTGTGCTGGTGATTTCAGTGTTTTCACTGAAATGTTTTGGTTTTAAATCCAAAAAAAGACCTGTTTCCATTTATGTCATTAGTAAACAACAGTTAATATCCTATTAACAAGTAGGGGTGGGAATCACCAGAGGCCCCACGATACGATATTATCATGATATTTATATTGAGATATATTGCAATTTATTACCTTTTTCCAACTTCCTATTAGGTCCCTAAAGTCAAACTTTGTCAACATCAGTTTATCTAAAAAGATACATTCCTCTGTTTGTTAATATCACTTTTTCAGTCCTCCTATATGGTCCTGTTAAGTTTTCTAGTGGACTAAAAAAGCAATAGATTTTATTATTCTAGGTACAAAAAGTTAAAACTCCCATCTGCAATTTATATAATAAAATATCGATACTTAATATCACAAAACTATGCTGTATTTTTTTTCCCCACCCCTGTTAACAAGCGTTTTGACAAAAATTCCAGAAAATATCTAGATATCATTTTTATATACCCCTAATATACCACATACAGTTACTGCTGACAGCTGAGGAAGGTCATTATAAATAAATGTTGTTTGTCTCTTAGTTAAAGTAGCTTCAAACTCAGATTTTGGCTAAAACAAGAGGGCAACTGCATTAAAATAACACCAGATATTTCTTTGTTTATCACCATTTTTAATTATAAATGAATTACAATTTTCATTTCACATAAAGAAACTCTGACCATTTTGAGTTTTGCTTGAGTTTGTCATTTCATTTCATACTGTATATGAACAAGCTTATAGTGGAAGGAAATAAAATGATACCTGTGAAAGCTGCTGTCAGCTGCTTGTATTCATGTGCTGAAGAGGTTTTGTTGACCAACCAGAAACTTTTTGTTTCTGATTTACAGGTTCAACACAGAGGAAGAGGCTCTGGCGATTGCTAATGCATCTAATGTTGGACTGGCAGGTGAGTGCATCTTTCTGAGCTGAACTGTTTGTTAAATGATAGACTATAAAAACAAGTCTGGGCAGTGATGTGAAAGTCAGCTTCTGTACACTGACGATCCAGTGCATCTTCAAAGACAAACAAGTGATTGGCGGAGGTGGTGATGCATCCACTAAAGTGCTTGTTTTTGCCACTGAAAGGTTTAGATTGTCATCATTAAGTGTCTGACAACGTTATGGAATGGATCCTAACAGAGATTTACCCTTTTTTAAAAAGAGTTTCATCCTTTTTTGTATAACCAGAAACTGCTATATCGCTCACCTAAACTCCACCAGACTCCATTGGTCTACCTGATCTACCACTGCCTCCATCGCTGTTTTGTTATTGTGCGATATTGTTGCTTGCGTTTGTTTGTTTGTTTGTGACCAAAGTCACAGATTAACACCAAAGAAACCAGAGGTAGACCAGTAAGGTAAAATTACTGTTTTTATCAATGGAGTCTGGTGGCTTAAAGGAGAGCAATTTAGTGACCGTTTCTGTTTAAACAAAAAGTATTTCACTCTTTAAAACAAAGGTCTCTCTCTGGAGGGGTCTGAGTCTGTCAGTCCAGGTTGAAAAATCCCAATGTTGCCCTTTAACCACCTATTTTACTTCTCAAGATTGGTGGGTTTTGAAAGCCACTGATTAAGTCAAATGTAATGAAAATAATAAGGGAACTGCTCTTTGCCTGCCCTCCTAACTTAACATTTGGAGGAGCCCTTGGAACAACATTGTTGACCCATTAAGACCTGTTCTGTTGGTCTGATCTCAGGACAGTCTTTGGTTTTGAAGATCTCCTTCTCTTGGTTTGTAAACCCTGACGTGCACGTGTTTTTCTGATCTCAGGTTACTGCTACTCGCAGGATGTGAGTCAGATCTGGCGGGTGGCAGAGGCGTTGGAGGTGGGGATAGTTGGAGTCAACGAGGGTCTTATGTCCACCCCAGAGGCCACATTCGGCGGGGTCAAACAGTCCGGTTTGGGCCGTGAAGGCTCCAAGTACGGCATCGAGGAGTATCTGGAAATTAAGTACATGTGCCTCGGTAGCCTCAAACCATGATACAGGACGCAGCGACGTCAGACGTCCAGTGGTACTGCACTCTCAGATGAAATAAAATTAAATGCAGTAATGCAAGTTTTAATTGGTTTAAACAATAACACAAAAGAACCCTTAAAATTAGAGTCTGTGTTGAAAACAGTAACGGTAATTCACAAATCATAAAAACGGGTCCGAAAAGTGAAACAAGGTCCTTTTTTAATTTCTCATCTGTTGCCTTCTCATATGAAACTGTTGTTACGTAGAATAAGACAAAAATCTTTTAGGCAATAATTATCTCACAAGTTCAGTTATTAAGACTTTTAGGTAAATGTTTCTTTTTATTTAATTAATCTAGATACTGAAACATGTTTAACATTTACATCACAAAAATATTTTATAATCAGTATGCTGATGGTATGTTATGCATTAATAGTGCTAAATACAAAGATCTAAAGGAAACTCACTTCTGATTGGCCAGAGGGATTATGTTAAAACCAGAGCAGAACACACAAAAAGACTTACTCAGACAAGCAACACAAAAGGTTAGATTTAAGCTTTATTGTTCATATTTACAACAATAAAAACTTTTACAAGAGGAAAAAGATTTAAACTTGATGAGTTAGGCAAAGCCATCTTGGATAAACTTCCCTTGAATAAAAAGAAAGATGAGGACAGACATGCTAATGTTAGCTTTATAGACTGTATATAAAAAGGTTAGCCTACACTGATATAGCAGCATCCGGGACAGTCTCCCACACAGTGGACGTTCCAGTCCTGAGCGGGGCTTTTGCTAGTGTAACCTGCAATGGCACAGAATTATGTAGTTTGCCTTGTAAATAAAACTAGGTTACTGCTGAAAGTAATAGGCTAGTTGGCCAGGCCTGGTAGCAGCTCACATCAGAGAAGATAAAGTTTTGCAACTGTCGTTGCACAGAGGACATATTAAACACCAAACCGTCCAAACTCTTCTTCATCCCTATATTAGAGCCTGAAATCCTAAGACCAACAGACGAGCTGTGCCTAGTTTCTGCTGTCCAAAAATCTTATGTACAATACATGCTGACATTACATGAGATATGAAAAATAAATAATGAACCTCTGGCCTATCACAATCCAGGATTCTCTGTGATCATGGTATAAAATCCTTGGTGGTTACTTTTCTACTGGTTGCAGGCTCTATTGGGGGACTTAATACTGACAATTGTGGCAATTGACAATACAACACAATCTTATTTGGGCATGAGCACCCAATAGAGAGCCTAAGTCTGTTCTTTCCGCTCTGACCTTTTTTTGGACAAAATATGTATGGTAGCCAACGGCGAGAGACAACTAATGTTTAAATTCTGTTTGAATTGTGTCCTGAATTACACACATGCTGTTTGTCAGTTTAAAAGATAATTTAAGTCAAGAAAGTCGCAACTCGTCATAAAACTATAAAGAAACATTTAGTTTTGTGTGAAATCTCTCATCTCGCACGATATACGTCACCAACATGTTAGCGCTGTAATGCTAAGCTAATGTTCATTGCTTGCTTGCTACTACCTCGGTAGCTTAGCTATATTCCATCCTGGTCCTGTCATCACATCACCTACCACATGGAAGCTCTTTGACGTTAGCTTCAGTAAATTTTAGTTTACAGTTTTACGACATATTGACTTTCCTGACTAAAATGATCTTTTAAATTGACAAGCATGTGTAATTTAAAAGCTTCAGTAACATTAGCTTCAGTCATTGAGAGAAGCTATTATGACATCACACATGGGACTTTTGGATTTCTGGTTACGTATATTCAGTCTTATACTTCAACAGTATTACAACAGACTGAATTTCTTGCCTAAAATGATCTTTTAGACTGACAAACATCATGTGTAATTCAGGGAACATTTCAAACGGGATCAAAAATTATATTATATTGCAAATATTTTTTCTGAAATAAAGGTCCTATGGTGGTCCACCAGAACGGGAGCAGCTTACGGGAGGTGTTTCTCTATTGAAATGCAAGGAATTACTAATTATTTCTATTTTCTTCCAAATCAATTGCAAAACAAACTTTGCATGTTGGAGATGGCAAAAATGTACATTTCATACAGGTCTGCCCCCTACAAAATAAGTTGTTTTTAGGCCACTTACAGGCTTTGTACTTCAATGATCTCCTGCTACAGAATAAATCGGATCAACTTAAAATTTCTGCAGTGCAGTCTGAAGACACCGCTTTAGAAAAGTTCCGCTGTGAATTTTTGTTTATGGGCGCAACCGTGGCGCGGCGGCGATCATCTGTTTAGCCATGAAACAGTAAGTTGTTGTAACTTCACTGTACATGCTTGATAAATGCCTCGCTCTCAAGACATCTACATGTCAGAATCCTCTCATAGTCGTTGCGCTACCTACTGGCAACAGGAAGAAGCTGGTACTTTCGTATTAGTAATTTCCAAGTCTAATATATCAGAGCTTTCCCAGTTGTAATTACACGTTGGAAGTTGACCCGAAAGCCATTTTACAAGGGGAAATTGCGATAACTCAGATGACGTGAAGGCAGCTTTTTATTTCCCCCTCCTGAACCTTCTCCAGCAGCACATAGATATTTGTTCAAAACAGAAAGTGGCACACTTAGCCATGGAGGAGAAGGTAGATTGTAGATTTACTGATTTAAAATAAATTTAAAAAGCACAAAACCTTTAGCTAGTTTTTCATAAAAATCATTGTTGTACTGACCATCCTGATGTCCTGTAGTAGGCCTGTTAATATAATAACAGTATTTTTTTTATGATATGCTGGCATATTTGAACACATAGGGTTCAAAAGTAAGTCACAATTTCATTTGTAATAATTCATGGGCCATTTATACAAAACAAACATTTTTCTTCTGTATGGAACATTAGCCCAACACCTTGTTTTTAGGAGTCAGACATTTCATTAATAACTGTTGAGTATTTCTAAAATATAAATGTTGAATACATGGCCTGATGTCAATATTGTTTGAATATGCACCACATTTTTGGGAAGAAATAGATATGAAATATCTATTTAGCATATTTCAGTGTGTAGATAAAAAATAATTAGTTTTTGAAGTTAAATAAATTCCTTGTTACTGTGTTGGTTTTAATCCTGGCCAAGCTTTTTCTGAGCCTCTGTTAAAGTAAAATTATGGTTGCCAATGTCAAGTGCCATTTAATTGATTTTTATTTCTTACACTGTTGAACAGTACTTTGATTAATTTAGATTTTATTTAAGAGTACCGTAACCCTCTCTGTCCTCCAATGGGTTAACTTGTCACCTTGCTGTACTTAGGACACATCACTGTTGGGTGTGGTTACAGGTGTAGCATCAAAAGAAAAGGGCAGCAAACTCTTCCAGCCTTGAGCATGTGAGCAGCACAAACCAGTGTAATGAGTGGAGCTTTGTTCTTCGTAGGTCCGTTAGCTTGATCGGATTCCTTTGACATGAAGCAGGATTTTCAAGGTTTTAAAGCTGGCTTAAAATGAATCGTTCTCATAAAGATTAGAGTAATTAGGAGTATGGTTCTCGTCATTTTGAGATAAATTAAAAGATGCATATGAGATTAAAAAAACCTGTAATTACAAACTACAGATCTTGTTCATCAACATTTTAAACCAGCTTTATAAAACACTCCAGAGCCACTTTATTAGGTACAATCTGTTGCAAATCAATACAACAGCTCTGCCGTAACATCTTTACAAAGTTTATAGTGTTCAGATGATGTTGACATTGTCAGAAACGTGTAAATTCACTTACATGTTAATCACTGGGGTCATAGAAGCATAATATTAGAAACACTTCTTAATATAATGCAGTCGAGTACGACACTATGACCTCAATGCTAAAACACATAATTGATATAATTGGTAATAAAAAACCTCTGAAAGTTTTAGCAAGTGTACTTAATAAAGTGGACACTAGTTGTATGTGCTTATGTCAAATCAGCAATACAAAATAACCAGGGTCCATGTGTGCAAATGCAGAAGAGTAAAGAAGTAAAATGTTTTAAATTTTTTCTTGACAGTAACTTATCTTCCTCTGTCCACTGTTTGTTTGTACTGCCAGTTTTGTTCTCTGGGTTTGTACAGCAGATTGTGTCTCTAATATGATGTGAAACTGGTTCTAATTGTAATATACTGTTGTAGTCAAAGTTAATGTGGGGGGAAAAAGAATTAGTTTTTGTATTTCTGACTATAAATATTAATGGAAAATTAAAGAGGAAATTGTCATATTACATCTTGTGATGATTTTTTTCTTTTTTTGGTAAGTAAATTAAATTCTTGCCCAATTTCCATGGTTGAAAGTTACTGTTGTGTTCACACTTCTTTTGAGCTAACAATATTAAAAATATAATATGTATGAATGAATTAAGGACCTTCATAGGGTTCAGTTGATTTGTTAATTCACACTAAACAAGCACAGAAGATTGACTGACTTTAACGGTAGTCCACAAACCAACGGGTGACATCGCAGCGGCTACTACCACTCCTTTTTTTTTTTTTTAACACTCGGCGCTTAGAAGAGCTGCTCACTTTCACCAGACTGTTTGTCAGTCACTTTCATTTTTGGCAGCTCTTCCAAGCACCAAGTGTAAAAGAGCAACCTAACAGCTAGCTAATAAGGCTAATGTCGTTAAACGCTTATCTCTACTGAGATGACTTATCTTTCAGCGATGTTAGCCTTATTTTCACAACTTAGCTAGCTATCGTTACATATATGTATCGCGATGTAAATAAACAAACTTGGGAGTTGTTGGAAGGTGGATTTTTTTTCTTCTTTTGTTGGAGCTAGGCCAGCAGTTTCACCCAGCTTCCAGTCTTTGTGCTAAGCTAGGCCAGCCTCCATCGTGGACCTCTCTTTTCATGCAGAGATGAATCTATAAGTCTTCTCAGCTGGCTTTGGGGAGGAGGATATGCCAAATTCTTCTTTAAAGCCTTCCATAGAAGTCTGTATTTAAAGAATATGCCGAAACATTGAGGTCGTCCTATCAAAGTATCTCGCAGTTTTGCCCAAATTTGGACGTCAAGCTTAAATTTTTGTGTAAGGATTTGCAGGTGTGTCCTCCAGGTCGTAAATTCTCACATCCTTCGAAGGAGTTTGACTCTGAAATGATACACTGGTTCATTATACCGACCTGACAGGACTCTGGGTAATAAAGTCCTTTAAACTTTAAAAAGTTAAATCATCTCGCAGCCAGAGTGCAAACATCCCAGACGAGTCCTTTCCATCACCAGGAGTCAGCCGTCCCGTCAGCCGAAGGCATTTCCATTTCGGGTGGCCTGAGCGCTGAGCCGGTTCCTGCTGCGGACGGGTCGATCCCGGCTGAAGATGGTGTCCTGGTCGCTGTCCAACTCTGACTCAGACATCATCAGGCTGGAGTTGTGCTCTGTACTGCGGTGTTTGATACCTGCAAAGAGGAAAGGTGTCACTTGCTTCCAGTTACGCCCCATGTGAACTTATTTCGGGAAAAATATGTACGGTAGTCAATGGCGAGAGACAACTTATTTTTTGATCCAGTTTGAACTGTGCTCTGAATTACACAAACGATGATTGTTAATGTAAAAGGTCATTTTGTCCGTAAAGAAAGTCGCAGTTTGTTGTAAAACAGAAAAGTTACATTTAGTTTTGTGTGAAACCCGTTGAATGAACTACAGTGGGGAGAACAAGTATTTGATACACTGCTGATTTTGAAGGTTTTCCTACTTACAAAGCATGTAGAGGTCTAATTTTTATCATAGGTACACTTCAACTGAGAGAGAGACGTAATCTAAAACAACAATCCAGAAAATCACATTGTATGACTTTTAAATAATTAATTTGCATTTTATTGCATGACAACTATTAAGTAAGGGGCAACTTATTTCAGATAAAATATGTACAGTAGTCAATGGCGAGAGACAGCAAATGTTTACACACACCTTTGTCAGTTTAAAAGATAATGTTAAGTCAAGAAAGTTGCAATTTTTCTTAACTGTTGAAGTATCAGACTGTGAAAATACGTAATTACAAAAGACCACAAACCCAAAAGTCGCGTATGTGACATCATAACTGTTTCTCTCAGAATGAAACTAACATGAGTGAAAGTAAAGTTACTGAAGCTAATTTGACTGAAGCTAACATCAAAGAGCTTCCATGTGTAGATGATGGCATTACAGCACTAACATGTTGGTGATGTATATCGTGCGGGGGCAAGATATGTCGTTGATTGAGTGGTTTTACACAAAACTTAATGTTACTTTACTGTCTCTATGGACTTATATTATCTTTGAAATTGACAAACAAGTGTGTGTAATTCAGGGCACAATTCCTACTGGATGAAAACATTAGTTGTCTCGCCATTGTACTACCAAACATATTTTTCCGATATAAGGTGGGACTTAGTCTCTTTATTTTAGTGCTTTCTTCTAACGTGTAACTTATGCGCTGTAGTCCTTCCTCTTTCTGGACTAAAGCTTTCCGTTTGTGACACCAGGTGCCAGTAAAAGCAAAGGAACAAGATGATAGTACGACTATTAGAAAATCATTACCCATCCTAAATAAACACATTCCATGTCGTTTCTTTCTTTTTTGGTTAACTATCAGACTCAAAGACATTGCATGGACAGTGTCTCCTTAAGAGAACAAAACTAAGAATATTAGAATTGCAAACCAACCAACAATAACAGCCAACTAAAACCATGATCAATGCAAAATAAGTAAAATGAGTAAAAATGTGATTTGTTTGGTGTTTTTGTTTCCTGGATGAATGTTTGATAGTTCATGGGCCAAGCCAGAATTTGGTACCACCTAAAGTGGCAAAATCTCTTTGGCACCAGTTTGTAGGGCCCCTACAAGTACAAAAAGACACATTTATATTAACTCATATTGATATCTCATACGGGCATTAAATCTGGTAATTTTTAACAAAGGTGACAGTCAACAATTTCACAGTGTCTTATTGTAAATACAGACCCTGGTACCAAAGCGTTTCTCACTGAAGTGACTCACTGAATTTGGGTCTGAGCTCCACCCTCTCCTGCTCGTCCATGTTATCCAAGATGGTGTATTTAGTTTTCCTCCTCACTTTGGTCTGTCTCCTCCTGAAAACAGTCGACAGACAGACAGGGTGTTCAGATAACACAGAATAATAATAAGTCTGGAGTTAAAAGGTCTGGCGTAAGTGTATCGTCTGTAGACATGTTCACCTCCTGCAGCAGCAAATGACGGTCCAGCTGATGGAAAGGATGAAGATCATGAGAATGAAGCTGGTCAGGATCACGTACAGCACCCTCCACTCTGATGGCAAGAACAGAGTGAGCCCAAAATATAATCACATTAATGCAATGAGAGCAAATGCGAGCTAGTGCAAAAACAAGAACTGTGTCTCACTTAGTGCCCCTCTGTACTCACGCTTGCTATTTTGAGTTCAAATCGAGAACTATGGCAAAAAGCGGTGCACTTCTAATGTTGAATAAGTTGAACATTCTGCTGAGTAGTAGATGGCTACACAGCAGAAGGGTAGGGGCAAACAACGTATTTACAAACTTGGGAAAATGGCAGCTGAGGAATATTTAATAAAATTGAAATAAAGTGAGCAAACAAGCCAGCAGGTATTTTGGCAGTGACAATCATGAAAGAAGGAGGCGAAGGAGGCGGCGGCACACACAAAGAAGGCCGTGAAGAAGAAGAATACAGTGAAGATGAAGAAGGCAGCAGCAGTGAAGAAGATGATGGCGACGCTGGCAAATGTGGGCAAAAATGCTGAAGAAGAAGAGACGGCTGAGGCGTTTAACAAGAAGAAGACCGTAGCGAAAAAGATGGTGGCGGCGAAAAAGAATGCTGCGAAGAAGACCGCATTCGTCATTTCTGGTAAGTGCACAACGGGTCGAAATTCACGCACTATGCAAGTAAGTACATAGTGTACACAGTGTGCTAACAGAAGTATCTGAATTGAGACACCGCTACCAGTTTTAAAACATACTGAAATAATTGACATATATCTGAATACTACAAACGTTTTATTTTTTAGTGCAGTCAAATTATTGATAATTATATTATGTGCATTAGACAGTGTGCAGGTAATACTAAATTCTATTAATTCAAACATTTGTGTTTTTATCAAAAACACATGTTGAGTTATCAGCTTTACCTTTGTAAGAAAACATTTAAGTAGTAATAAATCAGTGCTGTATAATAATTACCACAGTTGCTCTCTCCGTCGCCAAAGTAACGGCGAACCAGGTTCTCCGTCCAGAAGGGGTCGCACGTGCACTCCTTGGTGATTGGATCACACTGGCCACGCCCCGAACAGCGAAGCAAGCACACTAAAAGAAAAGGATTGAGTCATCAATTAATTTAAATATGTTTGCTAGTCACCAAGACACTGAATGAAGCATTGTTAGCATGACTGTTAGCTTAGTTGATTTCTACCTTCAGAGTCAGAAGTCAACAGTGTTTTTTGTTTTTTTTTAATTCAGGATGCTTAAAGGGTTAACTTTGGTATTTTTAAACCTGGACCTTATTGTTCCATGTTTTTGTGTCTGTGTGACTAATTGGGACACATTTTTTGAAATTGGCCCAGTATTAAGCGAGTGCTCTGCAATTTACATCTTGTGGGCTATCGCGCCTCGCCCAAATGTGTCCAATAAAGTGCTTGTTTTGTTATTACAAGTGTGTCACAACATAATGGAAAATACCCCTACAAAGAGAGACCTTTGTTTAAAAGAGTAAGTAACTTTTTGTTTAACCAGAAGCAGTCGCTCAATAGCTCTCATCAAAGCCACCAGACTCCATTGATAAAAACAGTGATTTTACCTCGCAGAAGACGGGAGTTGCTTGTTGCTACAGTTGCCTCTGTCAGTTAGTTGGTCTGTGCTATTGTTTGACTTTGTTTTGTTTTATTGTGTGCTTTAAAAGGGTTAAAAACACCAAAGTCACACAACACCACAAACTAACTGACAAAGGCAGTAGTAGACCAGAGAAGTAAAATTACTGTTTTTGTCAATGGATAATTGTTTTTATAATCATTAAAGGAACCTCTTAAAGGAAGTTTTTCCTTGCCTCTGTCTCCTAGTGCTGCTCTTGGTGGGAACTGTTGGGCTTCTGTAAATAGCATCATAGAGTACGGTCTAGACCTGCTCTTTTATGAAAAGCACTGTGAGATAACTGTTGTTGTGATTTGGCGCTATATAAATAAAATTTAACTGAATTGAATAAATGAATATCTGTGTTAAATATTGTAAAATACGGCAATTTTTGGGAGCTTCTGGAACTCGTGAGTGAACCATGAGATGAGAACAGCGTGACTGTTCCCGATATCAATATTAAACAGATGAATTGATTATTATATAAACACAGAGACTGAATGAGGACTTTGCTTTATCACAATTCAACTTGTAAATGCAAAAAAAGTGAAAAAGAGTGAAAAAGGAAGAGAGGAACCAGCTCTGGATTTGCTGTCTGTGTTGACTGTCCCGGTCTGTAATGGATATGGTCTCTGAACGGTGATCTTAGCTGTGTGAACTCACAGACAGTGTCGACTCTCATGACTCTGAACAGCAGGTAGTCGCTCTTCTCTCTGAGCAGCTGGTTTCTCAGCAGACCCACAAGCCTGGAGCCAGAGATTGGCCCCGAAGGGCCCTGCACCGAGAACCGCATCACCGTGCTACACCAACAGACAGTGAAACACAGCGAAAAACAAACTGTTTACAGCACGTGACTTTATACCTTTAAGGATGTTAAAACATTTAAGCACTTCTTGTTGGAAGAATGTATTTCCTGTATTTAAAACAATTCTTTAGTCTTCGAAGAACGAACCGGATCTTTTGGTTAATAGATTTATTATTTAGTTTTAATAATGTATATTTAAAGACACATTATATAGTTATTTTATCTTCAAATAAACAGCCCATTTTCATGGGCTGACTTGTAATTGGGAGAATGGCCATTGCCACTCTGAGCCCAGAGTGCCTTCTATACCACTATGCATTTGTAAATGTAAATGCTCCGTATTTGTATAGCGCCTTTCTAGTCTTTCCGACCACTCAAAGTGCTTTTACACTACATCTGCATTCACACACATTCATACACTGGCAGAACAGCCGCCAGGAGCAATTCGGGGTTCAGTATCTTGACCACGGACACTTCGACATGCAGCCTGGAGGAGCCGGGGATTGAACCGCTGACCTTCTGATAAATGTGTGGCTCTACCTCCTGAGCCATAGCCAAAGTTTGAATTCAAATCACAGAATGGGCGTAATGCTTTATGGCAAGCTAGCTCGGTATTCTTAGTATGGATATCATGGCAGAGGCTGCGATGAGACTGAAAAAGACGTCAGAGGAAGCGAGGAAGAGAAAAAAAGACTGAGCAAGAGACCAGACAAGAATAAATATCTGACTGGCTTTTACTTGTTGAGCTAAAAGAGCTGAAAGGATGCGGGACAGATGGCGAGATGGACTTCTTCCTGTTGGACTAGTCAGTAATAACTTATTAGCTGCTCACTGTGTCTTGATGTTTGTCTGTTGTCGACTCAAAATCAGCAAGAGGTTTCACAGACAGCGCAGTGTTTCGTATACGAGAATCACATACAACATTATTGATCAAACTGGGTCGATGAATTTAGCGCGAGGACACACATGTGACAACGTCTGATTTTGAAAATAAGGCGTCTATACGGGATGGAAATAAGATTAATTGTATTATTTTCACAGAAAGTATAAAACATATTACATGTGTCGATTAAAAATAAAAAACAACAACAACACAAATGTTAGGGAAATTACTTATTCTATTTTCTAATGTTTGATTTAGGGTTGCTGGAAAAATATTAAATATATTTTGTTGATATTTGTTGCCGTTTCATCACCATTTATTGCCATACAATGGGTTTATGATCAAACATTTTATTAGAGCGTAACATTGTTTACAAGAGTGCAAAGTTCTTCATAGATAGCCTCTTAATTTTGCCAAATGGGATCCAAGGTCAACCCACCATAGTCTCATAGAAACACGGCAGTGTTTAGCTGCTAGCTATAAATCTGGAGTTGATGTTAGCAAAGTTACTAGCTAACACTGTCAGACATCTGTAACGTTACTGTAAGCTCTCCTGCGTCGGTTGCTGTTGCTAGCTTGCCAACCAAGGTTCAAGCATCATGATGCTGCTGCTGGAGGAGCATCCACTATGGACGGAACTTTTAGCTAACGGCAGGGGGGAAGAGAACGAACAGGACGTTGGCTGAGGAAGGTAAGAAGAGAAAAAGAGAGAGACCGAGCAAGAGGCTGCCTGCCAGAGGTTAGCGGGAGCTTCGTGAAATAAAAGTCTGCAGGATAGACAGCGAGCTGGCCTTCTTGCTGTTGGGCTAGTCTGTAATATTTCTGTGTCTTGTGTTGTTGCTTGACATTTGTCTGTTACAAAAGTTGCTAGTTTTAATAATAAATTAATCATAAGAAATCAAATGCACGTATACAGCTGTCCTTGTTTACAACAGCGGTGAATTACACTCTGAAACAATAGGGGCGCCAAATCACACAAAAAAAGAATGATACATAATGTTGCTTTAACATGTCACAGTTCACACAAACTGTATTGTCACCTCGTTACAGAGGAATCAGGAGGTCAGTAGACCAGGTTAACCAGTAAACCAGGTTACCTGAGGTGGGAGTGTCCCTGCAGCGCTCGGACCTGGATGTCGCTATCGAGGACGTGGAGCAGAGCAGCAAGTTGTCGGATCACTGTGTCCCTCTGAGCCACACTGACCTGAGACACCGGCACCAGCATCTCCAGCTCCACCTCCTCCCCACCACCTGGCTCTACAGAGACACTTCACGTTAGTTCTGTAATGGTCACATTTTCATTATAAGAATCCTTCAGCACACAGTTTCTCTTCTGGTCCTACCTGGTCGGACCTCCACGGTGGCCGTGGCGGTGCAGGAGCGCCCCTGAGCGTCGGTCACCCTCAGCTGGAAAAGGTAGGTGCCCTCAACCAGGTTGGTCAGGTACAGGGAGGCCTGAGTCTCTGAGCCGTACAGCACGTCCTGCAAACAGTTTATTTAATCCACATTTACTCAGACAGGACTTTGTGTTTGCATTCGAAGGATTCAATTAAATCTAATTTGTTTTGAAGAACTTTAATTAGAAATATTTAATACAGTGGAATTAAATGAAACTGCGCAGCTCTGTGAGGCTATTGATTTTTTAGGGCCCATCATGCCAAGACAAAGACTGAGGTATTTTCTTGTGATGGTAAATTACTGTGTGTTAATTCCAGAAAACGATAATAAAATCATTATTTCATGAAAACTGTCCTAAATAAATATCAATAAAACTGTTTAAAAATTAAATAGGTAAAATAAGTCCTGATGTCAAGACTACAAGGGTCTAGAATCACAAATTTATCTGACTCTTATCTACTTTAATCTACTCTATTTTAACATAATCTACTCTGCTCTAGTATAACTTAATTCTTATTCTAACACACTCTAATCTTCTCTAATATAACTTTAATCTAATCCTATTGTAACACACTGTAATCTGCTCTAATATATCTTTAATCTAATATAATCTAATTCCAACATACTTTAATCTGCTCTCTCTGATCAAATTCTTGTTCTGACCTTCAGACCAGACTTCCTGTATCAGTGGTCTGTACTGACCCCGGTTGCAGGACTCTGGCTGTCTCTGACCCACAGGTAGTGAACCTCTGTCTGGTCCCCGTCGGTCACGGAGCCCCGGAGGACTAGAGAGTTGTTGGGTAGAGTGAGAGTGTGGCTGCCGCTGGCGTGAGCAACGGGTGGAAGACTTGTGGCTGCAGGAGGAAGGACGACAGGAAAAAACATCTGGATTGACTAAAGTTTGGTTTTGGACTGGATTCAGTAAACATGCAATATTTTCATTATCATGAATTATACATTTACACATTTACCTCGAGCTCACGGGAACGTCTTCAAATGTTTTAAGGGGAAACGGAGCATGAACTATAAAGTAAACCGTCTCACCTTCCAGGACCCTGACAGTCAGCGAGGCGCTGCCTGTCGCCCCCTCCTGGTCAGAGACCGTCAGTCTGAGGGTGTAGCGTCCCACCCGGAGGCCTGACGCAGTGGCTACTGCCTGGTCCGCTCCCTCCAACTTTAATCCTGGGGGACCACTGGGAAGAACAAGACGGAGAAGGCGTGCAGGTGAGTCGGTGATGTGGAGATCTGAAAAAAACTTAATCTTCATTAAAACGTTCACACAGACAGACACTGTTTGTGTTCTTACCTGACGGCGTCCCAGTGGTAGCTGACAATGCCACGGTCACCGGTGCTATCGCTGCCGTCCAGCGACAAGCTGCTCACCGGAAGAAACACCTTCCTGTCAGGACCCACAATGGCCACAGGGCCACGGTTTGACCCCCTGACCTCTGATACTGAACAAAGGGAGAGGAGAGAGAAGGGGGCAGTAAAATTTATTATAGTAATATACATTTAAACAATTTTTTAATACACTGAACAAAATTATAAACGCAAAACTTTTGTTTTTGCCCCCATTCAATAAAAGGCCACTCCAAAATGTGCGCTGTATGAAAGGTATGGAGCGCGTCCCGACATAATGGTGCAATACTCCCAGAAAATAAGGCAGTGTGAAACCACCAGTGTTGGGCATATTACTTCCAAAATGTACTACATTATAGATTACTAGTTACTGTCATTTGAGAGTAATTAGTTATATTACAATATTACTGTCTCTAAATTGTAATGCTTTAACTACTTTTATGTTACTATTTAAAAGGACACATTATTCTGATGTCTTGGTCATTAAAATTAACCTCTGATTAATAGCGAAGAAAGACGCTGTGCGCATTTACGCACGAAGTACAGCAGCATAACGTCACTGATTATTAGAATTTCCCGACACTCGGTCAGGACGAGCTCACAGTAGCCTTCCAGCAGGAGGTGGGCCAATGGCAGTTTTCGCGTATTTAGACGATCCCCATCGAGGGAGGACCCAGTTTTTTGCTAATAATGCTTCTACAATTTGTTGCCACTCGTGCTTCTGGCATTTTGATTCTGATAAGGAAAGTAATTCGTTAACAAAGCACAAACACACAGCCTATAGAAATCTATTTACACATGATCCATCAGGGAGCTACCGTCTTGTTAAGAGAAGCCGAGCTTCCCCATAGTTTGCACCCTGCCTACAGTCTCAAACATCGGATTCCAGCAACAGGAATTAATATTTCTCTTTTACTCATGGATTTGGTTTCAGCTGCCGAAATGTTTCTTGGTGATGGTGAATTATTAAAAAAACAAAATACCACTAATTCAGGTTAAAATCCGTTGTAACACGCGTTACTGAGATTGTAATGGGTATAATATTACCGTTTTTTTTTTTTAAACTAATGCGTTATATTACTGCGTTACAGCAAAAAGCAATACATTACTGTAATTACTCCAACACTGGAAAGCACTTAGTGTTTCTAAGTAGAGCCTGACCAATTTATCGTTTTACAGATATTATCGGCCCAATATAAGCTACTACAGCCGATATATGACTATTAAAAAAACAAACAGAGAGTTGGATCCTTCCCTCAGGTCACGAGTGTTGCATAGTTTGCCCTCCAGATGGCGTGCTGCAGCTCCTCTGTTCAAAACACAGCAGCACCACAGAACATCAGCTGACCGCAGTCTGCCAGAGCTCAGTGCCACTGTTGTGTCTATTTATGCTACCTATCATGATGTGCTACTTAGCGGTTCTGCGCATGCGTATGACCCACAAGCGTGGTCTGTTTCCACGCCCATAAATCTGTGCAACCTTGAAATGCAGTCGAGACAGTGACTGACCGTCAGCAATATCTAAAAATATCATTGTCTCTCAGAATAGGCTACCCCTGATATCTTAAATAAAGGTTTAATATAGTATTTCAACATGCTCCCCATCTCCTTACAGTACACATGGAGTGAACAGTGGTGCAATATAAAATGATTCCGTAGTGGGAGCGAGGGGCGTTTTTAGAATCTTGAAACATTGGTTAAGTTAAGTCTGTAAAGCAGTAAAGCAACAGTAAACATCCTCTACTTATACGGCACAACAAAACTCACAACAACACTATTAACTGTCTCATTTTGATGTTGCTAAATTGTAATGTCATGTGTCTAATTACAATAATATAACAACAAAACTGCTACAGTATGAACAGGGGAGTCTGGGGGTAGTCCCTCCGAAAACTTTGAGTGGTAAACACTTAATTTCCTGCATTCTGGTGTTTTTCTGCACCAATTTATTGTGGAAATTATTTATGTCAAGGGACACACAAAATTCAGGTGTTGCTGAATTGTGGTGAATATTTAAGAACATTTTGATATTTTATGACCTTGTAACTGATTATTTATTAATTGTACTACTGCCTGCCTTGGCCAGGACACTCTTGGAAAAAGAGTTTTTTGGTTTAAATAAAAATGTAAAATGTAAAATTGTAACAGAATATAATGCAGAGCAGCTCTCAGGCATTCTGGGTTGCTTTCAGATGTTTCTCCTGTAGATCAACTTTTAATATCATCATTGCTGAATCAACACACGCAGGCCTGACTGATTGAGGTAACCTCTTTAAATGTGCATGTGGTACCTTTTTACCTCATCAATAATACATTAAATCTCTTCCTCAAACTCCTGGACTTTAATAGCTCCTGTGTTTCAGCAGGTTTTCTGCTCATGTTCAAAGTTCTGCACATTCAGAATCTAACTGGGTTCTCTGACATTTCCAGAATAAAGGATATTTTGAGAGGTCAAACAGGATAAATCATCATAAACTTTGCAATCAATCCGCGGTCCACCTGCGCGCCGCACCGTGTGGAAGGGATCCATACCGCGGATTCTGCAACCCGTTGCACCACTACTATCCATGGTAGTGTGGGGATGATTTTGTTGTGCAGGATCACAGCCCCTATGTGTCCACATGAGGAAAGGTCAAGATAGGCTGTCAGAGTAAAAATGGACTGTCTATTGCATTAGACTAGGCAACTTGATGAGTTTATTTTTTTAAGTAGCCCATTAAAATATTCTTGCAAATGCAGTGAAGAAGTTCAAGTTCTAAAATTTGTGATTTATTTTCATTCATAAAAACGTCTCAAAACATCTCACTAATTATTAGCCTCCTTAGACAGTAATTAGGCTGTCTGTCTTTCAGTCAAGGTTTAGTTAGTCTGTGCTAATGCAAGTTTCCCCTTCTGACAGAAACAGAACCTCATTTGGGACTGTACTAGATGAGACAAAGAGGTGGAACAGGAATCTAATTGAAAACACTTAGGGACGTAGGTGCGACTTTGAACCTGGGGGAGACGCTGAAAACTGATTTTTTTTTAAATAAAGCACTTAAATGCCAATTTCTAAAAACCTTTGAAAACAAAATGTACTTATTATTGTGGCTAAAAGTGGGTATTTGCAGTGACAGAAGATGGAGAATAATATAACTTGAACAAAACAAACTATATAAAACATGGAACAGCTGCTGGTTAATGTAGCTCGCCATAGTACAAATGTATTCAGTTCTCCTAATGTTCCACTTGTCTGTGATATTCCCTGAGTCTCACTTGGCCCTGACTCTCCCTGTTCTGTGGTGACTTCATCTCACATCTAGAGACAAATGTTTGTGAACACAGAACTGTCTTCAATGCAAACTCTGATGACATGCTATTAACCTAACAAAGTCATTTTACTCTGTGAATTTTAGAACAAACTATACAGTATGTCTACTAGCTATCCATACAACTTCCAAGCTCATCCTCCTCAGTTATTTCTGCTTCTCCTCCTGTGACCTCTGTCCTCTTCCCCTTAAAATACTGCAGGATGCTCGTCTCTGTGTGAGCATTTTGACCACTGTTACTTTTAAATTGTTTATGGACACGTATGTACACATACAGGACTTTTTAAAGGTCAAGGATGTTCAGAGACAGGGGCAAAAAAGTGGCCCCGGAGTTTGTCCCTGGTCAGTCCACTCTCCAGACAGTATTTGTTGGGGCCCTGTGTCTTTAGAGAACTTTATTCCTGCATTCTTAAGAATTTTATACAAGTAGAGTGCAGTGTAGATAACCTTATGAGCCAATATATTTTCAAAACTAGAAACCCCTCTCTAACTCTTCTAAAGTAATCACCTCAGCTGAGCCCTTCAGTATAATAAATAATCCATATCATCATGCTTTTTGCTGTGATGGTTCTGACTCATGTTCACCATGTCAACGCTAGTACTGGTGCCGCTGGCCAGTGGCGGGTAGAGTACTCAAAATGTATACCCAAGAAAAAGTGCAGTTACTCCCATAAAAAGTAAAAGAACTAAAATGACAAACCTATTTCAACTGCTGTTCATCAGGTAACATGGTTATTTCTAGGGAATGCAATTTGCTTTGCTTGTTGATTATCTGTAATTTAGCTATTTCTACAATTCTATTTCTACAATTATTTTCCTTTTTAAATCTCCATGAAGGTGTTGATAAGATCACTTTATAATATCCCTTTTGCTGCCCAGCCAACTATTGTTACCTGTGCCTTTTATTATGGAGATGTAGCCAACCAAACCTCTTGCTTTGCTGTAGCACAGGCTGCCAAAACAATCTGATTATTCCTGAAGCATCTAAATAATCTTCACAACGCAGATAATTATTGTGGCAGTAACACGGAGCTGCTCGTTGTTGAAGCAGGTAAACCTGCATACAGAGGAAGCTGTGCGTCATGCGTAAAACCCAACAGGACAATTTTCCATCTCTCTCTCTCTCTCTCTGTGCATCTCAAAAATAAATAACAGCTGGTAGCTGCTGAGTGAAAGATTAGTTTCACCGGCGACATTCTGTTTATGGACTCACATAATAGAAACAAATAGTAACAGATGTGTATTAAAGAGAAGAAAAAGGCTGATGTCCAAAGCGATGCTCTGATCAACAACAGGACACTTTTAATATACAGTATCTCAATCTATACCATTGATCATCTGAGGCGGCTGTGGCTCAGGAGGTAGAGCAGGTTGGCCGTTAATCGGAAGGCAGACTAATTACTGTCTAAGTAGGCTAATAAATAGTGAGATGTTTTGAGACGTTTTTATGAATGAAAATAAATCACAAATTTTAGAACTTGAACTTCTTCACTGCATTTGCAGGAATATTTTAATGGGCTACTTAAAAAAAATAAACTCATCAAGTTGCCTAGTCTAATGCAATAGACAGTCCATTTTTACTCTGACAGCCTATCTTGACCTTTCCTCATGTGGACACATAGGGGCTGTGATCCTGCACAACAAAATCATCCCCACACTACCATGGATAGTAGTGGTGCAACGGGTTGCAGAATCCGCGGTATGGATCCCTTCCACACGGTGCGGCGCGCAGGTGGACCGCGGATTGATTGCAAAGTTTATGATGATTTATCCTGTTTGACAAAATA